CAGCTGATGCTGATGATGCTCCCCTCCTGGCCGCTTGAGGAGCAAAGGGCCAGCTGATGCTGATGATGCCCCCCTCCTGCCTTTTGATCGGCCAGCAAAGGGCCAGCTGATGCTGATGATGCTCCCCTCCTGGCCCCTTGAGGAGCAAAGGGCCAGCTGATGCTGATGATGCCAGCTGATGCTGATGATGCCCCCCTCCTGCCTTTTGATCGGCCAGCAAAGGGCCAGCTGATGCTGATGATGCTCCCCTCCTGGCCCCTTCAAGAGCAAAGGGCCAGCTGATGCTCATGATGCTCCCCTCCTGCCTTTGGATCGGCCAGCAAAGGGCCAGCTGATGCTGATGATGCTCCCCTCCTGGCCGCTTGAGGGCCATCCTAGACCCTTGAGGGCCAGCAAGGGACAATTTCGAGACCAGCAACTGCTTTCTTAATTTCATGCACAGCCAGCCTGAGGGCTCTCGTTTCTCAATCCAACGCTTCCTCAAGTGCTGTCGCCACTCTGGGGTTGTTGTGATCCGAGTAGTCACTGCTGTCGCGAAGGATCTCTCGATTTTTCTCGGCGCCTTGTGGATGCTTGCAGGGTGCCTGGTGCCGGCTTCGTGTAGATTGCCGCTCCGGTGCCGGTAGTGACAGCAATGAGTCAATGAGCATGTCGTGACGACCGGCATGATCCAAGGCAAAATTTTCAAAACCACGGTCTCTTTTGGCAGCAGGGACCTCGGAGTTCCCCAAGTGCTTTCTTGTCGTGACGAGGTGATGCCCATGATTTCTATGCAGCTCGTGTTGTGGCTTTCGAAGCTCCAGGTGTGAACAGCCTGCTCGAGATGCCATGCACCATGAGTCAGGCACTGAGAGTTGCTTGAGCTTCGATGGCAACACCAACTCGTAGTGCTGTCCGCCCTCCCTGTCAAATCAGGGAGCAAGGGAATGAGTCAGGCTGATGTCACTAAGGCCATGCCTCAATTCCAGCTGAAAAGAGGACTTTGGCCGATGACCTGATCAGGACGCTGCGCATAGCGTGGAGATTGCACACGCGTGCATGCGAAGATTATTGCATGACTACCTTGCTCTACAGGATCTCGATCGGTATCGAGGATCCACAGGACCTCATAGCGGACTTAGACCAAGCCATCAAGGCAGAACCGAGCCTTCACTCGGGTGACTTATCGAGAAAGCTGGTGCTGTCCTTGTGACGCAGGTCGCGGCTGGCGAGCTGTGCCGAAGCCCCCATGGAGGTTTCGACAGCCAGTTTCAGGAGATCCCTTCATACCTGCCACTATCTGGCGCTTGACTGGGCTGTGCCCTGCAGCGGCAGGACCTCCCGATCGTGCCCATTCTTGATGCAAAGGGACCCCAGGACTGGAGGGGACCTACTACCACCATGGTCGGCGCTTTCAACTGCAAAGCTTGCAGTGTCCACTTACAACACTCCTGCATCCGAGAGGAAGATGAGATTTCCACCAGGGCCCCTTCAGCATTCAAGGCACTGTCGTCGCCAGGTGCCTTCGAGAAAAGTTAGACGTGGATTGCTCTGGCCCTTGTGTAGTCGACCTTCTCTGCCACGACAACTAGCGCAAGGTGTGATGATGTGGTTGGGGAGATGCTTTGGGGTGATGGCACGGTGTGTGGGGGAGTGTTGTACGTCGGCCAACCTTGTAATCCACAGCAACCGTGTCGAATGTCCGAAACCTAAAGTTTAAACCCTAAAGCAGCACAAAGGCCATTTCTTCAGAAGAGCCCTTTGCATCTCTGCGGTAGGTTTTCCCGTAGTAGCGCTGAATGTTGCCTCGGGTCAGTGTATTGGCGTTTTTGGCGGTGAGGTCTGGTGTGCAATGTTGGAGTGTAAGGTGCACATTGTGCACATTTTTGCAGGAGTCTTGTACTTAATGTTCTTAGTTCTTAGCTACAAAGCCGCGCCGCGCCACACGAAGGGCTTTCGTTGGCCTTGGCAGTTGTGTCATTCCACAAGGCGAGTCCGATGCGGGGGAAGAAGAGAACAAGGCCACCTCTTGCCTTGAGCCGACAAGGTAGTGGGTGTTGCAGTGTTGCGTGTGTGGTTTTGTTGTTCTGCCCTTCTGTGCGTCAACGAATTGGGCAATGCTGGACAGATGCAACATGACTCAGCTTCCAAGGCACGAACATCTAGGTGCCTGAAACACGCACACGCACACACCCACGCACACATGCACACATGCACACACGCACACACGCACACACGCACACACGCACACAGACACACGCACAGAGACCCACACATGTGTGGTTCGTCTGGCGGCCTGTCTTCCTGTGTGCATGGCTCCCTTTCCTCCTCGGTCGGATGGCCCGCGGGGGCAGCTTTGTTTCCTTGGGCTCATCTCAGGCTCCCGTTATGTATGGCCCCTTGCTGCCTCCCTTTCTGGGAGCTTGTGGGGGGCCGAGCTTGGTGTGTTGCTGTAGGCTGTTTTTGATGTCCCGCTATGGACTCCCCAAAAAGCGGGTGGGTCCTCAGATCATAGGTTCGCAGAATCGACCAAGTCCAAAAAGGGGGTTCCAAGCCAGGACCCTTGTCCGAAACCAATGTGGGAGCCGTGTGAGAACTTCAGAAAGCAGCAGGCATCGGCTGCGTTGATCTTCTTTGCACAGACTTGCTAGCCCATCTGCGTAGCCCAAACGCGGTAACATTCTCAGTCTGGGTTGGACCATCGTTTTTCCTTGCTTGGCATTTCTCGTCCGAGTCGGGAATATGAGGCTGAAAGGGCGAGTGCGCATCAAGATACGACAAGAAGCGCTGCGAAGAATTTCCACGCGACGCCTGCTACAGTTAAGCTTTATCAAACGTGAAGGTGTTATCATCATCCTGGGAGGAGAAAGGTTCGACAACAAAAAATGCCGAACAGAAGCAAGTAATTCAGCATGTCAGGTTTTTATGCATGGACAAGATCCGGCGCAGCACCGGGCGATGCAATCTTCGTAGCCCGACGGCGTGTTGATTCTAGCACAGTCACGCTAAAGACCGGCTCATGCCCAACGGGTCTCGAAGCGAAGTGTGTGGGTCGCACAGGGCCATACCTTCCAGGCCCCTCTCGGCCGACCAGGCGTCCCCCAAGACACTGTGGATGGGCGTGTTGGATGGAGCTCCACCAGCATGCTCCCTTGCAAGAAATAGCACCGAATGCAGCATCTGAAGAAGGGTCGTGCCGAAAATGCAGTCGGCCTCCTCCACACCGTCAGACACAGGTGCACAGAACTCAGACAGACGTAGAGACAGAGACAGAGACAGTGACAGGGCCGAGTTAAGAGCCCGAGCCAGGGTTGGAGGCAGGCAGACAAGGCAGGCAGACGGAGACAGACAGAGACAGACAGGACATACAGCACAGGCGGGACAGCCAGGAGATGTCAGGAGAGACAGGAGAGACTGCGTTGCAACGACATGCAATGACAGGAGCTGCAAGCGGCGTCCGTCAGCAGCTTCATTGACGTGACCTTCACGGTTTCTTGTGCAGCCTTCGCAGGCAGGGTAGCAAGCCCATGTCAGAGGGTTTGTGGCACCGGTCTGCCAAGTCTTCCTTGGCCCAGTTTGTGCGCTGGCGCTGGCGCAGCTGCGAAAGTGAAGGCTGATTGCTTCGTAGAGAGCCTTGTTTTCCAGGGCGCAACTCAGAGACTCGGTGGTTTTTCCCAGGCCGTTTTGGCGATACGCCATACAGGATTGCACTGAGATCTAGCACTGGTGTTGGAGTCCAATCTGCTTTTGGGGACTGGAAGGCCTGCGCATGATCGCCAAAGATCGCTTCAAAAACCAGTGCACTAGATAAACTGGTCTCACGCCATAGGGTCCTCTTAAGCCCCTTGCTCTCATCTAAAAAGGGGCGCCTCTCGAAGACTCTTAAGCATGCAAGGCTTCACCTTCCAACCCCCGAAAGAATGGAGCAGCGATGCTCGGAGGCTGTGCTTCAGGAGCACAAGGAGCCTCCCTAATCGCCTCCCTAATCCCTTTCAAATCCGGTTTTCGTATGGAAAGCGGTCAGAAGACTGACCAAAACAGTCGAGGTCTCTAGTATCATTTGCTGTTTTTTCTCGTCCTTACATTCTGGCGGGTTCTACAAGTCTACGTATGCTGAGCCATAAAAGTTTACATAGAAGTTCTGGGAAAAGTCGAGCCGACATAGCATTGCCAAGACTTTTCAGCGTCTTCAGCCCCCATGCTGGCGTCGAAGCATGGAAGCTTTTCCTGGCGGAGCGCTGAAGAAACAGAGGACTTTCTCTCTCCTAAAAGGGCTGCAAAAAAAAGTATCAAGAGCACGAATTTTGAGAGCCACTGCAGCAGGGTCAGCAATTCCTGACTCTTGCCGAGCCCTTCGGGCTCCCAATCTTTCCCAATCGGTGAATTTCTTGCGACGCGAAAAGCGCATTTGGCATGGCCATGTGAGTCGTGACCAGTTTCACATTGCTGCCTTTGGTTCGGGCAGCGCACTCGTGACAGTGATGTTTCCATAAGTAGACGGGAATGACCGGAATGACCTCCATTAAGCCATGAAGCTGTGAACCTCAGAGTGCCAGGAGCCCTTCAGAAAATCTTACAGAACACTCTGCGGAGTGCCGGTATAAGTTATCGCGGCGGCAGAACCTGCAGCAAAACTCCACGAAGTCATCACGAAGGCATCACATGTCTAGAGATGTCCTTGCCACATCTTTGAAATTGGCCGTGCTGGTCTGCCACGGTGCCGCAGAGCCTCTATTGAAAACATGTGGATAGAAGTTTCTCAAATCCGATTTTGTATAGAGTCAAGCCCGCTTGGCGTGCGGCTTGCTTTCATTTACAATTCGATCCTTCTCTAAGCAGAACCCCATGGAACCCTATGTGAAGCTCTGCATCGATGCCCCATCACTTAGAGAAGGCTGGCGTCGGTGGCCTATGCACAAAATCCATCTGCTCTCAGAAAGGAAAACCTGCTGCGACTGTTGACTTCTGTGAGAAGCTCGGTGCATGTGACTAGAATAGATGAGCATGCTACCATGTGCAAGGGTGCGGAACTTGCCAAGCAGCGCGTGCATGACATGGCAGCGCAGAAGAAGAAGGCGGCACCGGAATTGAACTTCCCCCAGCCCTTGGGCAGAAGCACACTGCTTCGGTAAGGGAACTGGACTCATTTGGCCAACCTCTGTTCAAGCGCAGATGTTATGTTAGCTACGCAGTGGCTGCTGTTTCGCGAAGCCCGCACAGCAAACGGTGTGCTCTGTTTGCAACCCCTGGTTTCTCAGAAGGCCATGATGGTGGAGGACGACCAGGAGTTAGATGCTGCCGCACCATACCGAATCGTGTGTGAGGACCCTTGCAAATCATGCTGCGATTCGAAAGTATGAGAATGATAAGGTCCTGCTTCAGTGCAGATGCAATTCCAGCAACCTGGTGGGTACGAAGAAGTTCGCTGATAGGCATTTCCAGCTCAGGTGCACCCAAGCGTGTCAGGTGAGCTTTCTCTCCCCTCCTCAGCGTCCGATTCAAGACTTGCGACTAGCATTGGCAGAGGTTGGTATCCAGGTTGCAATCCTGCAAAGTCCCGTTGTGCTACAAATCACGGTGCACAAAGCTTCTGCCATGGATGCCGGAGTGGCATGGGCTGCAAGGTCACCAAGGTCACCCGCAGCAGGCTTGTTCTCCTTAAGCTCCAGGTATGCGCCTCCCCATCACAAGACCCTGTCAGACTGCGGGCGAGCTCGTGGCCTCGCAGTTGCCAGCTTTGCCTGCGCAAGGCTTGCTTGGCGTCGCAGACTTGTAAGTAAATGTCAGACGCGAGCTCAGCCCGGCCTGGAGTCTGTTCTAACCTTTTGGTTTGGCGATGAAGTGCTGCATGCACGTGATCGCATGAGTGATGAGGGCTACCTGCGTGGTCGGACCAAGATGTGGTATCTCAGCGGATCAAAGTATGATGAGGCAGCAAGGGGCTTCCTACCGCTTCTTGAGCAGCAGCATGAAGAACATCAACTTCGGCAGAGGGACGAGCTGCCTGAAGAGCTGCATCCTTCCAGAGTCTCCGAGTCGGAGGACATGGCAAACTTGGCAAGGGTCGTACTCTTCGATCAGATTCCAAGAAATGCATTCAGGGGGATGGCCAAGGCCTTTTACTATGATCAGGATGCCACCGAGGTAAGCGAGGAACTTCTGAAGAATGGATTTGCTGATTCTTGCTCTGCTGCCGAGTTGCTGTGCCTGGTCCAGCCACTTAGTCATAGTGAGCTTCCCGGTGATGCTTCCCGAATTGACGTGGTGATACAGACACTGCAGAGAAACATGCGGCGATTTTCAGATGGAGCTTCCAAGATGATCATGCAGGTGACTTGGCAGCATTCTCGTGGCCCTTGGTAAGCAACAGCTTTTGGAGCCTTTTAGCCTGGGAGAGTTGGGCATCTTCTCCTTCATTGCCTGAACAGCCGTGAGGCAATCCTGTCGCATGACTCCCATCGCGTGGTACTCCGTCGATTTGGCCGCTACCCACATCGCAATGCAGTGCTGGGGAGGAAGAATACGCCTGAGGACCTGGGTGCGGACGCACACATCCATACACTGTGTAGTCACTGCACACGCATCCCTAGCATTCTCCGGAGCTCTGAACCAAGTCATCCATAGAAACTTGCAAGTACCATGCGGCACTGTTCGTCTTGCTCGTCTAACTTGCGCTGCCCTGAGTACGTGATTAGATTGCCTTTCTGCAAGGAAGAAGCGTGGCTGAGCTCGTCGGACTGCCCTGGGTGGGCAAGAAGCCAGCGGCCAAAATCCAAGTAGACAAGCCATGCGCGAAGCCACAGAGAAAGAGCTGCAAGCCGATGTCACGCAGCCAATGAGATGTCAACAGGCAGCATGTTCTGATCTCAATGTGTTGGAACGCACTTGCAGATAGCGAGGATGGATCTCTCCACAGCAAATCTTTCGCTCACACCGACAAGGGCATGTGCCTTCTGCCGGTTGCAAGCTGTGGGCCTAGCCAGGCACCATTGCGAGAAATGGGCAGGTATTTCATGGGGATGACCTTCATGAACTACAAGGCTGTTCGGAAACTCAGCCTCCGCCAAACTCGTCGCTTTGGCCTCGAGAAGTCGAGTTGCTGAGGGCCCGACGAATCAGCCCTGGATCGAGATCCGGTCTTGGCCTCATCCGACTACGCTGTGCAACGTTGCGCATGCGGGTATCGATGCATCTGAGTCTTATGTGGCATGGCCGTCATTGCCTGAGGCACCCTGGGAAGCTTCGCTGGTCCCAGGGATGTGCAGTCCTACGCCTCAAGGTGCGGTGACGGCGCGGCAGAGAGGCAGAGATAACGTGATGTGCGTCATCCTTGTTTTCAGGTGACTCTGCCTGAGACCATCCGCGGTGCACAAGATGTTGATGTCCTGCCCTTTCTCTCCTCTGTTGTCATGGACATTCATGAGTCTTGTTTGCCAAGTACATGGCTGTGTCACAGTCCCGTGCCACAAGTGCCCAAGCCGCACGCATGTGAAATTTTGAAAGCGAGCAAATGGTGTGAAAGCTGATCCAAATAGAGCCGTGTTCCACTAAAGAAATCATGATGCCATCTTTCATCCTTTCTCATCTCCCCAGTGGAATGCATCGGCAAATGCCTGCAGCAAGTACTTCGAACAGAGCTGCCGTGCTCGGGGCTTGGATCTGCTTTGGAGGAGATGTCAACTGTCAACTGCTCAAAACGTCTGTCCATGTCTCGGAGCATCGTGTAAGTCTACGTCTCATACTCGAGGCGGACGTGCCGGATCCTCGGCCATCTGAGAGGTGGGCAGGTGCTGGCCTGCACATGCAGCTCCTTGTCAGAGAACCCCCTGACCATTTGCCGCTGTGAAGGCGTGTTGGGCTTATGAACATTGCCTCACGAAAGCGACGGAACACATGAGGCGCTGTGTCGTGGAACCAGAACCTCCTGCGCGCTGCGAAAGAAGGCAGCGTGCGCGGCTGCGAAGAAGCCCTGAAGGGTGGTGCTGATGTCAATTGGAAGGACGAGGCCTAGCTTGCAGCTCAAGAGTGTAAGTGCAAGGCCATGGACACGAGAAGCATGCTCAACGTTGCCGACTGGCGTGTCTCTCGTTCGGAGGATTTCTTTGACTACACGGCCCTTCATTTGGCAGCGGCTGCTGGTCATGTTGAGATATGCCGCCTTCTGCGGAAGCATGGAGCTGTACCCTGGCAAATGTTCACTGCACAAGCAAATGTTCACTGCACGCATAAGGACATAACAGCGACAGAAAACAAGAACATTATATTGCATTGTGCTGGGAGGGGCTATCATTTCCAACATTCTTAAAAGGTTGGCAGAGCCTTGAGGCAATTGACCCTCGGTCTACCAGTGGCGAGACACCACTAATCATGGCTGCTCGAGCTCAAAAGTCCTTGGAGCTCTGCGACTTCCTCGTCAGTGAGGGTGCTGATTTGGAGGCTCCTGCTGCTCGCATTTCATGTCGCGCCAATGTTGCTTTTTATTGACCTTGTGTGGTATGCATGGATGAGGCCAAGACAAATTACAAGAAGAATGCCCGGAGATTGCAAGGGTTTCGGTTTGAGGATTTGTGAGCAAGACAGCATCTTTACAAAGTGACACGTTAGAGTTTGGAGTGAGGAGCGCCAAAGAGTATTTGGACGAGTACTACAAAGAAATGGGAGCGCCAATCAACTGCGGTCTCGGAAGCTCTTGAGGCCAAGAGAAGCAGAGCTGTTTCAAGGTTTCACTGCTTCGAAGAGGTGCGAGGAGGGGAAGCGAAGGTTTGGCCCTTCAAGTGAGAGGCGACAAAAGATCCAAGTCGATTCCATGGTGGCCGTGAGCCAGAAAAAAGGAGTTCCCACGCACAGCTTTTAGTTTCCGTTCTGCCAGTGTCCATGAACCTGCGCTGCTTTTGTATCATCACGTGGGAATTTGGTTTCCATGCACTTGCTTGCAAGTCGCAAGCGTGCTGAGGTAGAGCTGACTGCCAGCAGCCTGCGAATAGGCCGAAGACATCCTGCCATTCGCGCAACGTTGTTCATCCCATCCCTTCTCCGAATCTGCTCGGTTCACCTTCCTCGTTCAAGGTACCGTGGGCGACACGGATCCGATCATTGAGGGCAAGTTCGATCGCAAGGTGCGCCGGTAGACGTAGACTTGCCAGTTAGACCTGAGTACATGCTTCAGTTACACCTGTGTAGCCACTCTTAAGCTCACTTCCGGTGCCTGGTCATCATCATGGGTCTGGGAATAGGTTGTGGCGTCTGCCAAAAAACACAATCAAATCAATCAGACGCCAGCAGGTGGATCCGAACGGTGAAAATTATTCTTGGACACCAGCTCAGCACCGATCGAGCATGTGTTGTGAGGCCATTTCGAAGCAGCATGGCTCAGGTTCCTCATCCCAGAGGAAGTCCCACCCATCATGGAGCTGACGTTGGACAAGGTGCCTGCATGAAAATCCATCCCCTCAAGGTGCTGTGCCTGGAGCATGTCGCGAGCAAAGCCTTTTGCTTCGCCTGCGAAGCTCGACATGGAGAGCATCATGAGCCCAGTGCCCCCAGCTGCTGTGGCTAATCGCCTACATCAGCAAGATGGCCGACTCTCCACGGTGCCAATATGGCGGGAGCATCATGAGGATCAGCTGTGCCCTATAGCTAGCAGCTAGCTGCCCACTATGCCAAGATGGAGCATCAATTGTGCCTCCCCTAGCGGCGCACATGTGTGTGCAGCCTGTGCAGCTTTGCCCCAGCTGTGGCCAACCGTGGCTGAATTGTCTGCAAGCGGCAAGCTGCAGGAAGAGTTGAGATAGATATTGGTCTTTTTTGAGAGACTCGAAAAAACTGGCAAAGCAGGGTAAAGTGCCGTATGCCGTTGGGGGGGGGGGGCTTGGCATCTTGTTTTGACCCCCAGACAGGACGCCTCGGAGGTGTACCAGACCTACAGCTATGGCACCTTGCTGTGGCCACGGTTATTCAACGACGACATACCGTTAGGCACACTGCCGATTTTGTAGCCGCTGGAGCAGCTTCTCCAAGAGTGTGGAAAGCATAGTTGAATTAGATTTGGCTGCATCGGAACTGCAGGAGAAGGCTTGTTTGAGGCAGACTTGACAGATCTGCCGGCACCTCTGGACAAGCCCGAGCTTGAAGCTACTACCTGGCAACTACCCGGGACCCGGGTAACTGCCCAGGCCCCCGCACTTACTTCAGAAGTTTCAGGAGGAGCAGGCGCGCCGTTTGATGCATTTGAGCGATCCCGTATCTTGCAGAGTGCCGGTGCGTCTGTAGACACGGCAGGAGAAATCGGACCAAAAGTCACGAGAGGAAAAGCAACGAAGGCAGATGATGACGGAGGCTCCAGCGGCTCAGCACGTGCTCTGAAACCTTGGCCGCGCGTGTGGAGCTGGTCAAACCTTTCAGGAAGAGGTCGCTGAGGAGACTGCCAGGCCAGCAGGGGAGACTTTTGCTCCAGTGGCGGCAGGCCTTTAAGGCTTGAGCTGTGCGGGCCGTGCGCAGGCTGTGGAATGACGAGTTTGCCAGACATGGCATCCCACATCGCGTGGATTCGATGGAGGACTTTTTTGAGGTATGCGTTTGGTAAGCACCTGATTGCTGAGGGGCCGAGGGGGTTGGTTCTCCAAAGCTGGCAGGACAGGCGGCTTGAGAGCTTTCAGAAGTGAAGAAAAACCTGAAGCAACAGCCTGTAGCACCTCCTACATTGAGGGATCCGCGGACGCCTTGAAGCTCCAGGAGCCCGCTTGCATCACTAGCACCTTCCGTAGCCAACGCTGCCCTGAGCCGCGTGGAAGTTAAGCTCCGAGAAACCCCTGGCCACTCTCCTTTATCGGGGAGCTCTCGCATGCTCGCCATGTTTCTGAGACGTGCAGCGACTTGGAAGTCGTGCGCTATTGGACTCAAAAACTAGCCATCTGCACCATCATCATGGAATCCCGTGGTTTTGCTGGGAAATGGGGAAGTTAGCCCTCGGCATCCATGCATTGGGATTCAGCGGAACACGGAAGATCTGGAGCGTGATGGATTGTTTGGCTTGCAATTCTGGTGCAGTGGCTTGTGGGGGGCGCCAGCACGCAGTCGTGACATATTGAGCTTTGTTTGTGCCATCGTCCTGCCACCCGCGCATGGGTGTTTCCATGATTTTTTTTTATGATTTGCTACACTCTTGAAAGCAATGGATCATTCTAGAGATGCGGCCGAATGTGCTGACTTGCCGAAGTTGAAACGTGAAGTCGGCATGCGCCTGCAGCATATTGCTTCTCAGCAATAGTGCACCAGCACCTCGCATAAGCTAGAGAGCACACAGGTGTCATCTCGACCAGTGCAACATTTGTGGCAGCTCCAGGTTAAGACGCTCATCACTTAACAGAGGCTTGTTAAGCTTGATGCCCGACAGAAGGCTCGGTTAAGGTTTGCTCCAGTGTACGCAGCCAGTAGATATGCTTCGCATGCTCTGCCTTTGAAGCAACTGCTGCTCAAAGTCCCCTCCCCCAAAATCTGCGAAAGCAAGACAGCACTACCTGATGTAGAATGGGCAGTAGTGGGAGTGTTAGTTAAGGCTTGTTAAGCACATGGGATGTGCCATGGAGCTTTCCTTGCAGCAGTTGCGGCCATCAAGCAGCATTCCTCGAGGTCCACCATGGCCAAGGCCAGGGAAAATAGGCTCCTCACAAAAGTCTGACGAATTGCAGATGCTTGCAGTTCACGAATTGCAGGTGCATCTTTTCCCCTCTTTGCCCAGGCCGCTGCAAAGATTCAGCTGCACGGGCTGCGGTCGCTCGCCTCGGTACACGGCTCCAAAGTGCCGGACAGCACTGCGGAGCCGCAGAAGAACACGGCCGAGAACGGCTCAGAGAGTTCAACAAAGAGGTTCAACTTTGCAGCTGTTTCCTGGTCCCCGGGCACAGCGCAAGCCGTGCCAGGCAAGCTACGAAAGTTCGAGAACTTCTCGTAGACAGGGGTTTCTCCGTTCATGCTGCTCCAGTGGTGCAGGTACGGGCACATTGGATAGCGAGCCGACAGGCGAGAAAGTCGTAGAGGATCCCAGCTCAGCGAGAACAAAGAGAGATCGAGCACGATGCTTAGTCTCACCAGAAAGGGGGCTTCTCCGCTTCTCCGCTTCTCCGCTGAGTCTGGAGACCGTGACTCCGTGACTTGAGAGGTCTCGGAACAGGAGATCTCCTACTCGATCGTCATCGCAGGATTTGCCAGGCCACCATTATAACTTCATACTCCAGCTGTTATATACATTTGATTTTAAACTCTTTTGTTTTGAATCAATTTTAAAACCATACATGTACATACCGGTGCAGCTCGAGCATTCCATGAGCTGGTTACAGTCACAGTGACATGCCTTCTTGTAGAAAAGTCACTTTCTCCATTGAGCAGATCCGTTTGCATTAAACGGAGCTGTTTGCATGATGCCTTGCAGCAGTACTGCTTGCAAAGTCTTTCGACTCTGTGCTTGGAAGGCGAGGGCGACCAAACGTTGCGGCAATGTTTTTGGAGGCTTGAGGGTCTTGCAAAGAGCTCTGGTTGAAGTAAACGAGTTTATGCTAGAAGAACGAAGCAAACAGCCAGCTAGACATAGATAGTTGTATGCGCTTGTACACGCCGCCTTGGCAGCCGGGCCGGGACGTACTTACGCCTTGCGGACACCTCGGAGACTCCAGCCGCGCGGTCGGGCAGCAGGTCCGGAAAGCGACCACGGGTTGAGGCCAAAATTGGCCGGAGGCAGCCGACTCGCCAACCTGAAACTTTGAACCAGCATCGTCAACAAGCTCGGGGGACGTACAGGCTTGTTGGAGGACCTCTGAAGCCTTGCTTGCGATTAGCAGCGAGGGCTTGCAGTGTCGGCAGGCTGATCTTTGGTGTTGTTGTTGTTGTCTGTGCTTGGTGTGCTTGGTGGGAGCTGCCAAAATTCCAGAAAACCGCCCAGCGACACGAGCTCTTGTATGCGCGAGGGGTTCTAGGGGTCCGACAGGGGGCCAGAGGTCCCAGGAGGACCTCGGTACCACTGGCAGAAGGCTGTGCGGTACCGGCCCGGATTGCAGTGAAGAGATGGGCAGGGGGAAGAAGACCAGTTCTTGGTCTTGTCGTTCTAGGCGCTTCTCGGTCGGCCGAGGCGAATAGGCAGTTCTTCTCATACACGAGCAGTTTGCAGCCGCTTGTGCTGCAGGCCATGGTCGAGCATGGTATCTCGCCAAATGTCTTCGTCTTCAATGGCGCGCATGTAGGGCTAAATTTGCTAAAGTGGCTGAAGAATGCTGCGCTGGTCGTGGTTGCATGGCTTTCAACAACATCGCGGTTTCGCATGCCAGCTGTCATCGCCGCGTTCGCCGGACATGCGGATGTGGCTGAAGCAGCGAGTTGGCTTCGCCAGAGACTTACGTGCTAGTCGTTCACTGTTTTTCAGTCGGTCTGTCGTTGAAGTAAGGAAGAATGAAAGAACACGCGCGGAGCTTGGGATCTGGGCAGTGTTCTTGTATTGGATGTCATGGCTTTGCTGCTCGTGAAAGCTCATAAGCAAGGGGGTTCAGCCCAATGTCATGACCATCACTTCCCTCATCGATGCTTGCGCCAAGGCAGATGAAGATAACCACTGCCACTGTAAGGGCATGAGGTTCGTCTTCTTTGATCGTTTGCAACGTCAGGCCGGCGAAGCCGCTGAGGCAGTGAGGCCTCAAATCTGCATCAAGAAGCTTTCATTTTGTGGCTGCACAGCGAAGGTGGTTCCGAGTCATAGATGAGATGGGTTTGCGGCCCAATGCCGTGCCTTTCCCAGCCCGTCGGCATGCTGCAGTCTGCTGCAGCACCCTTACCGGAACTTCGTAAGGTATCCTACAACGCCGTCATCAATGCCTTCGCAAGGTGCCGTTGAAGTTGAAGTTGCTACAATTAGATTGAAAGCTGTTGAGTTCTGATGACTTATTTTTGCTGCAGGCGAGGTGACTGCTTTGGTGCCATGGACTGGCTTGAGCGCATGCAGCACGACGTGGAGCCCGACCAGGCTGACACATGCTACAGCCGAATGACGGCATGAGGACTCGACATCGGGAGAGAGAGAGAGGGATATAGGTACCGGACACTCCTCAAAAGGTTCAGTTGGGAAAGATCACGGAGAGTGACGGAACACGCCATGTCGTAAGTGTCTTGTTCAATCTGGTTCATGGTTCTCTCCTCACGGTTTCCCTCTCATTCTGGCTCTCGCCCCACGGTGTCCTTCATGCTGGTGGCCCTCCCCCCCTCACTCGCCGCCTTCGAGATGGCCCTCGTATGACGGCCCTATCCCTCACCTAGTTTGCCACTGTCGCAGAGGTCTCCTACAACTCAGTGCTCCACAGCTGCGCGCTCTCCAGGGAGCCCAGAGCAAAGGAGGCACACACCACTGATTTGTTCGGGGGATTCTTGGGTTGGATTGCGCAAGAGCAGTCTTGCATGCGAGAGGCTGAGCAGATCTTCAAACGCATGAGGCTGGATTAACACTCCTTGATTCACTGGCGATCACTGGCGATCACTGGCATGACCTGGCTAGTTCGCGGAGTGTCCCGCCGAATGCTGTGACACTCGGCTCTCTGGCGCAAGCTGTCGGCAGAGATCGCAGGACCGCGCCCTTGAGATGTCTCACGAGCAGTGGTGGTATGTAGCTTGGGTATGATAGCCGTTTGGAGTTGAAAGGTAGGGTCGATGATCCGTGCCCGACCTCCTCGGTGTTTGGGGCCTTCGAAAAGCGTAAACACCCATGGTTTTTTACGATGCGATGCGTTCACGTGGGCTGCCCCCTTCGCCCTGAACCCACGCTCAGCGCACCCGCAGTTCATGGCTACTGCCAGTGCATGCCAGTGCCGCAGACCCCAGTGAGAGGGGCTCGTGTTGATCGCCTGAAGCTGCCACAGCATCTGTCAATGTAGGTCATTAGCAAATTGCGCACAGCAAAGTTGCAGCTGCAGTCAGAGAAGACATGCAGATGGGATGCGGTGCAGCAACAGGGGGCCCGGGTGTGCGGGGCTGTGCCGAGGGTGGCGGGGGCAGTGGGAGCGGTGGGAGTGTGGAGTATTTATGTTGTTTGAATGAAGGCAGCAGGGGCCTTAAAACCTACAAGGGGAGCCGGCGTGTGTGGAGGCGACTGCACTGGAGGGTGGTTGGTGTCGGCGAGAGCGGTGGTGAGGCCGGTGAGGCTGGTGGGGGGTGGAACATGCAGCCGTGAATTTCACTGGAAAGAAGCAAAGGAAGTGTGTAAGCAGTGATCGTCCAGATGTTGCCAAGGGGCTACAAGTGTTTTTGTTGCTGCGGAAGTTGGCTCTGATTCCAGCCCTTTGCCGAGCTGTGGCCCGTCTGAAAAGCAGATTGCGGGATGAACCGCGTAGTAGTTTCCTACCGGTGCTCAACGGGATACCAGCAGAGAAGATGTGCTCGATCATGTGGCTAGAGTGAATGATGTCCAAGAACGCCAGGAATAACCTCTGTGCGGAACTGCAAATTGACGTGGCAAAAGTGCCCGTCTTACAGCAGTCAGCCGAGTGGCAAGATGATCAACTCAGAAGTCCGGCGGATGAGTTGGGATGGGATAATAGCCATAGTCCGCGCAGAGCCCGCAGCTGAGGTCTTGCAAAGCACCGGCAAGCGCACGCATCGCAAAGCCCCTCGCATTGACCGGATTGTTTTGCATCATTTCAGAGCCCGAGATGTCCTAGGTCAAACCTCTCGGTCTCCAAAGATGAGATGCGGCAGACATGTTGATGCCCGATTGCTTTCGAAAGCAGACCATGCATTGACCATTTCTGCAGTGCATGCTGCGTTTTGTATCGTTTTGCATAGCGCCTGCATGCTGTACCTCCAGTCCGCAAGCAATTCAACATCAAGTGATCAGCTTACCGACTGCCTGACAGGCCTGACTGACTGGCTAGGTCCTGCTAGCACGTGCCAGCGTCTTCAATCTTGCAGCAGCATCTTGGACCATGAGTCTCTGTAGCCAAGATTTCTCGCTGCTTGTTCTACCTTTATCTATCTGTAATATACCACATAGAACACACAAAGCAAATGTCCTTGAGAACTACACGCCATGGGAGTTTCGACCTCGAACCTGCAAGGACTCGGACACGCAAATTCCCAACCTTGGAGCCTCAGCAGGGACCGCCGTTTCGTGGCAGGACCATGGTTCTTCCCGGAGAGTGCCCAAATTGTGGTCGTGCCCGGTGACCTACAGCGAAACATTGGCTGAGCGGGCCTACATGGGGGGGTCATCACATGTAGCTCAAGGTGATGATGTCTTCAAAATATGATGGTATCATAATGTGGATTCACAGCTGCGCCTGAGGGTGTGCACGTACGTGCGCATCTGTGCATCTGTGCATCTGTGCATCTGTGCATCTGTGCACCTGTGCATCTGTGCACCTGTGCAACCGTGCATCTGTGCGTGCGTGCATGCGTGCGTGCGTCCATGAGTGCGTGAGTGCGTATATCAGGTTGAACGACGCGCGGAACATCGCGCTGCTGAACGGTGAGGCTTAACAGCGTTGCTTTGCGGCAGCTGGTTGGAGATCATGCTGTGGAGGAGCTGAGTGCCCTCATCCAAGTCGAACCCCAAGACGAGCTGCACCATTTGACAAGGCAGGCACACTTATGTCATAACATTGCGGAGAAGAATTTCCTGTCATCGTATTGGGCAGGGAAAGCCCAGCCAGTTTGCCACGCGCCCGGGTGTCGAGACACTAAAATCAGTCATCGTCATGGAGCCCTAAACTCCTAGGTCCTAAATCCTAAAACCCCTAAACCCCTAAAACCCAGAACCCTAGCTGTTAAAAATTGTGATTTGCATTGGACTCCGGGGCCTGGAGCTCTGGTTAGACTCAGTGTGCCTCTGCTTCTGATAGTCGAGACTAGACAGTATATCGAATCGTTGTTTAGTTTTGTCATAACCAATGGCATATCATGTTGTTAGGAAACAACATGAGGCAGCATGTGCAGCGTCCGGTTGCGCGCACGTCACGACGCCCCATTTCACTGCGCCGGGAAGTCACATGATGCATCACAAGCGTTAGTGTCGCCCTCACAGCCCTTCGGCTTCTGGTCCGGAATCCATGACAATCAGAGCAAGGGAGAACTTCGAGTGTGGTACATATGGGGCTCCCACCAGCATCCACGCAAGTTTTTTCAGTACAGAAACGAGACCGAGAATGCATGGCAGGAACCGGTGACGGACACAAATGGCAAAGCGATGCCCTTGATGTGGCTTCTGCATGCTTCTGCTATGGCCCTGCATGTCTGCGTTGTATCATGTATCCTCAAGTCGGGCGCTCTGTACAAACATGAGGAGGTTCTGGACACAAGACCGAGAGGGTGCAGACTTGACCAGCTACGGCTGCTAACAGCTTTGCTGTGTTTGCAAAAACCTTCACAAGCAAGCGCATGCAGCCAGCAGAAAGTTCGACAAAGACCCGGATGATCGGCTCTGCATCCTGTGCGGGCGGCGGCGGCAGACGCCCTAGCCCTCGAAAGAGCATGGCGTAGCCAAATAAAGAAATACCTGGCAGAGCACGCACTTGTGCAAAAAGACCCACGTCCTAAACCTAAGGGAAAAAACGCAAGTTAAAAGATAAAAAAGAAAGGAAGGGCAGGCAGCGCCAGCGGCCAGCGCACGACAAACAGCTATGGCTGAGGAAGTCGAGGCGAGCAGCAACTGTGCAGGGCGGCCTTAAAACCGAAAACGAATTTGACCCCTAAGGTAACCCAATGTACAGAAGCATAGGGCGAAGAAGCGAGCTTAGCGCATAGAAGCGCCCAAGTGCGGGCAGGGGAACCCGAGGTCAGAGGCAGGTAGCATCAGCGGCCACCACGCGTGTCTACATGTGGGATCTATTGATGCTTTAAATCCAGTCCAATCAGTGCCCTGCAGCCTTAGGTCAGTGAGTCCGAACACGATCCTGGTAGTGAAATTTCACGCCATTGTGCAAGGCTTGCAGGAGCCTCTCCACGAAGTCTCACTAAGCACCAGCAGTAACAGACCAAACAACGTCCTAGGTCCGCGCCGGTACATTGCCGCTCTGGTAGATTTTGGTAGCAGGACACAGCAAGATGCCTTGGAGACATCGTGCTCCCCCTCGATCATGTTGCCCGCGTGCGCATGGCCCAGACATGCACAAGTCAGTTTGATTTGTTGTTTTTTTGTGCAGTATCTGTATCAGTTTAGATTCAGGTGTGCAGGCAGTCTGTATCAAGTATGGCTGCCGTTGCAGCCAGCTTTGTGAATGCCTCAGACTACGAAGAACCTCCACCTGTTCAAGTCACAAACCTTCGAGTGGATGACCAAACCCAGGTCACCCGTGCTGGAGGAGGACCACGTTGACAACTTCGACAAGGCGATCCCAAGTAAAATCTTTGAGCCGGAAACGGCTTTTTGAGAAGTTCTGTAGCGACAAGCTGCTCATGTTTATAGAAAACGTGTGTAGAGGTAGTGCTCAGGTTCAGGCTCTTTGTCTTTGAGCTCGGCTCTATACAATCTGATCTTGGTATCTCATTTAGTTTCCGTTACGGGTGCCCTGAAGAAACGTGGCCGTACGAAACTGGGGCTAGCAGGATAATGTGCGGAATTGACCCAATGTAACACTTCAAGCAGAGCTGAAGTCTTCACCCAGGTTCATCTCATCCAGATCACTCTGCAATTTCCCCTCACAATCCCTTCAGCAAAACCTCCAGGCTTACTCTGAGGCGCATCCAGAAGGAACTCAAAAGGTGCTTGTAAGGAGAACACCTTATCCTCTGTCAAGCGAATCCTGGCTTCGAAGGGCTCCTGTGCACAACTTCGGGCCTCGTGCAGGCCGTGTGGAAGGCGGCCAGAGATCCTCGGAAGCCAATGGCCCGAAGCCTGGGAGAGCTGGAGCCTATCAGTCCAACAAAAGTTGTGAACGCTTGCGCGCGCCGCCTCGGCGGCCGGGTCGGCCCAACGCGGCGAAGGAAAGCCAAAGTCGTCTTATGTCGCTTGGTGCAGGCTGAGTGTCAGAAACAAGGCCTCGCACGGCGCCGGCGGATTCCCGCAGACAGGATTCCAGGGCGTTTCAGGAAGCCTTGGACCAGGGCGTGTTTTGTGTTAATGGGGTACTAGGAGGTATTTTGGCGTGCCGTCTGCCCACTGGGCTGGACCCCCTCGGCATCGGATTGTGGTCCGACGGGGAGGAGGGTGGAGGTGTGGGCCAGATTTTTTTTGGGGAGGAGGGGAAGGGGGAAGCATGTTTCAGACGCGTCCTCTCGGCCGGAGGCCGAGGCGAATGTATCAGGACTCGCACACCCAACAAGAGAGTTTGCATTTCGGCATGAGTCTTTCTTGGCACCCCCAAGTGATTGTGGGCGGTCATCGTCTGTCTGCTGGATTCTCTGCAGGTGTGTCTCAGCCTATATGCTGGCTGCATTCCACAAGTCGGGTGCACAGTCCACTTTTTGAGGATCTTGTAGAAACAGCTGTTTCGTTCGACGGCCCAAGGCTAGCAAAGACTATTTGTTCAATGCTTCGGCCAGTGAAAAGGCCGGGATAACAGCTTGTGCAGTTTGCGCCTGTAAGTATTCTCGAGCATCAAAAAAGATGTGCAAATCGCCATGGTCGGAAGCGATGTGCATTTGAGACATGGTTTGGCTGCTTCAGGCAGATCGCTTTCTTGGATTGCTGCAGCCCGGCCCCAAGGACGGCCGCGGCAGAGCCATTTGGCTTCGTCGCTCTGTCAGGTCTCACACGCAACACATGCGGCTGCTGCAGGCTTTGGAAATTGTCCGAGGGAAACAAAGAGACGTGAGAGCGAGCACCTCGCCAGGCTTTGTACAGAGAAGTCCGCAGCAACCAGGCAGGCAACTTCGTAACATAGATTTAAGGGAAGAGTTCAAACCACGTAGACGCACACGAGCCTCACACGGCCAAGTTGTGGCAGGCAGCGCAGCAGCTTGCACATGCCCCGGTCGGTACTCTTGAAGGGCAGTTGCATGATGTTGCGACAATGTTTCCCTATGTTTCCCTTTTGTATGTTTGGTTTTGTTTGGGCGTTTCACGTCTCGTCGAAGTTGCATGTAGTTGACATATGCAACTCTTCAGAGTGCTGTGGCCATCCTTCATCGACGATAAAAGGAGAAGAACAAGCGTAGATTCGGGACTGACTCAGGACTTGTCACGCTCCAAAGATGGGCTGGCGGACTCATGGCCCACAGAGCTGTGGCCTTACGACTTTGCAAACGGGGGTCGAACTTGGCACAGAAGTCGCACTTGCTCCGAGGTCTCGGCGATTTGAGGCGGCTTGGAGATCACGTGGCTTCCCTTCTTGCTCGGAGTGCCATTGTGTGCAGACAGGCTGCGGGTACGCCCGATTTGCCTGGTCCAAAGGAGGTGGGATGTTTGGCTGTTTTAAGGCTGCCTCGCATGCTGCGTTGCTTGTCAGGCGCGTGGGGACGGCGAAGACGCCAAGCCCCTACTGTACCTGCCACATCTGCCACTGTCGCAGTGTAAGCAACACTTAGAACATCTTAGAACCAGTGACTCTAAGACTCTAGTGATCTTCAGAGCTATTCACAAAAGCTGCAACGTGAGGATCCCTCGAGTGTCTAAGGTGCCCCGTGATGACATAAAGGCCTGGTTCTCTTGCGGCGTTGGGGCTGCAATCGTGCGCCTTAAAGCCATGGCATCTTCTCAGTACTTAGCATGCTCTCCGTGGAGGAGACTCTGGACTATCTTCGTGAGGAAATCAAGCTTAGCTCTTGGTTTGTTCCGAGGATCTCAGAAAGGGATGTTGCGTGTTGCAATCCCCGCCGAGGGCAACCACCGCGGATGCTGATGCCAGAATCAACAAGGCACCTGTACCTGCGCTGCGTGCCTATGGGCCACCACCTCTCTGAATCCGGAGAATCTGTGTGCCACGGAGGCCGCCGAGTCCGTCACTACGCTGAAAGATATGATCCAGGGGAAGCAGGCAGTCAACTCAGGATTCTGGTGCAGAAGCAGCTTTGAATTTTGTCCAAAGCCTAGGTGGAGCTGATCCAGAGGAGAAAGGAGGTTCTGAGCAAAGTGGATAGCCGGCAGCCACATTGCAAACAAGTTTAACGGCTTAGCTACTCAAGGTATCTCGCCTCTGGCATGATGCGGAGTCTGTGGAGGTGAGGCTCTCATGTCCTGAGAAGGTGCTGCATAAAGCCCCTCATCTGGCGTCCACATGCCAGTTGGAGAACCAGAAGCTTCAAGTCCAACTCACAAGGGCTTCGCTAAATGCGGGAGCCGCACCGAGCTTTTGAGCTACAAGGATATCGACCAGAACAATGTGGGTAGGTGCTGGTTCTCCTGTTCTTGAGGCCAAAAAGACACTGACAGCGAAGAGGTCCGAAAACTCCCGGCATACTCCCAGCATACTTATAGGCATGAGGTTAACATGAGTTTAGCATCTGTTTAGCATCTGTTTAGCAGATAACTCAGCTTCTTCAAGATCTCCAAGTCAATTCGTGGCTTCGACAGGCCGATCAGCTTCGCCGAGAGGCGGAGGATTTCAAGACACAAAAGGAGGCTCTGAGTGATGCCCCCTGCCCCTCCCCCCCCATGACAACATTATGCCCCATGTAAATCCCCCTTATCATCTCCCACTATTGTGTCCCATTGGCTGTTGCAGTTCAGTGGCTGTGCATGCTTCAGCATGCTTCTGCGAGAAAGGCCCACATTGACAGCGGCACCGCCAGTGGAACATCTTTCAAATTCTTTCGATCTAGGGAGCTAGAATGTGAGACGACCCAATTGCACATGCAGAAGCTCTGGATGTTTGTGAACCCTTCTCCGACCTCCAAGAATCCCCGACCCGTCCCCGACCCTTCAGCCTTCAAGACTTCAAGTCAGAGTGTTTTTGAAGTTCTTCCGAAGTTCTTCAGATTTCTTGAGAAACTTCAGCCTCACATATGGAGCCCAGTGGCCATGGCCTGGAGCGGTACGTAGCGCTGGAAAGCACAGTTGGACGCGGTACCCACGGCCTTCAGCGCTGGTTGGCCCCTGCCAGCCTTCTTTTATCGGCCCTGTTTTTCCAGAACGCCGGCTTGTACTCCGCCAGCTGCGAGTACGTGCGTTGGACGGACGAGGCCGTGGCTTCCGTGGCAGGGCGTGTTTCTTCCATCGAGGAGGAGGCGCAGTTGGCACTGGAAGATCCCGTGCACGGTCTGCTGAAGTCTTCGAAGCTCGCGAGGTCACTGGAAGGACTGAGTTGGTCCCCGGAGATCTGGGTTGATTTGATGGCGGACTGTGTGATTCTGCTGCTGCTGTGGTGGCTTGTTCGGAAGAATGATCTCAAGACCTGGACACATCTTGCACTGTCAGCGTCAGTTCTGGCGGTCTTGAAAGGGTTCCTAGCTTGGTCTACTGTGCTGCCTAATGCAGCTGGATGGGGAGGGTGCAAGCAATCACTTGGTGCCGATGGCTTGATGTACTTCAGACGCCAGAACACTGGGAGCTTGAGCCTGATGGATTCTTTGTTGGATATCACTCTGCTTACTATCCAGAGCCTGTGGCTGCTGGGACGCGCAGCGCCGCAACAGCTGTGCTCCGACACACTGTTTTGCTGCTCTACCAGCTCTCTGACGCTGGTGTGCCTTAGCGCTTATGAGGCCGTTGCGCGCAGCGTGGACGAGTTCAGACACGAGCGACGGGCAGCGGTCATGGGGTTGTTTGGCCTCATACTCTGTGCCATCGTTCTTGCAGACATCACCCTAGCCATCGGAAGCAAGCTCCACTACAGCCTTGACGTGGTGGCAGCCGTGCCGCTGAGCTTCTTGGTGTACGGCAACCCAGCTTTGGCTTTGATGGCCCAAGATTGGGCTGACACAGATGTAGCCACAAGTGAGGTCCCCACCGAGGCACTAAGATTCCCGCCCGATCTTGGTATTGTTTCCGTGGCCCCGTGCTGCTTACCATTTGCTGATCTTGCCGGCACGTATTATCTGCAAGACAGAGATTGGGACTTCGGCCCCTTCAGTTGGACCGCGGAGCGACAGCGTCAGCACTACCGAAGGAAGTCTGAGATACAGGCAACGCTTGAGGCCACATTGACCTCCAAGGGATCTGTTAAACGATGTGTTGATTGGTTTCAGGCGGCAGTTCCCGTAATGCAAGCCTCTCCCACTCCTGTCCCTCTCCTGTTTCCTTTTCCCGACATGCAGAGGCCACCCGACGACGTTGTGAGGACATTTCGCTTCTCGTGCAAAACAGCAAGCGGGCAGCCGAGCGTGTCCTTGAAGAGAAGCGCGAGGAGCCCACCAGGGATGTGGCCACTCAGAATAAAGCCGGATCGCCTAACCGGCTCAACCGGATTGAACCTTGAACAGTTTGTGTGTGACCAAATCGGTTGAACGAAGTTGATACCAACTTTTCGAGCACACGTTGTACCATCCTTGTGTCTGTTTCAGCTTGGCGATGTGGTTCGAGTTTGAAGCAGGAAATGGACCGTCGTGTCTCCGAAGTGCACAACATGCAGGACCAAGCAATGCACGGTATCTGCACGACATGTAGAGCATCTTCAGTGCCGACGACTGTTGCCGTAGGAGCGAGAGCTCGCCGATGCAAAGTCAGCGTTGGAGGTGGATCGCGAGGCTCGCGACTCGGTGTCGGTCTCGATCGGAAACTCGTCTCTGAGCCTGCAAGCTGCAAGGCAGTTGCTGCGCTCAAGTTGAAGTTGGCCTCCACGTCCACTTCGGTGCCTCGCGGTGCTGCATCTTAGCCGTGAGCGCCTCCGGACAAGAACGCTGGCAGAGTGTTTTAAAAGATCGAAGCTTTGCTGCTCAGCACCAGCTCTTGCATCGGTGAATCTGTTGAGTGTGCAGCGTAATGCAGGCACTGCTTTTGATCCTGCGAGACTTCTACGGCGCCATGGGGGAGGACTTCGGGTGGGTCGGGCCGGGTGGGTCGCACAAAGGGCAGATGACGTGACAAGGCTTGTGGTTGTTGAAGCAGGCAGGTGCTTTTGCAATGCACGTGCTTCGAGTCATAGAGTGATACAAGATAGTCATAAAAGGCTACTGGGTACTGAGTTGACCATAAGGATGTCCAAGGCTAAGGCTTCAAGGCAGGTACATCTAACCACATGTAGTGTATCTTATATGGGCTTGGTGGTCTCTTCAAGTAGAAGAGGCCTCCGGCCTTTACAAAGTCGATCGCATCGAGAATGCTTAAACTCATCGGTGCTGACGCGTACAGCTTGGATTTCAGCAATCTTTTTGTTCATAGTGCGACAACGACCCGTGTGTCCGTTGCAAAACAACTGGCCTGACCACGATATACGCGCTGATCGGTTATGTCCTTACCATGTTGCGGCTGTCGGACAAGCCCACAACATGGTGAGGAGCCACCTACACTGGCGCTTGGCGCTTGGTGACAGTGCAAGCTCTTGGCGATAGACCTTGGACCCACTTGACTTGACGAAGGGCGGTCGTCAACAAACACCAGTTGCGGTCAGCGTCTCGGTATGTCTCGGTCTTCCAGATTATGAGCAGGTACATCCGTGGCAGGCGTTAAAAAGCTGGATTCATAGATTTTGTCAGTCTTCGGTCATGGGCCAGGATCAATGCCGTTTCCCTAGAAGTGCAGGTCAAAAGAGGTTGAGCCCGACGGCGACAAGGCTCAATGGATGCACCGGCATGCACCGGCATGCACTCTGGCCGCTTCCTTTCCCAATGACTTGCATTGGACCGTGGACTGCGCATGGCACGAACGCTGCATCCGGCTTCAGCTCAGGTTGTGCCATAGGTAGTTTGATCAGTTTGATCTAAGCCATTAAACCTGGCAGCTTGCTTATGAGTATGCCACGTGATCTTTCCTGAGCTTTGAAGCGTCAGTCGACCTGGCCAGTAGCATTTCATTCAAGCCTATGTCGCTGTCTCGAAGGCGCCGTGAAAGATTGCATGCAACGTGCAAGCAGTCTCGAATCATTGGTACGGGCAGCTTGTGATGCAACCTCCCAAGCCGAAGCAAATCTTGGTTTTGGTCCGGTACACAGTCGTAAGAATGTCTGTGCTTGTGCGGCAAGGATTGGTGTTCAGGGCAGGCGGCGCGGGGCTGTGCTCCTGGCCGTAGCGGTGTGTGGGGGCCTTGATCTGCTGTAGGGTGGGCTGTGATGGGATCTCCCCTTCGCTGCAGGCTTTGAGGCAGTACGCCGACTTGCTTTCAGCGTGCCACTTAGTTCAGGCTCGGCTTCCGAACCGGCCCAACACTGTGTTGCCAAGACCATGTATTGACATCGCAGGCAGCTCCGTTGCCTCTGAGCAGGGCACCATAGGCACCAGAATCCCTCGGTTGCTCTGCCTAATCGTTCACCTCCAGTGCGGCATGCCCTTGCACAGGGAAGACGGCTTCGGCACATCTACTTTCACGGCAGCAGCACTCTCAGCAAGTGCTGAAAGACTTGTGCTTGCTCATGATATCCACCGAGGCCCCAGGTTCAATCTGCCGCCCTTCCAGAGGCCGTGATCTACTTTGTGCCATACAGCTCTCCATCCTGCAGTCTGGCAGGCACTCTCAAGTGTTCAAGACCTCATTCAGCAGGCGCATTCCCTCGTGGGACTAGTCGTTCTAAATTCTCTTGGGCGGCTGCTGCAATCTTTGTGGTCATATCGCATGTAAGCAAGCTATTGTTTGTGTTGCTTCCTTCCTACAAAGAACATCAACGACCCAGTTGTTTTTTTGCCACTGGGTACATACAGTCTTCGCATATCACGAAGCTGCTATCGAAGGTTCCGGAGCAGGTGGCCGCGTGCGCACCTTAGATAGCGCAGAGCTGTAATCTGCAGACGGTGCCGGCAGTTCGCGAAGGCTGGGGCCGATGGGCATTGTCTACTTCTTTGGCATCTATGTTGTAGTAGTGCCCCCAGGTATCATGACAATCTTTTGCAGCTCCAGTAGGCCGGTGTTCAGGCAGAATGTCTGGCCTTACCCGCTGCTCCCTTGACGTTGTCTTCTGGGTATCTCTTTGGCCCAGCCCTCAGCGCTCGGATGCCATGGCCTTGGCCGTAGCTGACAGAATTTTTGAGGTTTGCCGGCCGGAGCGATAACATCGGTCCTGGCGGGGACACGCGCAAAGCATGAATGGTGTCTCGCTCTTTGCAAGAGTCGTGGTTTTCCCGTTCTTGATTGCGAGAGTTGTGGACAGCAGGACGACGGCAGCAGCGATTGGATTTCTGCTGTCCCGGACATTCCTTAGGACGGGTGCTGATGCTGATGCCGAGCAAGACCGCTCCATCTCAGCTGCTTCGCTTTCTGCTGTCCACAAGCTGCAGGCCCCAGATTCAGAAAATTGCGGAGGAAAATGAGACATTCCGCGACATCAACAAGGCAGGGTCTTTTCGAGGCGGCGGGACGACAGCTCTTCATCCAATGGCAATGTGTGAGGCCGTAGAGTCTGCTTCCAAGCTTGCGTTTCAGCTTGTACATGTGGCTTCTTGTGCACGAAGCATGTTTGAACCTTGATTGAAGAGCTTTATGCTCAAGCGAATGCGAAGTCACTGTGCAAGTTGTCACTTCGAGTTTCCTGTAGCATGACATGTAGCATCTCATGGTTTACACACAGCTGAATGCCAGACCTCTCCACTTGCACCGAAAAACAAATGTTTAGATTTGTTTAGGCTTGCATGGGCGAAGTAGCCACCAGATAGCTTGGAACGTTGGCCTAAACCCTGGGCAAAACATGCGCAGCCATGGCGGGCTATCCGCAACAAATGATGTTTGCGATGGTGCCACAAGCCGTTGTGATGCCGTCTGCCGTCGTGATGCCCCCTGCCGTACTGATGCCGCCCATTGCAGCTCCTGTGGGAATCGACATTGCCACAGAGGCAGGGCCATCCCGGAGCTCTCTGGATGTAGGCTGCGGCCATGGTTTTTCAGAAAAACTGCTGGCGAGTTGCGTTCGTGCTAGCTGCCGTTGCTGCTGTTTGTTGCTTGCCTGTTCAGCAATGTATGAATTCAAAACTCAGAGTTGTGGCGCGAGGGGACCTGGATAAGCAGGAACCAAAGCTCGTTCTACACTGGGTGCTCAGAGTCAGCACAAAACTGCAAGCATGTACCCGCATACAGTTCGAAACCCAGTGGACACAGAATCCAATGATAATCCCTATGTCAATCTCTCGCCCCCCTCCCAGCTTTTGATTCCATTTCGACTTAATCGTCCGAGGGCACAGGCAGTCAGAAGTCAGAATAGGTTTCCTATATTCCTAAACTCCCCTTACTGCCTGAGTCCCTCAAACCCCCAAAGAACCGTACGTTTCAGTGCTTCGAGCTTTCGGCCCCTTTTAGTCCCAGAGGTGCAGCGCATGGTGGAGTGCGAGGGCTTCAAGCCCATGGCTTTGGCAGTCCAGTCCCCAGCACGGGGCGGTGAGGGCTCGAGCTTCTCTTTACCTGTGCTTTTTGGGCGGCTTGAGGGTGCTTAAGGGTGTTTAGGGTTTGTTTAGGGTTTGGGTGTCGGCCGTTGAGGGCTTGCCGCGCTGCTTGTTAAGTTATCAGGGGTTTGTAGAGCGTGGGGCCCCTTGGGGGAGTAGCGTCAAGCCACTGGTGCTCAGGATGCCGAGGCGAGACTCGGCTCTGCTTCACAAAAGTATCTGGCGAGTAATTGCTTGAGGCTGGAGCAGGCGCGTCGCATTCCCTGACAGCCCAGTGTTGAGGCGCCATCGCCTCCATTGCAGGTTTTAAAGCTCCACACAAGCCTCATAAGCGTGTGGAGCCAGGACCTCCTCGCCAGTGCGTCTCTTTCGAACATTTGACTTCCCCAAAATCTAGCACATACTTTAACCCCCCCTAAATTAGGAGCTTTTCAATAAGAGCAGACACACAAAGAGCCGCTACGCTCCTCTGCAGGATGACACCGGTGTCCTGATGGTGTCCGTACCATCGTCGCCGTGGCTGGGGGCCGACGCCAAACCGCCGTCTGAACATGGGCCTACGGGCCCCAAGCAGAAGGAGAACCGGGATCAGGTGCCACATGGTGCCACATGCCGCCCTTCACAGTAATCCGCTGATCGCTTTCTTCGGGCCAGGTCCTGACCGGCATTCTCCGCGGCAAGGCCAAAGGGTCGGAAATATCAGACGTGTCAGAAATGGCAAGAATACAAGAACCAGGCCCTGGACATCATAGAGGATCTCACCAACATACCAGACTTGCAAGAAAGCTTGCGTGCTGGACTCAGGGCAGACCAAAGCTGAAGGGTCAAGCTGCACCAGCCTCGTCACCTTCAGGTGACATTGCTGCGATTCTGCTGACTTCTCCAGACAGGTCTGGAGCTTAAAGCATCTATGACAAGCATGTCCCGCAAGTGCTGAGCTCCTTGCGCTACTCGAGAAGAGCGCAGCGCATGGGAGCTAAACGGAAGCATGCGCTTGGTTGTGCTCGAATGTGCTGTGCGCGTGGCCAAAGTAGGCCGATTGCATCTCGGTTGCCGTCATCACGAATCTGCGTCCGAACATGGCCGGAGGAAGGCTCCAACGGAAGGTGGCTTTGCTTGCAATGAACACAGGAGCCTGACTTAAGAGAACCCGTCAGAGATAAACACGGCTCCGCGAGACAGGAAGAACATGGAAGAACCTTTCCGAATTCGAAATGTGGCAGTGATCAGGCTGTTGCCGTTGGACAGTGGATGCCTCTTCCGAATGTTGTCGAGAAACATGTGGCCAATATCGGCTCGTGGATGGAGTGGGAGGTCCATGGAACGGGGTTACGAAGAAGTAGAGTAAGTAGACACCATGAAAGAAACGGCCTGTTTGGCTGTAGCGCCTGGTCGGGCCGGGGGCTGCGTTGGGCTGCCTCAAAGTGCAAAAACGCTGAAACACCAACCCCCCAGGCAGCTTGTCCGGATCTCGTGGTGATATTGCGGGATAATCAAACACGGGGCGCGCGCGCGCGCGCTGCAAGGACGATGCTCGTCTCAAGTCTGGGCAACAGGATATCCACGAGAACAAGGAGAAGTGAATGCTCTCTTTGGACTCTGCTCATCGAACGGAATCGAATGTGAATCACTCTTTCAGGAATTTTCTACGGTGTGCAAAGCTTCGCACAGCCCAGCTGCTGCGATGCTTCTCCGACGACTTTTTTCTGGAGGAGATCTTCAGTCCCCTTGCCTACTGTGTGAATTCCACAGACTCTTCCGTGTTCATCAATGTGAGCATGAGTTCAAAGGAAGTAGGTGGAATGCCCACAGATTAAGTATGCTTGGCCATCAGAATTTTTTGCGCTGCATTTGAGCTTTGCACAGTGGTCCTAACTTGCACAGTCTCACCGACAGCGGCACCAGCTTGTTTCCGGCAACGGCAGGAGAAAGGCGCGGGCACGACCGTGACTTACGCAAAGGCGCATCTCCCGGATCTTGCATGTGCAGTTGTGCCAGAGTGTTTGTTGAACAGCTGCTGCTGCTGCCGCCGCTGCCGCTGCCGCTGCTGCTTATTAGGGAGCCGTAAGAGTGTCAGAACAATGTTCAGGCGTGGTTTTTGTACTGCGGACACGCAAAGCCATGCGCGGATGCATGGGAGGCTGCACCCAAGCAGTACTATGTGACTCCGCAGCAACACCAGAGGACAGCTCTGCCGGACTCTGGCGATAACAGCTTGCTGCTTCGACTTGCCCTGTTTCCGGACGAATGCCCCAAATCGAACACGTAAAGGTCAAAAGTCCAAGCTTGCCTTCTTTGACTGGGCCAGGATCGACTCTGCTCGACATGCCAGGCTTTTGAAGCTGGCAACAGACGTTACCATGGATTTCAGGACGGCATGATGAATGGGTTAAATATGATTAAATAAGATTGGCCCAGAATGCCGCAAGTGGGCGCAGCGTCACGCAACCTTGCACACAACGTGCGAGCCTGAAGATCTCTGCTCTGGAGGCAAGCCAAAGACATATCTGCCGGTGATCTCATCGAGAAGTTATGCCACTGGTCTCAACATTCTCAACCCAGCTCTTGCTTCTACCAATGAGCCGCAATTCAACGAACCACGACAATGATGGATACCAGTTGCCATGGTCTCTGCAGGCAGTGAAGGCACTCAAGGCATGCTGCTGATCGACTGCCGATCCGCCACTTGGAAATCAAAAGACTTTGTGGTCGGGAAGTTAAGCAAAAAAATCCAGTTCATTCCGCCGTCATGTGGTCATACTCATTAAGTGTATCTCTTTCAAATTCTTCAAGGTTAGGAACTGATGGAGCTGATTCCCCGCCCTCGGTTTGGGGTTGATACGTTTTTAGGTCAACCATACTCCTCACCTCCTCGCCTCCTCGCCTCCTCTCTCTCTCTCTCGCCTGCTGTCCCGGTCCCCAGAATCCTGGTCCTTGGAGTCCCTGGAGTCTGCAGGGAGTTCGCGGCGTACCCCTGGAGTGCCAGCCGGCAAAGAGACCCTCCGCCGCCGAGTATCCTTGCGCCCCCAGAGAAGCCCGCGCAAGATCCCGCCCAGTATCGCCCATTCTCAGAAAAGCCTGCAGAGAGTCTAGCCAGAGAACCCACCCCGAAATAGGCACGCCGAGTATCCTCCGCAGACCAAGTCTCCCTCCCTGGAGTCCCCATCCCTGTAGTGCCGAATAAACCTCAGAGAACGTACCCCCTGGCCTTCAGAGATGCCCTCCCTTCCAAGCAACCCCAGCTGAGAACCCTGAAGAGAGTCCCGCCGAGCGCCCATGAAGTGCACAAGCCCGCAGAGAGAGTATCCCTGGAGTGCCTGACCCCCGAGAATCCCGCAGAGAGACCTGCCAAGTATCCCTCAAGCACCCGTTCTGGAGTGCCCACGGAGAGCCCCGCGTTAGAAGCCTGTGGCGAAGTATCCGTAATTACCAGTCTGAACGCGCTAGGGCCGCGAGGGTGGCTCCCACATCAGGTAGGTATAGGGTGGGGATGATCTGAGTAAATTGTTATCGAATAACCCTTTGTGCTCGTGACCGGCAATGGCAAGATTTATGAGCAAAATTGGTCAGTTGGGGCCTTTTGTCTTGACCCCTGCTCATGTTTCGTAAGGACAAGCACGATAACCTGTGTACCTAAACTTGCTTCTTCCTGGCCATTGAGGAAGCTGAACAAGTGCTCAGTGCTCTGCCCGGCGCTGTACAGCTTCCCAGAAGCATTGGCGCTGTCTGAGATTGAGCTTTCTGGTGCCTGTTACAAACTTGTTGAAGTCTGTAGGCCATCGTGGTGTATCGGGGATCCGTCCTCCCCCCCACTCCCCTGTCATCCACTGGTTAGCCTGCTCAGTCTTTTTCTTTTTCTGCGACCTTCGTGGGTTCTGAGGCTTTACCATGTCACTGCGGAGCATTTGCAGCAGGCAGTTGGCCCGATGCATGTGGAATGAGTCGGCTCGTGTTTGCTGGTCAGGCAGCTTTCGTGGTGGCGCACCTTTGCTCAACCTTCATCCAGCAGCATTCAATTTCGCCCATAGTCGATTCAAGCAGAGCAAACGTTGGGAAACTCTGGAACGTGTCGTTTCCACCAGCTGCCAGGTACTGCTGCATTGGTTGCCGATCAGCCGAGTGGTGCCAGGCAGCGTGGCTTGCACATAAAATCTCGGCTTGAAACCATTTGAAACATACTGAAAACCATTGGACCTGTTTGGGCACTTGGTGCCCTGCAAGAGGAGCTTTCGAGTTCCGCCGTGGCCCACAAGCTGCACTACCTCAAAGGTGGAATTGCAGCCTGGCTCCATGAGGCCGGGGCAGTCTGCAGCAGTGTGACGCATGAGCTTGAAGTTTGAAGAGTCTCGTGTTCAGGGCGGCCAACTCATCCAACCCAACACCGGTTCTTGCCTTAGCCGCAGTGTGAGCGGCTACAGGTCTTTGTGCTCTTGCTGATGAGCATGCTTCAGGAATGCCCTGCCGGCTGGTGCACTGCTGGACTTGGGAGCTTACTCCCTTCTTCCCCACGCGAGGAGTTTTCCGATTCTTTTACGCATGAGATCTCTCCTATGGTCCTATGAAAAACTTACGGTTTCTGACCTTTTGGCCGACGAACGCAACACCTTAAAAGTTACGTACGTCGGACAGGATGCGAGGTGCACAGCCCTGCCCAGCTGGGCACGATGGCACAGTAGGGCACTCAGTGCTCCGCTGAGCGACCTTCATGGGAAGCTGGGCCATGAAACGGCCATTGTGCAATGTCCAAACTGAGACGCCCAGGACGGAGATCGAAAGCTCGCCCCAGCGTAGCTTGACCCGGGCCTCTAGGGCGCGGCCGGAGCCCTTGAGTCGATCTAGTCGGAGGGGTGGCCTGCAGCTCTTCTGAACAAGGTTCTTACAAGCTCTTACGCGGGAGAGAGAAGGAGGGAGAGACAGAGATCGCGCCCTGCGTGCCGGGAGGGGAATTCCCTGCAGAAGAAGACGAAGAAGAAGAGGAAGAAGAAAAAGAATAATAAGAATAAGAAGAATAAGAAGAAGAGTATAATAGGCAAACCCACATAGAACGAACATGCAAGAGATTGCAGGAGAGCGCAAGTGCCCCATCCGAACCACCTCCCCCAAAAAGCGGCCGGACGCACGATGACCCAGATTGGGCAGACATGCTCAACTGACACAACCAGCCTAATGGCGGTGGCCCAATGGGGCACTGAAGAAGAGACTTACCACCGAGAGGTGGGAGCGGAGGAACTAGTAAACGAGTACGAGATAGTACGAGGTAACGAGCCACGCAAAGGCCAGCAACCAAGCCAGGGGTACAGCTGCGCATCGACGGAGGAGCTGGAGGAGGAGTCCTCCGAAATTCCGGGTTGGAGCAACAGAACCGCACCAGTTACAAGGAGGCAAAAGATGTATGAGTGGGGAAAGAATGACGAAATGCAGGAGGAGGCAAGCTCTCACCAAGAAGAGGCAAACAGAGCAGAGAAGAAGCAAAAATTAGGAAGGGACAAGCAGGGAAGCGCGACTGGACACCAGAAGGACCACCCATCCTGCCCATCGCAGCAAGGACCAAGTCCTCTTTGAGCGGGCGGTTTGAGCGGGGGCTGCTCCGTGTGGGTGGTCCGAGTCATCCCCAAAAGCATGCACGGCACCCGAGGGGGAAGAGTATGCAAACACCGGAGGACACCCCGCCCACGGGCCCCGCCACGGCGGAAGAATTGTCTAGAAAGAACAAACGTGGATGCTGTTTCAGGGGCTGGACCTTTGTTCAGTCTTATTTCAGAAATCCACTTGAGACGTCTTATATTGACTTTGGTGATTTCGGTGTGTGACGTCTGTCTGTTTGGCATCCTGTGGAATAAGGTTGGATCGATTGCGGAACCTTGCATGGGAGGTGCTTTGCATGTCCTTTTGCACGGTCAGCTGGTGCCACTTCGTGTTACGTGTCTTGAAGGTGCGATTGCGGTACTGCCCATCGGTGCTGTGCCTTGATGCGGAGGCCCCGATTCCATTTCACAGGGCAGCCGCCACTCGCGTACTTGTAAGAAATCGTAAGATGAGTTGCAGGATGTTCAGCGGCTAATTTCAGAATCTGCAGCATCCCCAGCTGAATTTTCAGACTTCGAGATTGTACCATGGTGTCCTGCTTTGAGTCCAGATGTCATGTGCCAGACTGGTGGGTACATCTTCGTGGACGTACGCACAAACGAAGAGCGTCAGGTGGCAGCCTTGGCGAACTGCATTGTCAGAGACGGACTGATGACATGTCACCCTTCTTGTTCGGTTTGCTTGGCTTGATCGCGAGGGGTGCTTCCAGAAAGAAGTCACGTCGCAATTGCGTGTGCCTGGACCGGCTGCACGGAGGTGTCAACCATTTCTTGCCCCACTTGCCCAACCATCACGAAGGTTGGGTCGTTGTCTTCGAGATTCAGCATGGCAGGAAAACTAAGTCCCAATTCCTACGTGCACTCATCAGGAAGAGTTCCTTCAGAAGATGGCTTGGGCCCCATGTGTCCCATCATAAATAGGCAAGGGATAAATAGGCATGGGGCCGTGCACGGTGGGCACTTCGCACTGCGCCTACGGCGATCAGGCGGGCAACTTGCCAAACCTGCCCTACACGTTCCTTGTCTTTTGCACAGTGGGTGGCCGCTCTGGAAGGTCTGCTGCAGCACTTTACCTTCACTCACACGGTTTTCGTGATGTTGCAATCGTTTTAGCATGGTTATCCTTTCTGACTTCGCTGAACAGCCCGCGTCAGAGCAGGTTCTGCCAAGACCTGCTGACAGAGCCGCAGAAGCACGGAGTACACGGCAAGGCTCAGCTGGGCTCCAGATGCGAGGATTTAGCACAACCGATTAGTCGTTGCTCTTGGCAGGTGAACAGCTCGCAGATGAAGAGTATCCTGGGAGGCTGGCGTTTTCCTGGAGAGACGGCATGCGAGGCACCTGACAAGACGCCTTTGCGGTGCAACTTGCCGAGGCATTGCCGCTTGGGTGCACGCCGGCGGCAACTTGGTGGACACCTTGGGCAACCCGACGCGGAAGGTGAGTCCCTGGTGCCAGGCTCGCGTGGCGAAAGCAGCCAAAGCAGGGCCGCACGGGGTTCTCGTTCCAGTTGAGACTTATAGATTAGATCCAGGTACAGAAGGACACCGAATCAACCTGATATATTCCTGATGCAAAAGTTCGCAGCCGGACCTGGAATTTTGAGCTGACGTTCTGCCTGCATGCTCCGTCTGCCATCTCTCACTGCCTCTCTTCTCTCTCTGCTTCTCTGGCTTGTCTGTCCTGCTTGCCTGCAAATGTAAGTGGTGGCAACCCCGCCACCGGTGTCGTTTTTTGCCGCTGTTTGTGCTTTGCTGCATGTTTGGTAGAACATACTCGCAGCTTGAAAATGTCTAAGGTCTTCTCCTTTGTCTGTTATGTTGGTGCTCCTGCCAGTGCCTTTTGCGGTTCCTGGCTTAGGGTCCTCTGGTCATTCTCTGGTCCCCTAGCCGTAACGATCGAAACAACTAAACCCGGAAACCCCGCCGGCCGGTTAACCCCCAAGCCTCGCCTCAACCATACGCCACTCTCGAACAACAAGCCCTAATCAAGAAAGCAAAGCGCGACACCTACATGTAAACCCTGACAACTTTGAACGCGGGTTCCCAACCCTGAGCCCTAAGCCCTACACCGTCAACCCTAAACCCCTAAGCCCAAAGCAGGCCACAAACCCGAAGCCCGGTTTAAACCCTAATCCTCCCGAAACAAAAACCAACCCCAAACCCTCAACCATGAACATGAACCCGTATCCCTAAACCCTAAATTAAATCATATGCCCCCCCAAAAAAAACCACAAAAGAAAAAGGATAAACCCTGAACCCAAACACGTCAATTCTAATCTCCCCCACCAAGCATGCGACCCCGAAAGACCCTGCCGCAAAGCCCCATCACTGCCTACCCTAAATCAGCCCGAGCCCGAAAAGTGTAACCAGATACGCTAAACCCGAATCCCTAAACCCTAGAATATAACCCTAACCCCTGGCCCTAAGCCCTAAGATGTAGACCGGAAGAAATCCCATCCCCAAACCCAGAGCCCTACAATGAAGCATTTATCATGTATCATCATTTATCAACCCTGGAGCCCCTGAACCTGAACCCCAAGCCTACACAGACCAGGGCCGCAAAATCGGTTTGGTTGTTATCACGCGCGATGCAGTGTATGCACGTGTAGGAGCAAGCGCAGGCAAGCAAGCGAGCGTGCAAGTTTCACACGGCAAGTCGCGCCAGGCGTTCATGGACATCTTTCCAGTGTCAGGCAAGGGCTTCTGTTTGCTTTTATGAAGCTCTAAGTGGCAGAAGTCTTCAATCGAACGCGCTTCATGGCTAGATGGCTACAGTGCTTGGGCCATGGCATCATGAGGAGCCGAATTGGTTCTTGACGAGCTGCAAGTTGTGCCGCAAGATGCGCGCGTGCTGTTCTCAGTGTGAACAAGATGCGCAGTTATGGGGAGTTTCTGCAGGCATCTGCAGACCCACCAAGAATAACGTAGCGAATGCCAAGGCGTTCATTGACTGCAAGTCTTGCGCGGAGATGGCAGCTGAAGTCATGGTCTCAGACCATCCCACCGGCACAACAAAGAGCAGAATTCAGCAAGCAAGCACTCAGCCGCATTCATCCAAGGTGTCTGCACCTGGTAGGATACTTCGCACCTGCCAGGCCGTACTTCTGAAGTGTTGTTGAGACCCAGATTGTAGACACTCACTTGGGAACGGGAAAGGCCAAAAGGGCATGGAACACATTGCGCTTCTTGAGCGGGACTTGTGTGCAGGCTTTGGCTCCAGAGGCCAGCCCAGCACACATCGGAACATATTGGAACTTAGTGGGAACATAGTGGGGCTGAGTTCAGCTGAGTTTAGTTGTCTCCAAGTTCCCCCCAGGTCTTGGCCGACACGCTCAGCCGAGCAGCTGAGACGCGCCCATCCAAGTTTGTTAAAGTAAGTTCATGTCCGGCTCTTCATTGTCGGTTCAGAGCACTTCGGAGTGTTTGATTGCACCTTGCTGCCCTCCCAGGTGCGCGCCATATGACGACTGAGCGGACCAGCCTTTCGACTCGCGGCAGCTCACGGAAATCCGTGCATTTGGACTCTCTGCAGTTCCATGAACGACTGCAAGGGGAACCTCTCTGACTTTTTAACAGGGTGTTGTGAGGAAGAAGAAGGGGTGAAGTCACGGTGAAGGGGTATCAAAACAGGACGCCAGTAACCGCCATTGCAGATTACTGATGGCTCTTTAGTCTCAGCCTTGCTTAGGTTCAACAGGCCAGACAGGCCGGACGGACATCCAAAGACCAGACGGCGCAAGACATTCCTAGTCGAGAACTGGGGGTTTCCGAAATTAGGGGTATCTAATTTGGGGGTTTGTTCTAGGGCCTCCCTTTCATTTCGTAAACCCGCAAGAATTGCACTCATGGCCCTCCAAGGTCTGGTCTTTGGTCTTTGTACATGCAGCTAAAGTTGCATCGACTCCGCTGCCTCAACTTACCAGAAAAGTGGTCTCGAAGCCATGGAAGCACGGGTCCTCGCAGTCTCCTGTAGTGGTAACTTCACGCCGAGCTATAGGGACCTTAGGAAGAGAGAGCTGCAGGAAGATAAAGTAAGAGTGCAGTAAAGAAAGTTCAGCGGAAGGTCATAGGTTTTGAAGCTTGTCAATGATGTGATTCTGCTGGTAAACCTGATACTTGGGTGGCTTGTTATCTGAGGCGAGAAGGCTTCAAAATCATCTTATTGCTGTGCCTCAGTTGCACTTATTGGAGGACAAAGGGGTGCGCGTGTGCAAAAGTCAAACGAGCAGTCTCTAAGCCGCTGCCAGGCGTTTGTCGCCTCTACTTCCCTTTGCTTTGTCGAACTACGCCGGGAGCCTGGCTTGTGGTCGAAACTCTTCCGGGAGCAGGACGACCCGATTCCCGGTGCACGCGGGGTTGCGAGGTTTATGGCCTGAGCAAAGTTGGCTTCGGAGACTTCATTCTGGCAACGGCATTGGGGTTCGCACCAGGTCCTCGGCCAAGCCACTCTTCTTGCCCTCCCCCGCCTCCCTCCTCTTCCCCCTCCCCGCCTCCCCCGCCCTCGCTCTGCACGTGATGCACAGGCACCATTGGGCTTGTCTACGCGGCAACGACGGCACGTGAACTGACCACAGAGGGTGCAAGCCAGCCGTGGTACGCCCCCGCCTGAGATTAAATACAGGCAGATGGGAAGGTTCCTGATTTTGCATAAAACGTGCGTTGCTCAGCACTTGTGTCCCATGTCATGCCTGCAGTAAGGTATACGCAGCCGGGCTTGCGGTGACAGCCTGTTCCCGATTGATTCGTAAGGTCGTAAGCGGCACTTGGCATGTCATGACTGCTTTGCTGAAGGATGCGCTCCGAGGTCTTTCTGCTGAAGGTCGTCTCTGATGTTGCTTCACAAGCTGTCAAGGAAGCTGTTGAAGAGGCCACGTCGAGGGTGAACGCTGGCGTAGGCTGTTTGGAATGAAGCCGTGCTCCTTGCGACAAACTCCGTTTACCCTCCTCTGAAAAGAGGTCTCCAAGACAGCCCCGCGAAATGCGCATGGAACACCTGCTAGGGGCGACACATGCGGGTTGTGATCAAAAACTCCGATGCTGCTCATTTATATAGCGCACATCATATCTGCAATCTTGAAGGCATGGCACGAAAGTCCGCAATGGCACAAGTAGAGTTCGGATGCAGACATCAGCCCGAAAGGAATAGAACCATGACGCCAGCAACCTGTCTGAAGCCAGTGACATGCACTGGAATCTAGAAGTCAATGAAGACATCCACACAAGAGAGCAAAAACAAGACAAGCGACCAAATTAATAAGGGCACAATAAGCCGAGAAAGCAGCCATGAAATTGAGAGCATGTCTGCTGCTGCTGCTGCTGCTGCTGCTGCTGCTGCTGCTGCTGCTGTGCTTGGGTGGTTGGCTTCTGCATGCCGGTCTGACAGTCAATCGGAGAGACAATGCATCCGGCGTTATCTTCTCCACCCGTCTTCTCAAAATTCTTCAAACATGGGGGGCCAATGACAAGACTTCGGCAGCGCTGATCGGGATTCGCAGGATGCAGCTCAGCCATCGCCTCAACAGGTGGTTTCAGGCGCCCTGCGAGTGTGCAGTGTCGGTGGATGAATGCAGCTTCACTGCTTGCAGCATGTTTGTACACAGGCATGCTTGAAGATATCAAGAGTCAGGCCCCAAGATCTGAAGTGATGTGCATCATGCTTCTGTCTGCGAGCAGCTGCGGCCAGGGACGGACCAAACTCGCAAGCATGTTGAAGCATCTAGGCGGTTTACCGGTCAAAGAAATCTGCGTTTGCGCCTTTTAACGCCCAAAGTTTAATCAGAGATGGGGTTCCGAAAATGTTTGATTGCCAAGATCGTTCAACGATCAAACATGGGTCAAGGTCGAGAGAGCGTGGATGCCTGATGAGGCTTGAGATATTCTCAAACAACGCCTGGTGCTGTTGGGCATGGCATGTTGGTGGTGCATTTCTTGTGCTAGCTTGAAGGACAAGTGCCGCCGCAGACTGCAACTGCGCCAGTTACTGAGTATTGTCTAGCCAGACGGCGAAGACCAGGACCGGACTCTGGTATCACAGGCCTGGTTTCTGCCGATGCTTTCAGAACTTTCAGAGCTCACATTGGTGTTGGCTCTCCTATTTTCTCAAGTGGCACTCTACGTGCATGCTGCATGATGAAGCAGTGTCAAATCATGCCGAGATTCGAAACAATTGCAGTGCCCCTGGGGAAGCTGGAATTTGTATTGGAGACATCTGCAGCAGCACGGGGGGTGAAATTGCACCCTGAAGAGGCACAGTGTCACGCAAAATCGGCGCGCCTGTTTGAGACGGCCGCCTCTCAATTTCACCGCTTTATTTGGAAGGGTTCGGGAAGGCAATCCAGGCAATCTGCTGCTCTTGGGCTGGCCGAGTTTCATTGGCCTTGCCTGGACACTCAACATTTCCAAGAGACTTTCAAAATGACCGGGATGATGACATGTTGAAGGCAGTTGTTCTCATGCCGCATGTCACTCTCGTCCCAGCCCGATTTTTGTAAGGTGCAGGATGAAGCTTGCTCCACCTGATGCGACTCGAAAGTATGAACTTTGCGAAGCTCTAGGTCTTCTGAGAGGTGGAGAGACATGCTGCTGTCCAAAGACTCGCGCGTGAAGAACGAACAAGGGTCTCCTGCGCTGGCTGTTGTGCACAGGCTCTTGACCTTTATGTTGCAATCGCATGGCAGCATGCTGTGTATTTGCCGAGTCAGAACAGGTGTTTGGTCAATCCAGTGGGCAAGGCTATGCATCACATCAAGCGCAGCAGGCATGCGGTCCAGACTCACGGGCTCCTTGCGTTGCAATGCACAACCCGTGCTCCACGTTCCCAGATGCTGCAATTGAGTCAGGCCTGGACGAACATGCTGCCCAGACCAAGCGAGTTGCTGCTTTCGGGAGTCCTGGAAGAGAGGCCCGGTTGAGCTGCATGTTTGGCTGGACCGTTGATTTGTGGATCTTTGTGGATTGCGAGGTCGTCAATCACGCCTTGATCCGCCGTGAACAAAAAAGGAGGATCTGACCGGTGCGTATTTTCCCAACTCAGAGTAGTCTGTGAGCAGTAAAGTAAACCAAGCCAGACAACGAGGTCTTTCCTCGTTTTGAATATGCATATTAGATTCATCATGCATGTAACCGTAGTGCTGGACGGCTGACTTTTGGGTCGTGTTCGATGTTAGCGTGTCTTCACATGCTGAATGTCGTAGTCTCGGTACAGTATACATCAGCACGTTGTAAGATGTGCAAAGTGATATGGCACACTATAATGCAGCGACACGTGAGGCATCAACGAGTATCTTGCCATCATAAGGATGAATGCTGCAGTGAAGGTGACATTTGATTCAGCTTCATTACTGTTTGTATGAACTTCGGGGTTCATAGCCGACTGAGCAAGTGCCAGAGTTGCGGTATGTTGCGGTTGCAGCACGATTCCCGATCTTCTGCCATCGCATGGCGCTTCGAGACAATAGCTTGCATGATTCCTGTCGATGCTTGTCTCAAGCCTTATCCACCCCCCTCCGCCCCCACGCCCCTCCTGCGCTCCCCCGCCCTGTGCCCCTACCAGATCTAGACGCCCCACCTAAGGGCCAGCAGCTTGTTCACAAACTGCCGGTAGCGTTGCCTGCCAAAAAAACCGCGGCCGCGTGTTAGCTTCGCGGCCCTAGCTTTCGTTCGCTTAAGGGAACTCGTTCTTTCCCCGCCGCTGCGGCCAACAGATTGTGCAAATTGCACCCAGATGTAGCTGTGCTAGCTTGGTTCAGGAGTTGGTGCTGATCTTCGATACCGGCTCAAGGCGGATAACGCCAAGATGGGACAACATGTCGAAGGGACACCGCAGACTACATGGTTTGGTGAGGTCATATTAGATCATATTAGATCTTATCAGGAAGCCAAGGTCACAGATAAGCTCTGCCATCTCCTGCGTTAAGTCTTTGCTAGGGCCTGGGAAGGTAACCGTAAATGGTTGGTTTTGGGAGTTAGTTTTCCAGCGTGGGCCACATTTTCCATTTGCTTCGCGCTGCATGGTGGATCAGCATGAGGACGAGCTCGGATGCCACGTTGCTGGTCGATTCACGTGAATGCACTAGCAGGATTCCCCTTTGGACCGGCACCATGAGTTCGTGTCAACCGTTTCCCTTGCCGGGAATCGTTTCGACGTACCCTCGGCGCGCTTAGCAGCTGATGGCGCAACATAGGAACATGCTCCTGGTGCTGTTGGCGCTATACATGGTGCAATTCGCACCATGTAGGTTGGACGTTGGGACGTCTCGTGGTCCAGCAGCGCTTGGCCGTGAACTTGGCAAGGCAGAGCGAGGCAGTGGCAAGTGGCAATGGCAAGGCTTAACACGCGACCTGCCACCGCTTCTTAGCATTGTTGGAAAGCTTGCCTAGCCTGAGGAGTGACAAGTCTTTGGAAACCTTCAATGGCATCCTACCACCACCGAAGGCACTTGATCTTGATGGCCATGGATTGTTCTGAATGCTCAATGGATACATCACCAAACCCAACAGCTGCCATTTCACTTTGAAGACGGAATGAGGGACAGGCAACTGACCAACATGGTGAAAAGATAGCATTGGCAGTAGTACTGTATTACTGACATGTACTCAGTTTTAGCCTGCGCCGTGGATTGCACAGCTCATTGGTGCGGAAACCTGGCCTCGATATTTGCTACAGCAACTGCAAATATCTGCAAATGACTCGAGTGTTTTGAGAGTCCGCACATGGCTCCCGGCTTCGCTGCGCCGTCATGAAAGTGCGCCTTCAGATCTGCAGTAGCGAGGCAAGCGAGGCTAGAGGTTTGGCTAAGGCAGTTACCTTGCGAGGTACTTATATCGATGGCCCCGGAAGAGGGCGAAGGCCTCATGACTATTCTCCTGATTATTCATGAAGTTACAGGGTCTTCAAGGTGAGTTGAGAGGAAGCGTGAAGACGGAGAGTTGTATTGGTCAGGATATGCAAGCCATGTTTGGCGCAAGCAGGCCAGAAGAGCTTCGGCGGTTTGTCCGGGCGACTCTGCTTCGCACCATTTTGCACCATTCAGGTGACCTTGCCGAAAGGCTGGCTATCTTCGCCATGTGAGCGCCTGAAACTCTTCGTGGTCAAAAGCTACAACCAGGCTCTGAAGCACTGGGAACTTGCTGAGCTTGGAGGCTTAGCATTTTGGGATTGTTCGAATCAGGCTCATCCTGAGCAGCCTGACATTGATGCAGAGGTGGGCCACGCCATACCTCCCGAAAGGTTGAACCTGTTTGGAAAGATGTTGGACCAGCTGCGCAGCCACACGAGGCTTGGAAGCTTTGCTGCGAGACAGGGGAGATGTCAGAGGTCGTGGGGGATGAAGATCTCATCTCGGAGGTGCCCTTGAGTCAGTGAAGCGGAGCACGAGCAAAGAGTGCGAGCAGAGAGAGCTAGAACACAGAACTCCGAAGTTGGGAGGTTCTGCTGGCTTCAGATGAGCTCGTCTTGCGGTTGGGAGCCGCGCCGGCCAGGTCGAGTGGCACCCTGCGAGGCCAGAGGATGCAAAACCGAGCTGCCCAAGACACACTCAGAGCTGCAACAAAGCTGCTTGCTCTCTTTTTGTCACTTGTGTGGTCGTCACATGTCCTCATTGCTGAGGGCCGAGAGGGGACCTCCCTTCCCTTTGCAGGTAGAGCAACGGCGGCAGCGTCTGACCAGGTCCAGATCAGATGGCCCCAAGTGCATGCAGACACTCGTAGACTTGAGGGCATCCAAGGCCTGTCGAGCAGCCGTCCTCGTTCCACTGGACATTGCTGTCCTTGAAGCGCTTCGCAAGTCTGTCGAGGCTGCTGGTAGCCTGCGCATCCTGTTCTTTTAGACCTCCAAGTCTCTAAAGTGTGACAGTTGTGACAGGAGACCTCCCTCTGGATCTGTTTGCGTGACAGGAGGATGACGCAGCGTCGTTCCGCAGTGCTGTAGACGCAGCCCGCGCCCTTGCTTTTTGGCGCAGCCTTGAACGGAGCAGCTGTGGTGGAAGCAGGCAGGCCTTCAAACACCACAAGAAGTTCCGATTTCTGAGCGGGAGCTCAAAGATGATGCGGGCACGGGGGCCTGATTTCTGCTCTTGTTCTTACTCTCATCATCATTATTATGATCACTACCATTAGTTTTACTATTACGATAACAAAGGGAGAGCTGCAAAGTGAAGGCGCGGCTTTGGGTTTTTGTGCCTTTTTGTCGCACCCAGGCTTGGTTGTTGGAATGGAGTGGTTGGGACTGGGCGGCTGCTTTGCCTGGGACACCGATGCTGGCAAAGGCCGGTGGGCTTGCAGTCCGGGTTGAGCCGATATCGCACAGTAAAAATAATACTAAAATACTAATGATACTAATAATACTATTAATTACTAATAATACTAATAATACTAATAATACTAATAATACTAATAATACTAATAATACGAATAATACGAATAATACGAATAATATTAATAATACTCATTATACGAATAATACGAATAATACGAATAATACGAATAATACGAAAAATACTAATAATACTAAAAATACTAATAATACTAATAATATTAATATTACTAAGAATACTAAGAATACTAATAATACTAATAATACTAATAATACTAATAATACTTAATAATATTAATAATATTAATAATATTAATAATATAATAATATAATAATACGAATAATCGAATAATACGAATAATACGAATAATACGAATAATACTAATAATACTAATAATACTAATAATACTAATAATACTAATAATACTAATAATACTAATAGTACTAATAATATTAATAAAACCCCATAATATTAAAAATACTAATAATACTAATAGTACTAATAATACTAAAATGACTAAGTATACTAATAATACTAACAATACTAATAAGACCCCACAATACTAATAATACTAATAATGCTATTTTCGGTATTTGGGAGTTTCAGACCTTCAAACAAAGCAAGGCATCGGATGGCACAGCTGGTTCCAGAAAGAACCAATGAGGTTTACGGTCCGTATCTGCAGGTGTGTAATTTTTCTGACTCATCCGTTCGCTGAAGTGCGAAAAGCCGATGTGCCATGTTTGTCGGTGTTCCGTGGGTCTGGGGCTAAAAACGCAGTTTTGCGGACCTAGTTTTCAGGCACTGTTGCAAGAATCGCTGCAAGACTATGGCAATACTTGCTCCAGCAAGACCGGAGTCGAACTTTTTTGCGGAGCATTTGGCAGTGGCTTGCAGCTTTGGCGGAAGCCATTGCTTCACGCGGACATGGACGCTCTGGCCGATCCATGCTCTGAATGCATGAATGCTCTGCTAATGCTCGGGTACCGGGTAACATGAACCTTTCTGTCGAGCGGACATGCCGGGGCAAAGGCCCAACAATTTTGAAAGGGCTCGGGACATGGTCTGGCTGTGCAGATGCAATGAAAGCAACACATCAGCAAAACAAGATGTCGACAGATTCTACTCGGAGAAGCACTGGCGAATCCATCGTCGACAGGGAAAGTAGGCGACATCTGGGGCACGAGTTGGGCTGCTTGCTATGCCGCTATTCCGAATCCCAGCACCAAACCTAGGGACCTCCTTTCTCGTTCCACTTTCCGGAGGTGAGACAATATAGTATAGTACTTAGGGCCAGGCTGGGGAGAGTCATCCCTAGATTTTCTTGCGAGTGTCAGGGGAGCTTCCGGCCAACAAGTGCAGCCTCGCGGAGTATGCTGCTGCTTGGCGGCGAAGTTATCGCTTCGTGCTCTGTACTCAGAGATTCGATTACCCCACTGAACTAAGGAGAAGAAGCGTGCAATGAATATCTTGAGGCCAGATGTGTAATCGATCGTAACCTGAGCGCTACTCCCACATCTCTGGAACATGGGAGGGTCATCGAGCTTGCCGATCGGTGTGCTATACGCCTTGGCAGTGGGCCTCAATGGATGTAGAATGTGCTGATATTCGCGCGACACATGGGCATGGCTGTGTCACGTTCCCTGAGGTTCGCCTGGAGAAGATCGGAATGTGTCCGACATTGAAGCCAGCGCAGGCAATTTCGCGGGCATGGCTGCAGCCTGAGGTTTTCATGGCAAGTCGAAGTAGAAGTCTTGGAAGTCTCAAGGATTTCTTGAAGAGGGCTGTGTATGCGGTGTCCAGAAGCATCCACAAGCTTCTTGCTCTCGAGTCGTGAGAGTCGCAAGAGCAGAGCGGACAGAGGCCTATGAAATGAGACGTCAGATGGCCGCACAAGACTCCGCACGTGATGGGGCGTGACTGCCTGAAACGAGCTGGATTTCTTTTCATCGCTGCAGTCGTAAAATGGAGAAGCTCCACGTTGCCGAACATTCCTGGTTGTAACTTGCCAGCCTCCCTCGATGTCATTGCTTCGCCTGGTCCTTGAAACAGGATCACACCCATCTAGCACTGCCACGTTTGCCGGATCTCGTGCCGGCCTGTGGATCTTTTGGCCATATTGAACGAGGATGGCAGTGCTGCAATGTAAGGCAAAGAAGGCCATGCTACACAACCAGTCACGCTCTACCATGCCGAGCCCCGAGTTCGCGTTGTTTCGGAGAGCCACAAACCAGCTCGGTGGCAGTGTGTGAAAGTGTCTGTCAGGTCTTCCAGGACCCAAACCTCCTTCAAGGGCAGATCAGTACGAGGGAGTGCGACTGCTCAGATCCAGTCAGAAGTCGTGGACATCATACAGCAACTTCTGCTTCAGGCTGGGGTGTTCGGATTCGGGAAGACCTTTTACAGCGAGAGGCCATGGAGCTGAAACTTGGGGGGCTGTTGGGAGCTCGTGCTCTGGCTGCTTTGGGAAGGATCCAGTCCCAGTGCGCCTCAGTGGAAGACGCCATGGAGCTGCTCCGGATGACAAGGTGCGGCTAGGGGGCTACCTAACAGTACCTATAACAGCCTGTGTACAACAGTGCTGTGACTCTTCGATTTGCTCTCCCAAGCCATCTCTCGGCAGATCCGCATCTGGGTCCGCGTGCCGAAGGGGAGGCTGGCGGTCTTCGTGCGCCATGCGCCTTTTGCCTGACTTGCCTGTTTTTAGTGCCTGCGGCACGAGGAGCAGCATGACCACACGACATGAGAAGCCGCTATGGCTTGGAACGAGAACAGGGCTCTTCTTCAGGGTCAGCTATGGCCCGATGCGTGGGTACACCAGGCAGATTGTGCAATTCGCGCGCGAAGGGCTCTGGGAGCATGCCCTGGACGTCTTCAAGCAGATGCGCAGGTGGGCCGATGTTCAAGATAACCTCTGCCAGGTATCAGGATAGGGCGTGCACTACAACAATGCAAGCGCTAAGGATGGGGGAGTGTCCAGATGCCATAAACTATAACGCTTTGGACACTTGGCTGCCCGTGAGAGTGTGGGGTCGATGTTGCCCGTTCGTTGACTCATTGATGCATTCTGGGTTGGGATTTTTCTTGTGCGAATTGCACCTTCGCAATCAGTAATCAGCAAAGTCACCACTTCGCCTTCTGGTATGCCCCGTCAAACAAGCTTTGCAAAGGTTCCGCATGCATGGCGGTTGACACGAGGTTGGAGCCCTGACCAAGAGCTTGCAGCTACATCGCGCCGTCAGCATGTGTGACGAAATGACGAATCGGCGACTCGAGATGAGACTTGGTTTGACGTGGCTCACTCCACGGTGCTTCGTTTTTGCTCTGTGCCTGATTCTTGCACGATGCAACCTTTGTCCACCATTGCGACAGGAACGGCATTACCTTCAGCCCGTTCCTGAAGCACTGTCACGCTTGGTGGCAAGCACTATTCGTCCTTTCCGAGATGTCGCGCTCCCATCATGTTCCACCTGCTTTGTGCCGGTCTAAGCCTTCGTTTCGTCTCGTGGTTTTCATGCGTCACACCGCACGGGTGCTCCTACGCCTAGCGACACGCCTGCCTAAGGATTAATGCTTGCATGTCCGCATGCTTGAAAGCTCATCGGCTCTCCTTGGTCTTCATGCTCTGGAATCAGATGCGAAGTTCTGCCAAGATTGCAGTTGACGCGATAACGTACCGTGGCCGGCATGCCTGCTGTCATTCATATGCTTGTGAGTGGTCTTTCGATAAACTGACATGCTCAGGTACAGTGTCGTTCTGAAAGCCTTTCAGCAGAGCTCCGAGTGGGCACTGGCCATTGAGCTTTTCGCAAAGTTGCATTCGAGACTTGGGATCGATGCCGTCGCCTTTAACACTATGCTGGACACGTGTGAGAAAGCAACACAATGGCAGCGGGGGCTGCAATTGTTCTGCGACGCGCCAGTGCTTGCGGTCGAGCCAGATGCCGTGTCGCATGCCACGGTTCTGAGCTCATTGAACAAAGGCTTTCAGTGGATGGTGGCATTAGAGATGTTCAGCCGATTTGCACAGCGGCGTGGATACCTCGATACTGCGGTCTGCAACACAGCCATGAACTCATGTGCCCTTGGGAAGAAGTGGATAGAAGCTGCACGCCTTTATGAAGATCTGCGGCGAGTAGGACTTCCACCAAATGCTACTTGGCCTTGGTGGACAAGACTTACGGCAGAGGGTGATCCCAGCTGACAACCAGTGCACTCCGTTTCCTAGCAGGTCATGACATGGAACACCTTGCTTAACGCATTCGAGAAGGGCGTGCAGTGGCTGCGTGCATTGTCATACTTGCAGGGAACAGGCCTCAGGCAAGTGGAGAGCATCTGAGCGGGCGTGTCAGTTTGGTACAGATTCGACGGGCCCTGCGCTGTCAAGGATGGCGCGCAAGCACGTCAAGCACGTCGCAGATGGATACGGTCAGCGTCAACACTGTGGTGAGTGCCTGTGCAAGAGCATACCGATGGCAACAAGCTCTGGACGTTTTCTCCGTTATGTCTTCGCAGAGCGTGCCGCTTCTAGTCTCCAAACTGCTTCAAACCTCTGCAACCAGGCTCAGATTGGCAGGACCCTGTACCTTGTACCAAGGATGAACGTGGTGACCTTCGGAACGTTGATCAGTGCTAGCTGTCGAGGTGGGTGATGCATTCGGGAGCAAAGGGTTTAACGGAAGCTGTCAATCTTCCCGAGATTGCGCAGCCACTTTGCATCTTTGCAGGTGGGATGTGGATGCATGGGCTTGGCTTGCTGGCGAAAGCTCGTCAACTCTTCGGCCCGCAAGCTGTCCTCTATAGCAGCGTCGCGGCGGCATGCCACAGTTGCCAGATGTGGGAGCTGGCCGCTCGGTTCTTGCTCTTGAAGGGTGCGGTGTAGGAGTGCGGGGGAAAGGATGTGATTAGATGACTAAGTGTGCCTGGTTATGGCTTAGTCGCTCAACCCGTCGTTGCGGTCCAGGCTCTGGTGGTGCGCCAAGAATGTCTGCAACTGGGGCTGCCGATTGACTTGCCCCTAGCGGAGACTTCACAGACTCCTGGCCAACTTGAGTGGGGCCCCTGATGAAGTTCTCTCCGATTCAGATATCCCAAATCTGCGTCAACGATCTGTTCCATCCTGGTCTTACTTCCTGAAGCAATCATCCGTCCCCCCCTCCCTAGTTTCTCCTGGTTTCTAACTCAGGGTTTGAGAATGCTGGAATTACCACGCACCCTCATGCTTAAAAAGCAACCCCTGCAGCAGGTTGCAAACGACCGTAACCACCTTGAAAAAGTCACAAGCGAACCTTCCTAGGTGCTTCTCCTGTCTTCACACATCTGCCTAAGGACGGGACCTGCAGCCAGCAACCGCGGGTGCCGGGTTGACGTAGCTTTGGCCTGCATGTTGTTTGCCTTTTAGGAGGTCTTTTGAGTCCGAAAGCAGTTACTTCGGCATCATTTGCATCTGCCCTAAGAGCTTCCCACTCTGCCGCGGCCTGGCTTCTTTCGGCTGGTGACGCCAGTGCATTGCTGATCTAATGACAGTTAGATTACAGTTAGATCCTGAGTCACAGAGTTTTGCAGTTCATGTAAATGTAGTGGCCTCAGGAGCGAGCATGGAGCGCGTGGCCTGGCAGCCAGACTAGTCCACTTATTCTTTGAGGGCGTTTGAGGGAGCAGTGGCAAATTGCCTCGTGGCCTCAGTCTGGATGTTTGCAGCTAAGTTTCTTCCGCAGCATCAAGCAGGACTTTGGAAGGTATTCTGCAATGCCTGATATTGAGTCGCCTGACTCTCTGCATGATCTCGGCTACGTGCGCGATGGTTTCGTGCACTGTGGCCTTGGGCATCGACCTTCTCGGCATTAGGCTGTCTTGAAGCATGATGTCCATCGTTTCTTTGCGCGCAAAATTGGAGCGGTGCTGGACGTGTTTCAATCTTCGGTCAGTGATTCGGCAAGTCAAGAAGTGCAAAATGCCTCCGAGCTTTTGAGCTGCGAAGGTACCACCGCATCTTCCGCTGGGGCCAGCCAAAGAGCCTCAGGCTCCGGCTGTTACGCTGACTTAAATGTTAACTGACTTAAGTGACAAGTCACAACAGTCTTCAACAGTGCACCTTCCACAGGAGCTTCCTGATGATGGACGCGATACTCCTGTGCGCCCACCTTTCTCAAGCGTTTTAAATTTTCACGGAGCTCGTTTGCTACGAGGTGTAGCACAAGGTTTTTTGTATGCTGGTGCGACGAGCTGATCATGTCCAGTTGATGCCCAGTTACGGTCCCTGATGGCTCGACGCAGCGGCCAACTCTGTGCGGATCGGAAGGTACGAAACCCAGCCATCCTGAAAGGGAGAAGTTGTGCTCACACAGTGCATGATAGTATCAGGCAGAACCTGACCTTCCTGGTGCCATGCCAGAGGTGGGGAGCATGTCGTCTGTTGTACATCTACGCACATGTGGGTGGGCTGGTCTTTCTATCAATCAAAGTATTGCACGCGCAGCTACAAACAACCCTGACATGAGTTGACACTGTTTACACGACTGGTCGAGGAACATGTTCAGAGCACATCCAAACTGTCTGCAATCTCGGCATCGCAGGTGCGCTTATTAGCAGAGCTACCAGATTGTTGTGCGTCTATGCTTGTATACTTTTTTCTTATATCGTGCCCTGCTCTTGCTGTTGCAGATGAGCCCGTCTGCAAGCTCAACAATGGTGTTGGACAATGACAACATCGCGCCATGGTCCTGGTGATGGTCTCCTGTGCACTGGTCTGCAGTCATGCGCCTGCTCAGCCGCAGGTCCAACTTCAAAAGCTTACTGGAGGCGGCGACAGGTATTCCAGTCGCGCATCAGAAGCTTTTCTATGGGCCGATCTTGCTTGTCTTGCAGTGTTTGAATAATGTTGCGCATGGTCATATCGAGACAGATTGTCAGACACTGTCTAGCATGTGAACTCTAGACACTACACTTTAACCGTAAACACTTAAGTTTAGCCAGGCCAGCTGGCGTCCTGGAGGACAACAGCAAGGCAAAGCCTTGTTTAGGAGTGCGGGCTGCGGGTTGCATCTGGCACTAGAGTTCTACTGCATGCAGAAGCCTCGCTCAGGCTCTTTATCAGTTTGAGATTGGACAAGGTTCCTTGTTGCATCTCTCCACGCGCCAGGGCCCTACAGCACAAGCTCTGCAGTGTTTTCTCGGTTTCGCTTCCCTATTGCCAGGCCGAGACCCTCGAAAGGTCGCAGAATTCACAGAGGACTCAGTTCAAGTGGAGTGACCCTTGATATAAACAGTCTGGATCTACGGCTCTTGGACTCTTCTTTCTCTTTCCAGGAAAGGCGGAAGCAGAAAGGGCAGCCCACCAGCTTCCGCAAGGTCTTGCTGTTCAATGTTCACACAGATCCGCCATGCAGTCGTCACTCAAAGTATTCGAAGGTGGAGGGAATGGACAACCCTCAGCATCTTCTTGATGATAGACGCTTGGCAGCACTTGCGCCCGGAGGTGTACCAGCTTTGCAAGCTTGGTTGCTGTCAGGACTTTTCCCAAGAATCCGTGAGTTCATGAACGCGAAGGTGGTCGGTATGTTTGTGTTGCTGCGGTATCGCTTACGCTGGAACGGCAGCCTCCGTGACCGAGAGCTGAGCTCGTGTCCAGGTCGGGCCTAAGATGGGCAAGGACACCACTCGGCTCTGGCATTGCTCTGACAGCAACTCTGCGCGCTGTCGCTGGTGAGGACCTTGTGATGGTTGTTCCTGATTGGAAGAAGCCAGGAAAAACCCCGCTGGAGGTGCATCGACATCACGCTCAGCAGCTGTCTGGGTAAGAGTAAGACTTAGTGGCTAGTAGCTTTTTACGTCTTCCTGCAAAGGGTGTAGCCTTCATGCTGCTCAGTACGAGTGGCCCCACGAGCAGATTTGGTATGACTACGGTGTTTTGCCACGGCCCTGGTTCCTGGTCAGAGTCCAGCCTGCTACTGCAAAGGCTTTGCATGTTCAGAGCTTATTTGCAAGCAAGTAGCCTGAAACGTGTGGTTGCGGGTGCGAGGCATGACAATGGCATCTTCGACTTTGCTGGCCGCATTCGCAAGAAGTGCCAGCCCCTGCATGTGCACACTCCGTCGACTTGACTAGAAAGCCCTATTCCTGTTTGGAAGTTGATTGCTGTTATTTGGTACTCAATCGATTTGGGGTTTCTTGTCGTGAAATTTACTGTTGGACACAGTATCTGTTGGCCACGTGGCTTCAATCCCCCCCCCCTCTCCCCACCCCTCCAGGGGCCGATCCGATTTTGCAACACGTCCATCGTCGTTGGGGCGCGGAGTATCATGAACGTTAAGAAGCCATCGGCAAAGAGTGTCATAGCGCATGCTTCAAGAGATCCAAGTTCTTGGCGGGAAGCTGCTCGTTTGTCATTCGAAGCGAAAAACAGTTCAAATTCTGATCTGGATTTTTTGGATTGTAGTCGGAATTTGTGAGAGCCAAGTATCCTCGCCAAGAATCGCATGAAACGTTCCAAGTCCTATGCCGTCTCCGATCATTTCCTTGCAATTTCCCAGGTTTCATCGCTTGCCGCGGCTGGCAGATGCGGCCGCTTCCTCCAAGCTGGTTGAGGCGCAAGCCTAAGGTTTAGGGTTTAGGGGGCTTAGGGGGCTTAGGGGGCTTAGGGGGCTTAGGGGGCTTAGGGGGCTTAGGGGCTTAGGGGGCTTAGGGGGCTTAGGGGGTTTAGGGGGTTTAGGGGGTCTGGGGGGTTTAGTAGGGGGTTTAGTAAGGGGGTTTAGGGGGTTTAGGGTTTAGGGGGTGGTAAGCTTTTCGTCACGACCTTGTCAGAATGCTCTAGGGGTAAGGTCTGGTTTAAGCAGCAGATAGCCTGTCAGTGGGAATACTTCATCCGAAGCTTTCCAGGCACATGCTGATGCCATACAGCGAAGTGGACTCTTCGATGATGGACCCCGCTGAGCTTTAACGGCTGGGTACGGCATTGTACGCAAAGGCACTTGAAGCGCGAAGTAGCCATTGTCCGGCGTCCCATCCCCAGAAGATGAAACCAAAACGAAGAATGCACGCGTAGAGGCCCCAGGAGCATCGCAGACAACAAACACAAAGCTGCAGCTGGTATCAAAGATCTTGCTCACTTTAGCGATCCGACGCGAATGCGTGGCTTTTGTCTCCCATGAGGGTAGTTTATCAGGGGGCATCCCAAGGATCGCCCACAACAGCACATCATGCTTCCTTGTGGCTGCCCTATCTCCTGCACATGTCCGCACTCTTCGATGGAACTGAATGAGCTACTAGCCACAAGCAGTCAACGGAAGTTGGTGTTCGGCAATTGTGCCGATTGCAAATGAAGAACATGCAACTACTGTTGCGGAGAGCATAGTTAGATCATGCTAGGCATAGCAGGACAGTTTCTTACAAGAGTATATTCCTGGGAGAGCTCTCTCTCTCTCTCCGCAACATGTTGCTACAAGCTCTACCTAGAACTAGCGTGTGCTCCTGCTTATCGCAGAAGCATCACATCTTGTTCCTTGATGGACAAATTTGCTAAGCAAAAATCGCTCAGGGAGGGCCGCTGCCGCCACTGTGCCACTGGGAGCCGGTCATACCTTGACGTGGCCGCCAGTTGACCCCGCACAGGACAAGTCATGCTTTGAACTTGGCTCAAGACGGCGGCACCCATTGGGTGCTGCATTAGACTCGCCATCGAGACCCCTGAGGGCTCGTTCGATGTGCGCAAGCTAGGTCCGAGGCGAAGCAACACTTGGTTTACATCAGATGCCGCCAGCAACAATGCCAGCAATGCCAGCAATGATGCGGCCTGGCATGCCGGTGATGATGTTCGGGATGCCACCTGGTAACCAGAGCGGCGCCCCCGATGCACGCCCCGGCCCAGGCGGGCCCAACTCAGGGCCGGGACTCCCGGGGCCCGGCCCCGGCTCTGGCCCTCGCCCTCAAGGCCCTCAAGGCCCTCAAGGCGGACTGCAAGGCGGCCCGCAAGGCGGCCCCCAAGGTGGCCCTCAAGGTGGCCCTCAAGGCGGGCCCGGCTTCAGACCGCCAGGGCCAGGGGCCGTGATGATCAATCCCAATCCCCAGATGCAGCCCAACGTGTCGTACATGCCATGCATCATTCCTGCAAGCCAGTGGCATCAAATGCAGTCGACTGGCGCAGTGGCCGTTGCTCACGTGGACGCAGCGCAAGTCCAAAGTGGACAATTGAACCTCAATGCATTGTTCAGTCAGATTCCTGGCATGATGCCTCAGAATGGTTCAAACAAAGGGTGGGGCAAGGGGGACAAGGGAGCGGGAAAGGGAGGAGAGAAGGGCGATGGTGGAAAGGGCAGTTCAGCTCGTGGCCGGTCGCCTCCCAGAGGTCGCCGAGGTCCTACCACTCCCAATGGTTTTGGTTCGGACGGTCCTGCTCGCCCAGGGCCTTTTATGCCCGAGCGTAGCAGCTCCAAAGATGCCTGGCGGCCATCATTCATCGATCCAGAGCAGGCGGCCAAGAGACGGGACTCCCTTGAGAGGCGCTTCTCGGCCGAGGGAAGGTCACCTCCACCCAGGCAGTCTGTTGAGCGGCGAACTTCGGCAGAGCGAAGGACTTCGGCAGAGAGAAGAACCTCGGCAGAGCGTAGGACGTCGAGGGACAGAGGAGACTCGGCCGATCCGCCATCAGGCATGTCGCGGCGTGCCAAGCCCTTCGGGCCGCCGAAGCGGCTACCCAATGTTCCGAATGCAGTGCAGATGTCAGGTCAATGGCAGCACCAACTTGCGGACGGGAGCTCTGCGGCAGTCTACCTGATAGCCGACCAGATGAACCTGCAACAAGCAGCAAGTCGGCTGAATAATCTGCCGCAAGGAGCGATCATTGTGATGGATTGCCATGGATGGAATTTGAGAGCTGCTGCTGGCAAACTCTGTTTGCTGGTAGTGGCCTTCAGTGATAACGCAAATGGTCTTCAAGTTTTCATGTTCGATGTATTGCAACTGGGCGAGCAGTTGTATAGCTTAGTGCCATTCTTTACCAATGCAAACTCCTCCAAGATCACCACGGATGCGACAACGCATGCCACTGTCTTTGCTCACAAGTTTGGCATCAATCTGAACGGTGTGATTGATGCCCAATGGGCCTATGAGCAACTGGAGAGGAAGAGCATGGTGAATGCCTGCAATTTCCTAGACTGGTGTGGCCTAGCAACTTCATCCTTCAAGGAGCAAGCTGCCAGAATGGAGAGTAGTCCAGAGGTTTGGGGACACAGGCCCTTGGCAGAGCCGGCTCTGATGCACGCAACCGAAGGCATTTGCCTGCTCCACTCTGCCTCGGCTGTGATGTGGACGCGTCTTGGCAAGAGCTTTGGCCAATCTGTTTTCAATATGGTCGCCACAGCTTCACGCCAGCGTGTCGAGATGGCCGCAGCAGCAGGCTGGGCCTGCAGGAATGCAGGCTTGTGGACTGCAGAGCAGGACTACCCAGCCCCAGGAACTGCTGACAAGGATGCGGAGATGGACGACTGGCTGGCCAAGCGCTTCGGAAAATCCGAGAAGCAGCCTCCCGCAGCACTCAGAGCGAGGTCAGCAGAGAGACCTCCTTTACCCGAATCGGCTTTCCGGCAAGGGGATAGCCCGAGAACAGCGGCGTGGCGTGCAGTCGTGGCGCAGATGAACCCTCCGAGGATCCAGCCCAGCCGCCAGCGCTCGGCCTCGCCGACGCTGGAGAACTGGCTCAGCCGACGCGGCTCCGCCAGAGAGGAGAAGCAGAAGCAGAAGGCGCCCGGGGCCTCACACCGGGCGTCCAGCCTGCCGTCCAGGGACAGGGAGAGGGACAAGGACGAGGACGAACTCTTCCCGCGCCCTCTGCAGCCCCTGAATTTCGCACGAGCCTCAGTGAGGAGCCTCAGTGAGGAGCCTCAGTGAGGAGCCTCAGTGAGGAGCCTGAGGAGTGGAGTGAATTGAAGTTGCTTCTCCGTGAATTCGTCGTTCTCAGGCAGTCTATGGTCTTCCATGTCTCACTCAAGTGCTGCTAGTTAAGGACAACATCGACCGAAAGAAGTGGACGGAGATCGTTGAGGAAGGTGATGAGGAGGTCTTCGAAGACCTCAATAAGGTTGGGTCAACTGGTCTACCCAGACGTTGCCGCCATGTCATGTGCCGCTCTTCCCGGGTTTTGAGGCACCCGTTTGTGTAATTTTCGGCAGGCCGAACACAAGCGACTGAACCAAGCGGAAAAAACGACCAAAGCAAAAACGAAGAGATGAGGCGTCTCGCTGAAGTCTGCAGTGTGGTGTTGTGCTCATGATTTTACATTCCCCAACGATAGTCGAGCAGCATCCCAGCAACACCAGAACTGCCAGGCACGTTGCAGCTCCCCTGAAGCACCTCCGTGCTTTTTTCCTGTGCCAAAGTGGAACCCTGCTTTGCAGCACTGCAGTTTTGTCCGCGTGTCACCATCCAGATGCAAAGACAGCTGCAGCCTCTATTTCTCGAGGCTTGCGGCGACGGGTAGCTGCAGAAAGAGTCGAGAATGTGAGACTTTGTGAGTTCAATGGTGTGCGGGTCTCGAGCGCCCTCGAGCGCTCTTCCGCCTGCAAGCTCTTCACGGGCTCGAGCAGATGGAAGATATTAGAAGATGCAAGTTTTAGGCAATTGGACAAGCCGCTGCAAGCAAGAACAACTTCCCGACGCATCCTGACGCAGTATCCTGCCACCAAGTGGTCACGGGCATATGTGTCCATGGAGGCTCTTGATGGTGTATAGTGTGCAAGGGCCAGGGGCAGTTGTGTGAACGAGTTGTTTTTCAAGGCATGCGCGCAGTTTGAGTTTGCATCGCCGCCGACCTTGCAAGGGCCGTTTCGCCGCTGCGCTTGGGGTTTGGAGCTACCAGCCAGGGAGCCGGGACCTTGCCAAAAGACGCTGGTACGAGTCAAGCATCAACCCCAACTGCACGTCAGCCCGTTTGGCTTGTTCCCTCCCTCAATTTTGCTGATCCTGCAAGACTTGTACTGGGGGCCTGTTCTAGAAGATTGACAAAGCCTTTTTGCAGCTGAGGCTGTTACCAGGTATGGCTGGATGACGCGCACCAGGTGATTTACGAAGAGCGCCAGTCAGACGGACAGGAGGCCATCTAAGCCAGGGACGGCATCACTCCTCACTACTGTATGCGGTCGAAGATATCGCGTCGTGCAGGTCAGAGGCATGCTGCTTCTTGATGATGTTTGGATGGTAGCAGCTTGGTAGCAATCTAGCACAGCATTGTCAGGGCAGGTGCGTGTGTGTGTGTGTGTGTGTGCTGGGTCGTGCGATGATGACAAGTGGCTAAGCCTTGTCGGCAGGGGCGCTTGCTGTTCAGAAACACTGGCAACGTGTTTGGCACGGTGAGGCTGCGATGCTAGATACTGCTACTGCGCGTGTGAAGCATCGAGTCCACTCCTGGCACCGGCCAGAAAGCCTCGCGAAAAGCAGGCTCCGCTACATTGACGAGCCCGGCTCCTGGTCTTCACAGTGCTCCGGAGAGTCAAACAGCTTGCCCTGAGGTCTGACTGTTTAGTCTCATATTTTCAGCCCGTCGGGAGCGACAACTGGGTCCTCCCGGCTCAGTTGCAAAACATCTCGTGATTCAATGATGCTCTTGGCAGCTGCAGGTTCAAGCGGTGGCCAGCAGATGCCTTGCGAAGGCAGAAAGGTCCTGTCTTGCAGTGTCTCTGACCTCCCACTTCGCGAGGCAGATGCCCCCAATGCTGCCTTGGATGGGCTGAACACAGCTTCAAGCCGAGCAAGTCGAGCAAGGTGCAGACATGTGCAGACAGCCCGCTGTGCAGTCTGTGTTGCGACACCTGCGACGGCCACACCAGAATAAGCATCGATGAGGGCCGTGGTTTCCTGACGCTGTTTCACAGGCCAAGCCCACACATGTTGGAATTGCCCAAAGACGGCGAAATTCCCTGGAGTGGCGAGGACTCCACGCTACAGGCCGGAGAAGCTGTGTTGTGATTCGACGAATCACAAGCTGGCACCTTGGAGCGCCTCGGCATGTTCGGCATGTTGCAGGTCTATGATGACGGCTTGTCGCCACTGCTGCGAGATTGTGTTCTACACTCGCTCAAGGCTCATGGGAAACGGTGGATTGAAGCTACCTCTGCAATTGCCAGGCTTGAGGATTTCCGAGCTAACGCATAGTGCCGGTCCAGACCTCCAACCCAAATTTCCCGATGCACAGCTGATCGCGATGCAGGTGGCATATGAACAAGCAGCCATGTCAAACTTCGCAGTTGGCAGCCTTGGCCTAGCCGCGATTGGCCACGAGGCTCGCATCAAATATTTGGAGAACGCTGTTTTGCAGGACAAGGACGTTTCTTCATGAGCTTCATCCTGTCATCACAGCTTGCGTGTCAGCCTGATGTAGCTCGGATTGGCCAGGATTCCCTGAGGCCCCTCGAGTTGGGCGTGGAGCTCAGGTGTTGAGAAGAAGGGTGGCATCTGTTTCGGTAGTGAGCAGAAGTTGAAGTTGGCTTGCTAGACTCTGTAAGTTGGGTCTTCACGCGCGCCTGAGGGGCATGCATACGGGCAGTGCAACACTGCAACTGTCACAGTCTGCAACACCTTGCGCAACGCTTCCGCAGGTTGGCGCTCCCAGCCCTCCCAGACTTTGTTGCCATCGGTGTCAGGTGCGCTGCCACACATTGGCTGCCCTATTTGCATTGAAGGCTAAAGCGGCCTTAAAGCCTTAAAGGCATTTAAGGGCCGTGCTTCAGAAACTCGTTCAGGCGAAAAGCATGAAGCCCGGCCTCGCCAAAAGCTGGGCCAGAGGCAGAGGAGATTTGCAAGGAGACCCTGACATGAGTTGAGGGCAGACCGGAGAACTGACAGAACTCTTAAAGACCACCTTAGCTTCAAACATCTAAGCATCAGTCCAGCGCATTTGGCAGGACGGTTTGGCATGAGATTGAGGTCCCTGCCTAAGCTGCAACCATAAGTGGCTGGTATGCTATGGAAGGTCCTCTGTAATGCGCATGATGACGCTCATGCATCTCATGTGCAAGCTCATTAGCCCCAGGATTGGAACACGGTTGGAAGACAAGAAACGGGGTCGTCTTGCGCTCTGGATCTTTTGCAGATTCTCTTGCAACTGAGGACATGGATGTCGACGCTGTGAAGACCCCAGACATCTGGGAACGGTGACAGGTTGTGTCGGTGGGTTCGGCTAAGGCACCCCAAAAGCGGCCGAAATCCGGCATAGCAGGCATAGCAGGCCAGGACAGGGCCATGAGAAGACACCGAAGAGCTGCTCTTTTGACCCTTACCCTGCAGAGGCGCCCGGTCTGAAACCAAGGACGCCACCTTTGCAGACCTTGTCTCTTACTTGCTCGCTCTAGAGTCCATAGAGACTCAGGACCAAGGCGTGCAATGCGACACCCAGATCCAGGCCGCTGGCTTTGTTGATGGCAGCCCATGTAGCATGCTGTAGCAGTTGATGCGACTTCCACGATTCCAGGCCGAGGCAGCTGAGCCCGTCCCTGATGAGACCCAATGGACGGATGCTAGTCCCAAACGAAATGCTTTGAGCTTAGCTCAGAGGCAGTACTGCAGCTGATGGTGATGCTACACGGTACGAGGCTCACCTGCAAGCAGTGCTGGAACGCCAACAACGGCGATGTCTCGTCCTTGCCGAAGACGTGGCTGAGCTGCACAGTGCCACCACACGCTTCAGACATTCGGGGTTGCATTCTGCCGCATGTGCCAAATCCCCAAAGAAACAGGTGGCTTTTCTGGCAGAGGACACCGGCCTGAATCTGTTATCAGTAGCATGGCTGCATACCAGTCCGAAGTGGCATGCTCGTCAAGAACATCCTGCAAGGAGCTTCTCCAACTGCAGGCGAAGCCTCTTGCTGCCACCAGCCTTTGGGTAAGGCGCGAGTTTCGAAGCTTCGTTAGGAACTTTGGTGATTTTTGATGCGTGCTGGTAAATCACGAACCTTGTGCTGCCAGTCCCGAGTGATGCTTTGCCAATGCCGCCCTCATCTTCACCGATTTGCCTGAGGCAAAAAAAGCCTCACCCCCGCAAGTCCCTCTGACAGTCGCCCTGACAATTACAGTATCCCACCGTGTCCCTCCTTGATGCACGACTGGCTCTCGAGCAATCGCTTAGCTTCGCAGCCGCACTGAAGCCCCAAATCCAGCTGGAGTGTGAGTGGAGTGTGGCAAGCCCAGATGGAAGACATCCAGCAGTTGCCCATGAAAAGCTTCTAGGAAGTGAAGACAACTCAAGCCCAGATGGAAAACCTAACACATCCAGCATCATCCAGCAGTTGCCCATGAAACCTTCTAGGAAGTGAAGACAACTCAAGCCCTTCTTGCATCGATCAGACCGTGATGCATTTTGCGAAAGCAGCTCGCCGCAATGGACGACCTGCTGGGGAACGGCAAGCTACTGAAAGAGGCCACGAAACTCCGCACATCTTGACCACGATCATGTAACATGTCGAGAATAAGTTGTCAAGAGAACCTTGAGGTTCTCAAGGACAATCCAGAGGGAAGAGTTCCTCAGACGGGTGACCGTGTGCGCAGGGACACCGCGAGATTGCATCGCTGTGCGCTCTCAAACCTGTCTACGTAGTGTTTTTAACTTCGCAGGTCACCGTGCACTACACTTGCCGCTTGGGTGCTTCCAATGGCTCCCTCCTGGATGACTCGCGAGGTTCCCTTGGGAGTACTGATTTAATATTTTCATTCAGTTGCCCCACCTGACAGGCCTCTTTCAAGCCGTCTGCGATTTTGAGTGGTTGCGCTCGTGGTGTCACGCGATTTTGTAAGATCCGCTTGCTGATTGCGAGAAAGGTCCTTTGTTGCCACGTGGATCTATTTAGATGCGTGCTAGCTGCTACCAGTAGTGGCTGCTCGTGTGAGTCTGAGCTACTCTCGCCACCGTTCGCCACCGAGTCCTGCAGGATCAGGGGCTGCCTAAACATCAAAAATGTGCAAAAACGCTTGCCAGGCAGAAACGAGCCCTGTTCCTTCACACTCGGACAAGGCTGACAAGCATCATGCATCGTTCATGGCTCGGTGTCTTCCCCAATGTGCAGGCGAGGTCATTCTCGCTTGGGAGCGGCTGCCTCACGCAGGGTCATATGGGTCATATGGGCGTTTCAACACTTCATGATGACTCATTTGAGGCAGGCGATCTGCTCCATGCATTGCGGCGAGTTGGCGGCATTGACCGCCGCCTTCTCAAAATCAAGTTTTCCTATTCGCTGCTTGTCATGCTGCTTCCCCGACAAGGAGGGGCTTTCTTTTTTGCTCTCGATGGGGAGGGACGCAGAATATGCAGATGGCAGACGGAGGTCCATCCCGAGATGGCCTTTGGAGACGCCCAGGTTGCTGGCGGTAGCAGGCCCAGAGAGACTTTTGTCACAGAATTTGCCTCTGAAAACATGTCACTTCCACAGACTTTGGGGGGAGAGGACATGGCGGGGGGCACTCCTTGGTGACTGCGGCACTTCGTGCTACCATGTACTACCCTGCTAATCCCTGCTACCCTTAGCAGCCGCTTTCAATTCCCCTCGCCTGCCCACTTCGATTTCTGCTCCCGCTAGTGCACAGATGGAGGTCGCCCTGCATAGACTGCGCACGACACGGATGCTGGCGTTTCTGTTGCAGCGGGTGCGTGCTCTGCCTCCGTGCCTATTCGCGTGGCTTGGCTTTGCCGCGACATCAAGTGTGGAGAAGCTGCAAAAGGCATTGAACGTGGGGCTTCGGCCCAACGAGGGCGGCTGCAGTGTCACTCGGGTTGTCCAAGGACGTGGACTAGTAGGGCGTGCCTCGGACAGCGTAAAAGCATGTCTGGGTGCATGGGCAACAGCGCATCCGCCAAGATGATTTCAGGATCACCCTGATGGAGGCCCAGGACTTCCAGCAAACAAAGCCACGAGTATGAATTCCCCACCTGAGATCCTTGCAGGCAACTCGGGCAGCCGTCCCATTCCTTGGCTTTCAGCGCAAAAACCACTGGGGACAGGCAGTAGGGCCATCGGAACCCAGCAGTGCATGGGGGGGCTTTTGTTTTTTTGTTTGCGTGTGACACCACAAAGAGCACCGTGCTGCCCGTTTCCTTGGCATGGCAAGACCTTGGCTCCTACTGTACATCGTTCCGAATCAGTTCAGTACCAGAGTGCAGCAGCATGCGATGGTACAAAGCTCGATCTCACAATGCAGGACAGGGATGGATTATGCTGTCGATACGCTCACCAATTGAGTAGCTTCTCTTCAGGTGCCATTCCTGCTGGTCGGCCTCCATGCCGCCATGCTCTCGGTCCCATATCGAAGTTTTGTGCCTCTTTTTTTTCCAGTTTTTGTATTCCTGCCACTACACCATGCAAGGTTCATAGTTGTAGGCGACTTTTTGTGTGACCCGGGGGTTAGCTGAGTTGACGAAGCCAAGCGGACGTTGTACTTTGAGTTGTGAGCTCAGAGGGGGTTTCACAAGCTTCATGGGGGCGGGGTTGGGTTCATAGGGTTCAAGGTTTAGGATTTGGGTTCTAAGCCGTCACAGTTAGGGTTCCCCCCCCCCGCCCCCGTGCGGTGTGGTTTGGGATTGGGGGTCACCATTTAGGGTTCAGGGTTCAAGGTTTAGGGTTTATAAGGTTTAGGGTTTAGGGTTCAAGGTTTAGGGGAGGAGGTGGAGGGGCTTGGCGAACCGAGAACCGGGAGCATATATGATGAGGAGCCTAAGCATTGTTAGGCAAGGGGATCCCGCCCCAGTTCAAAAGTGGGACATGCCCACGTCGAGAGCAGCAAAGAGTCGAGGCTGGAGCTTCTGGACGCCTTGGCCCCTGAAGAGCTTGACGTCTGCCGGGAGGATCTGTCAGCAGAGGCAGGGATCTTTGCTCCAAGTTTGCTCCGCTTGTCCTGTCTCCCTGGGTGTTTGATGTGAATCTTCTCAAACCGCTAGGAAAGGCTGGTGCAGGCCACGAAAGCCAAGGAAGAAGGCAACACCCACTTCAAGGCAACGGCTCCGAAAGGAACGTACTGTCAAGGGGTCGGCCCGCTGCAGCCCATTCTCTTTCTCTCCGTGCAGATGAGAGATGGCAAGAGTACGGAGTGTAATGAGAGGATCTTCCAGGTTGGCTCCTGGGAGCAGGCGGCAAGCTCGTACCTGTCGGCACTTGAGCTTCTGGGGTTCGAGGCCTGTGCCCGTCTGCGTGTCTGGTTTAGTGACTCAGTGTGCAGAACCTCAGAACCTGCATGTGCCCCGCTTCGAGGAACATGCAGATCAGCGAGCTGAAGAGGGTGTGTGGTCGGATGCCATTCGCCGGAGTCTTAAGCGGCTTAAGTCCATCTCAAGTCCCTGTGAATTCCATCGCCATCGTCTCCTAGAGTCTCGTCGCAACTAAGGTAGCGAGTCGAGAAAGACACTGGTGCCCTCCCCGTCTCGGATTTGACCGCTGTCAACACATTTCCTTCGTTTGCAGGCGTTGGCTTGCCAGCTGAACCTCTCGCAGTGCATGACTTCGGCTTAGCTCACATGCTCCCATCTCCTCTCATCGCCTCTCCGTGCCGAGTACCGTGGGTACCACACTGTCACATGACTCTTAGGCTGAAGCTGGAGGATCACCAGGCTGCACGGCCAGCAGCCCAGGCTCAAGCTGCTAAGCTAGCGAATCTCCCTGGCAAGACTGCGGACAGAGCTGGTGAGGAAGCAAAGATCCACATGATGCCAAAAGAGTCAAGCGGCAAGTCTCTGGCACAAGGTGTCACGCGGAAGCAGCGCTGATCCTACATCCCCGGCACTCCAAGGCGCCTGCACAGTACAGTAGCGGATACGAAACCTCAGAAGAATCAGTGAAGACCGGTGGTTGCTCGATATGTTGCTCGTAAAGTCGTAAACAGTTGAAGCTGATTCGGGCCCTGTTTTTCAACGGGTCCCGGGGATTTTGAAAGGGCTTAACAGTTAAGATTTTTCAAGGCGTGCCGCAGGAAACATTCTTACGACAGCCGGAAGACTAGACTTGATGGGGGATCCCACCGGGCATCCCGAAATGGTCACACGGTCCTGAGAGAGAGAGAGAGAGAGAGAGAGAGAGAGAGAGAGAGAGAGCAGCAGGGACTGGATCACGAACCGGGCGCGCCTCGTGCGCGGAGGGCGTGCTTGCGCGTCCTTCAAGCCCTGCAGAAGAAGAAGAAGAAGAAGAAGAAGAAGAAGAAGAAGAAGAAGAAGAAGAAGAAGAAGAAGAAGAAGAAGAAGAAGAGAGCAGCGGGCCGTCGGGGCCGGTGCTTTCCCTTCGGGGGGGTGCCTTCGCTGGTTATTCGAAGAAGAAGCAGAAGAAGAAGAAGAAGAAGAAGAAGAAGAAGAAGAAGAAGAAGAAGAAGAAGAAGAAGAAGAGAGAGAGCACGGGGTGAGTAGAAGAAGAAGAGCGCAACATTGCGTGCTTACCTACTTACACACCGCACACACACGCGCATACCCGCCTACACACATACGCACATACGCACATGCACGCATACACGCATACTCACTGCATGCTAGACACAAATGCATACTTCCCACATGCTAAGCGTCGGCGCGGGCCCCGCGGAGCATGGCAGCGCCGCATTGCAAATGAGGTGCAGGCCGCTGAGACTCTGGTACCGTTTCTCCATGTCCTTGAATGCAGTGCTGCAGTTGTGCTGCAAAGCTCAATGCTCCCATCACTGGAGTCGGGCGGACAACCCTCTCCAATGCCAGGGGAGTGAGGATTGGAGCGTGTTGGTTGGTTGAAGGATGAAAAACCTTGTCTGGCTCATTCTGGCTCGTGATCTAGGCACAAGGATGCCACAGGCCTTCAATGTCCTCCGGCCCGTGCATCTTCCACATTTTTTAGTCATGAAGTTTTATATTGTTGTGTGAGACATGTCGAACAGAGCACTCAGAGGCTCTCTATCGCCGTGGCCTGGCTTGCCTTGGATGTGAGCTCTTCCACCAGGCAGGGCCGAACCGTCGGGGGAAACAAGTGGGCTGGGCGTGGCATGGCTTGGCTATACTGTCTCAGCTGTTGCCCCTTGAAGGCGAAGGAGGACTTGCGCGAGGCTGCTAAGCTGGAGCCAAGGACAACAATAAGAACCTCGCATGGGCACTGCAGGAAGATGAGGAACCAGAGCCGAGCCCCAGCTTCTTGTCATGCCCGGAAGGAATGCTGAGATTCGTCGTCACCTGCAGGAGTCCGGGCCACAGTGGGGGCTGGGGTCACCTCTACGTCACTACGTTGCCCTTCGCAGCTCAGCGGTTCATGCTGGGTTCATGTGAGGTGCCAGCAACGAATGTCAGATGAGAAGAGCAGTACCAAGGATGCCAGCCTCTTAACATTTCTTAACAGCACAGGAGTACGTTTAGGCACTGCTCTGAGATGTGGGCGGCAGGCTTATGGCGGCTTCTTGGTACGATCTTCTCAGGCCCTCATGGATGAACAGCTGTAATGCAGTATCCTTTTGGCCCAATCGTCCCTCAGGTGTCCTGACATCCACTTCGACTTCGGCAAAGCGGGTCAACAAGCTCGACTTCACAGGGTCAGTTCACGCCCTGACTCCGGCAGCGCGCGGCGTAGCGTGTCACAGCGTCTTCGAGCTAGAGAGATGCTCCCGCGACTCTTGCTTCTGCACCTGGGTCACCTGGACCTTCGTGGCCAGAGAGGTAATGCCGTTGTGTGAAAGCAGCTGAGTGCTTGTCTCGCTGCCTAGTGAGCCGACTTCATGACATCTGGTGGCCGTTCCAGTGTGTGGGAATGCCTGTACGCACGGTGGATCTTGAGTCTCAAGGTAGGCTGCTAGGCTTAGGCCTAGGTAGCTGGCAGCGACAGCTGCCAGCCAGAATGAAGTGCAGATGTGCAATGCTTTGGGTGCTGCTGGCGCTGCGAACTGTGCAGGTTTCCAGCGCTTCCGCGGCTTCCCCAGTCGACAAAGTCTTAAGCGCTCTCAGCGAAATGAAAAGCACTGGGCTTGCTGAGATGGATGCAGAGAAGACTCAGCACGCTGAGTTCTCGGCGTTTTGCGAAAAGACCCTCAGCGAGAAAGCATCTGCCATCGCAGAGGGCAAGGACAGCTCCGAGCAGCTGGAGGCAAAGATTGAGAAGCTGCAGGCCTCGATTTCCAAGCTGGGAGGGGAGTTGCAGATGCACGCGCAAGACATCCTCACAACCAACAAGGACACTGATGATGCCAAGGCTTTGCGCACCCAAGAGGCAGCTGATTTTGCTGCCACACTGAAGGAGTACGAGGAGTCAATTGATGCAATTGGGCGCGCGACCCAAACTTTGAAGGATCAGGATTTCAGCCGCCCGCAGGCAGAAAAGGCTGCTCTCGCCCAGTTTTCAGGGGCTGTCGGGCCTGCCCTGCCTTCTTTATCCGGAGTATCTGCTGCTTCCACACCGAAGCAGTTGAACGCAGTCCTGGCAGCGTTCCTGCAAGCCGATCCAAAAGCGACCGGGTACGATTTCCAGTCTGGGGGTGTGATCAAGATGCTGAAGCAGCTTAAGACCAAGTTCCAGGCGGAGAAGGCGGATCTCGAAAAGACAGAGGCGACCAAGAAGAGCTCCCACGAGCTCCTCATGACCAGCCTCGCAAAGCAGCTCACAAGCTCCGAGGAGACCAAGGCCGAGAAGACTCAGTTCAAGAGCAAGGCTGAGGAAGACTTGGCGACGGCAAAGTCAGACTTGGAGGAGACGGCAAAGACCTTGGCCGCTGACACCAAGTACCGCCAGGATCTGCTGATGGAATGCAAAGACAAAAGTGAGGAGTTCAAGAAAAGCCAGGCGCTGCGGAGTGAAGAGATCGAGGCGATCAACATGGCAACGGAGATCATCAGTGGCAAGTCCGTGGCTGGCTCTGCCGAGAAGCACATGTCAGGACTCCTGCTGCCTCTTGAGCCCCCCAACAGAGATACATGTAAGTACTTGGAAGCAGTCGTAGCGGGAGAAAGGCGAGAACTTGTGAGGGAGGCTTAATGGGATCCGGATGCAAGGCTTTGGGCAGGCCTGATGGCTTGTGGACTCCCGTAGCACCCTGGCTCCCCAACCCCGGATCCATGTGCTTTTGAATACAAGAAAATGTGGATGTGTGAAGGCCTTCAGGCCTTCCAAGCTCCATCAAGCGAGGCCTTCTAGAAGTCTATCAGGAGGATGTCTGAGAGGCAGAGACTTAGAGGCCTCCAGGCCCGCAGAAAGCAAGCGACGCACGGTGTCTTGTTGGAGTCCCACCAGGAGATGTTGTCCAGGGGAGGTGGGAAGGGGAGGTGTTCAAAGCGCCAGTCTCCAGAGGCCTAGGTGGTTTTTTAAATGCAGATCTCATCAGCATTTTTTCAGGACTCCTACAGATCTCGACTTCCTTAGCATCACTCCGCTCTGTCAAGAGACCCTCTCAAGTGAGCTCAGCATTGAGCATTCTTGAGGCGGGTGCCCGCGACTTGAAGAGTCGTGATTTGGGTCTTCTGGTTCAGAGGATCAATGCCCTCGCTGATGCTGGACCCCACGACTCAGATTTGAGCAGCATCAAGGGCTTACTGGAAAAGCTTTTGGCCAACCTTGAGGCCACGGCAGACTCGGAAATTGAGCACCAGGCCTTCTGCAAGAAGGAGCTGGCCGGCAACAATCGAACACGCGCAAAACAGACCGATGCCCTGGAGAGCGTTTCGGCCCCCCGGGTTGCTGAAAAGATCCCCCCGCTTTCGCCTCCCTTAGGCCCTTAGCACTTCCTGGCACGTCTTAGCACTTCCTGGTAGAGTTGTGTGCCATTACAGATCGGAGACACGGGTTTTTAAAAAATAGAGAGCGAACAGTGGAACCGCGTGAAACCAAGAGACCCGCATGACGCATCAAGAGGGTCTGGCAGGCAGAGCTCGACCAGCTGCAGACATCGCTTGCCAAGATCACGGAAGAGATTGCCACAACCTCAGCCCAGATCACGGAGCTTAGCACGGCCATGTCTGAGGCTACTGGGCTCCGTCAGAAGGAGAAGGCCAAGAACAAGGCGACCATCAAAGATGCTCAAGTGGCCCAGGATTCAGTTGCAAAGGCAATGGGAATCTTGCAGGATTTTTACGACAAGAGCGGCACCTCCTTCTTGCAGGGGGCCTCGCAACAGAAGAAGATCTTAGGCCTCCTCGAAACACTCCTCGGGGACTTCTCGCGCTTGGAGGCCGAGACCTCTGCTGCGGAGCAGGCCTCTGACAAGGAGTTCAGGACTTTCATGGAAGATTCTCGGGTCGACCAGGCTGAGAAAAGGATGGATTCACAGCATTTAGAGGAGAAGAAGGAGCAGCAGGGCAAGCTCATGGCCCAAAGACAAGCTGACCAGACGTCTTTGCAGACACAGCTGGACTCGGCCAACAAGTACTATGAGGAGCTTGCGAAGCAGTGCTTGTCGGATGAGAGCGATGCCGCCAAGAAGGAGGCACTGCGACAACAGGAGGTCCAGAACCTGAAGACGGCTCTAAAGGAACTGTCGGACTGAGCCAATCCGAGCTGAGCTTCCTGGCACTTTTCTGGTCTCCTCTGGTGTTTGGATGACACGCGGAAGGCACTGCAAGCCATCTGTTGCAGAAAAAGGGCTCGCGGTTTGCATCTTACCCGTGGAACATGTCAGCTTGCTTGGAGCCGCCCTCGTCATCGGCCAGCTTGCCTTACCCGAAATGTCGCTTAGAGCATCTAAATCACATCTGCACCCATGTAGGTGCAGGTGTCCAAAGATGTGATGCAGCTCAAGAGCGGCGATTACACCTGACACAATCATGCAGGCATCATGTCAGAAACGATGTGAGGAGACTTGTAGAGGAGACTTGTAGAATGCTAGCTGGGGGGCAGGAGAATATCTAGGACCCATTTTAGGAAGCCTGCTATGGCGAAGGACCAAAGTGCCCTGCCATTTCCAACAGCTGCCGGGTATGCTACGCTGGCACTCAACGGCGCGAAAGGAGGTGTCAAATACTGCTATGTCTGCTATGTGATTGCAAATGAAACACGACGGCTATCACGGCTATCATTGTTCCCACATGTGCTGAAGCTTGAAGGTGCTACAAAGTATCTCACACTGCAGTATCTCAACTATGCTCGCTGGACTGCGCAGCAGCATAGCTGCAGCATGGTGCAGGCGCCGTGATCTCAGCTCTGAACGCACGCAGATCCAGGTCGACAGACAGATCCAAGTGTAGCTCCGAGGCTTCGGATCATGGCCCGAGTGCACCTGATCTCGGCCGATGGCACATGGACACCCTTCGGCGTTGCCAAATATTGGCGTCCAGCAGTCCCTGGCATATCTCTTCATTTCATCTTTCATCTGCTCGCCATGTTCTTGTGTCCCACCGTTCAAGCACTATGCGCATCTTCGCATGCTGCGCTACCGGAATGCATCAGGTGACACTCCTCAATGAGACTGTCCACTGGGGCATGAAGGTGGGACCGCGGAGTTCAAAGGACTTTTGTCAAATCGCTGCAATGCAGGTGCCAGCTGCTATGCTGCTGTTCGAGCAATTCCGGGATATCGGCCCTCACAGTGGTCTCTTTGCAGCAGTCGCCCTGAGCACCTGTGGAGAGGCGAATGCTTGTGAGCGCAATGTGAACAGCGAGACTGCACATTAGCCATGCCCTGGAAAGCAGCGACTCTCTGTCACCGAACAGGTAGCGGCCACTGGATGGAGCGAACGCTTCGGTGTGCACATGGGTTCGCTTCACAACGAGCAACATTGAGTCCAGCGAGTCAGCAATGTCCCAAAGACTCCTCAGGCTTGCAGCAGCACATCTCAACATACCGAAAGTCTTTTTCGATTTCGCGCCAGGCCAGGTGCCACACCTCAAGTCCTGCGTCAGAAAGCTCTTGAAGAGTCTCTGCCATTTGCTAGGCTCGGCAAGGAGTTCTCGCAGGTGCCTGGGCTGGTGCAGGAGGACTCTGGGCCAGGGGCCTTATCCGAATGCCGTTGTCGATGTCTGTCGATGTCCGTCCAGTACTGTGAACGCACCCTCAGGTGCGGAACTTTTCGTGGAACTTTGCTTTCTTCGAATGGAAGCGCTTCCTGCACAATGCGGTAGACTCCACTCCGGCCAACGTGCCCGCGTGGTTCGAAGCCCATCTGGACTGGCTACGCAGCCTGTGCCTCAAAGCAGTCAAAGCAGCCAAAAGAGCCAAGCTACATCCTACGCTACCACCCGTGCAGGCCTGGAGAAGAAGAACCAGGCCAACGTCCTCACATTTGAGGCTGCGACGCTTGGTCGGAGCCTTATACAGAAGCTGCTGAGCATTCGGGCAGGGGAACTATTGGGAACTCCTAAACTATGTTCGTCTCGGGGGCCTTAGATCCGTGGCTGTGCAATGCGCATCTGCGCCGATGCACGGATACTCGGCTAAGCCGGTTTTAGTGTAAGGAACGTATCTCACATTCTTCAACATGGCCGGCGACAACGTCAAGACCAAGATGCAGGCTCGTAGTCTCGTAGTTGCAGGTCGTAGGCACGGCATAGTCGGACGTGCTTGGAAAAAATCTGGCTAAGTTGCGGCAGACGCATGGGCTTTACTTTGTCGACCTTGCGGTCAGCATGGGAAGGGTGGCGGTCGGAGGTAAAGTGCAAGCTTCGCCCTGTTCACGTTACCACGCGCTTCAGACTGCACCTTCTGTACAAGTGCAAGCTTAGACAAAGCCAGCATTTGTTTGCCGGCAGGTGGATCCAGCGCGGTATCCCAGCTTTCGCTTGACTGTGTACGAGATCTGGCACAAGCATGGCCTCTTAGGTTTTACCAGAGGTAGTCTCTTCAAGGGTATCTATCTTATACTTGGATCGACCCTCGCCATAGGCATTCAGGAAAGGCTGACGGAAATCATGGCAGCCTTGTTCCGATAAGTGGTGAGGTGGTAATTGTTGACGGTAGACGGCCAAGCTGCTCTACAACTTATGACGCAGATCGGTTTGACCGAATTCTCCGCCTTGGTGTGCAAAAGAGTTCAGTGTAGAAGCCAACGCTTGGTTCTGGTCCAAGTGCACCCTCACAAGCCCCAAAGCCTTGTGAAGCATCCTAGTCATTCCTACGCCCTCGGAGCATCGGCTCAAGCTCAATCAGGTGTGAAACATTGTGAAGCACCTCCAACACAGGGGATTTCACGTGCGAGTACGAGCTAAACATTAATGGCGTGCAGCTGAATGCGCTGCTATGTCGTATGCTGCGTGCGCCTGAGAGCATTGTATGCGCTCTTAAAATCACGATTTTTTGAACATGATGGTCTCAAAGGCCACAAGTTCCACTCCTAAGCGTCCTGGGTGCCTGGCTTACACTGGCTGATTCTTACGTAAGCTGTTCGTTCGTCCACAATGTGTTGTCTTCGACTTTGGGCTAGCACTTGCAACATCACTGTCACTTCCCATAGCACCTGATTGAACAGGTAAGATTCCTTGCCCTTGCTACCAGTGGGACTGAGTCAGAACTGACGTGAAAGGATGTGCGATGCGATGTCTCTTCAGAGGTCAATCCGAACTCCACGAGATGGGGACTCTGCGCAATCCCCAGATCCTAGTAACTAGTAGGTATGTCTGACAAGGTGCTATGAATTCTTTCGCTCTACCTTTTGCCCTGGCGTAGCCAAGGCTTACGTGCAGGACTCGAACGCTGTCTCCGAGGCAATGCAAGTTTCTCTTACGAACAAACGGACGTGATTTGTGCCTGCAAGGCGGTGAAGAGAATCCAAAGCTGCGCTGCAGATATCCGAAAAGAGGCCGGACGGATCCTGACACACTGCTCACTTAGACCACGAAGGGGCAGCACTCGGAATGAGTCTTGCCATGCTTGAGCTTTGAGCAGACCCACTTGCTCGGGTCTGTGCAGCCGCTGTCATCACGGAAGAAGGCGCTGCATGAGAGGTTTCCTTGAACGGCTTGAGCTCGTAGGGGCAGGGACTTTGCGGGCCATGCAACGAGGTGGAAGAAGCCGTGCATCTGGGAAAGCAGTCCGTGGATGAGGGCAAGCGACACTTGCAGAAGGCTGCTGATGCATTTCTTTGGTGACTTTAGTGGCTGCAGCGCTTTCCAGGACGTGAACCCTTTTGATATGCGAATGTTTCGGTATTGACTGCGAGTGCCGTGCTTGCAGCTTAGCTGCCTTAGCGGCGGCAGCATCAGCGAGCAGCGATCGCGGGTATTTACGCAGCAGATGCTCCGTGGCGCCGGCGCACTTGGCTTTGTGACTTTGTGGCTCATGATGGGTTTCGTGGGATGCAAGGGTCAAGTTTTTGAAGGCGAGAAGCTGGAGATTGCCACGACCGACCTTGAGGCCCCAAGTGCCCCCTCTCCAAAAGGAGGTTTGTCAGATATTGTCAGATGAAGTCAAGTCAAGTGCTGGAACTTGTGCACTCAGAGAGGCCACTTTCCAGGCTTTCGAGAAGGCCGCGAAGAACCGCAGCGGGCCAAGAGCACTCCCGGGGTTTTGCGCTGTTGTGCCCTACAGGCCCTAGAAGGATGCCCCATGACGCCCCCTCTTCTGAGCACAGGGTGCTACTTAGCTTATCCTTCCTCCTTTTTCGATTCTTGTCTCTGCTTCTTTCCCGTAAGGAGAGGCCGCGCAGAGCAGGGCCTCGGCCGCCAGGCTGGTTCTGCTCTGATCAAGGGGGGAGGGAGGGTGTTTTAGTATCCTATAGGGCCTTTTAGGGGCAGGTCAGGCTGTTTCTTGAGCTTTTTAACAGTGGTTGAGCCATGTCACGGGTATGTTTTGTTATGAGTTAACATTGTTAAGCCCTGCTTCTGAGGGTTCATTGTTAAGCCCTGATTCTGAGGGTTCAGAATCTGACCAGGCTCGGAGAGCATGTGGAGATGGGTGCCATGCCCGGCGGTGCCGTGAGCTTATACTAGCGTCACGTTTGTGTGCCGACTCGTGTAGATCCAAAGTCTAGGCTTCCTGGGTTCGAATCCTCTCCTTGTCACGATGCACTATAATTAAGGTATGTTATGCTACCGTGCGATGGCTGAGTATGTTGTGCTGCTGAGGCCGAGCTTGGAGCTGCGCGACAGCAAGTCCAAGAAGCGAACGTCATTTCAGAGGTGTGCAGACATGCGCAGTCAGCAGCGTCCCTCGTTACCCCTGGCATTCTGATTTCTGCCGCCATCTCGCGTGACACGCGCAGGGTGAAGCGGAGATTCACGCCGCCATGGTAGACGAGTATGTGGAGCAGGTCGAACAGGGGATGGAGCTGCTGAAGCCGAGTGCTGCTTTTGGTTGCCTGTATCTCCGCCAATTGCAGATTTCCACAATTGAGCAAGATGTTCGAGGACTTCAGCAGGCTTGACGGGCTGCACTTTGGTGTGTGTGTGTGTGTGTGTCTATGCATGTGTCTATGCGTGCGTGTTTGCGTGTTTGAGTATGCCGGCCATTGGTGCGAGGCCATGGTCGATTTGGCCACGCATGCGAAGGCAAGCCACACCGCTCCTTCTCTCCGCGTCCTGGTCTTCGACGTTGAGTAGACAAGAGTGACAAAAGTTCTGATGTCATGCTCTGTGGTTGCTCTTGTCATCCTGTCGGGGCAGCGGCACTAGATGGCACTAGTGTTGCTCTGGCCGAGCGTTCCAGCAAGTCCTGCCGCTGAACCTCTGTTGGACAGGACGCTTCGCAAAAGTATGACTAAAGAATCCTCGAAAGTTCAGATAGATTTTGAAAGACCGGTGCCCTTTTCGTCCGGCGCGTGAGAAGGCGGACGTACAGGCAGTAATCGTCCACTGGTTGGCGGATGCCGCACCTATCCGAGAGCGGCTCGCGCACATGAACCGCGGTACTTTCAGAATTTTTAAAGGCCAACTCCAACGAAGCGTGGCATATGCGACATGTTGAGGTATGAAGATGAGCTCCACGAAAGTTCGCGAAAATAGCGTAGCTGCGAAACAGTACACTTTCCGCGAAGACCGTTTCTTTCCTCCATATTGAACAAGCATCGTATGCCTCGTTTGAGCAATATCTATATATATATACACATATATGATAATAGTCCTGATACTACTCACATCATTCATTCTTTATGGCAGGTTCAGAGCGACATGCTGGACCACATTGAAGCCCACTCCGAATCTTCATCTGCCACCACTGCAGGCGCAAATGAGCCTGGAATAGGATGCAAGTGTTGATGCTGCTGCCGACGCTGCACAACATGCAACTGGGCAGATGCAACCGCGCAGCTGACGCAAGCCAGTCGCCGGCAAAGGCACGATATTGGCTTCACGGCCCCCACATCGAGTGTGATGGTTGTAGCCCATGGTAGCCCGTTTGCCAGTCGTGGCTCAAAGTTCATCTACTGGCTGCCGGATCCCTCAGCGTCCTTGTCACTGTCCACCTGTAGCACAGGTATCAGGCAGGTGTAGTCATTGGCATATGTGCATCGCTTAAAGCAGCTGGTTGTAGCTCAGGCTGCTGGTGGCAGCGGTCCTTGCAGTCATTCTGATATTCGTCGTTGTAAATAAAAGCAGTACAGGCACGTGAGTGTTAATGAGTTAGAGACGCGACTTGGGACCTGCAGAACTGCAGATCTCGAGCAGAATCGTTAATGCAGTTGTGAGAAGTTCTTTCTCACTGGATGTGATCGCTTTTGTGCTCAAAAGGTGACATTGGGGTGGCACACCTCTGGCGGTATGACTCTAGGCAGTCCTGCCTTAAGACAATGTCAGAACCAGTCAGCCGTTCGCCCAACTGGCGCAGATTGGGTGCATCAGGCACAACCAAGTTCAGATACGCAGGTCGATGCAGGTTTGTTCACACCACTGCGAAGGGCTCGTCGCTTTGTACACCAGAGAGCTTTGTCCACTCTTGCCAACTTCGCCGCAACTTCCTCTCAGCAGCTGGGTTGATCATGGACGCCGCGCTGTGGCGGGGTGGCCGGTCTGGCGCCTACTCCCACTAGGTCAATAGGCGCTTCGTTGCCCTTTCCTTTTGAATCCATTGACCTCTCCTCTATTGCCATCTCTAAGGCGCCATGGCAACACCCAACAAAATGCGCGCGAAGTCAATTGGTGCGCCACCTGGTGCATTCGCAAGTGCTCCACCTTCATCGTGCGCGCGATGCTTGCTTGCTACCCTGAGCATCCGATGATCAGATGGATGAGATGCTCGTGAGTATAAGGCCACTATATCCTCGGAAAGACGATAGGCGAGGGGACCTTCGGAAAAGTCAAGCTCGGCACCCACATTCTTACTGGCGAGAAGGTGGGGTTCGCTTGGTTCGCACTGTGAATGGTCTCAAAGGGAGTCACATGTTTGTTCATGCCAGGTGGCTGTTAAGATTCTCGAGAAGGAGCGAATTGTCGTCGGCACCTCACCATGCTTCTTGAACTGTGCAAAGACTTGAAGCGCAGATTCTCCGTTCCTTAGGATGTTGCGGATGTGGAGAGGGTTGCCCGCGAAATCCACATCCTGAAGCTGGCACAGCTGACCTGTTCTGTGGAAGCATGTTCGCCAGAGAAGTTGCGAAGCTCTCGTACGCTAGGTGCAGCATCCGCACATAATTCAGCTCTACGAGATCATAGAGACACCTCGTCAACTGTGCCTCCGATCATTCGACAGCGCGTGCAGAAGTTACGAGAACTGCTTAGAAGGTACCTGATCATGGAGTACTGCCCCGGTGGGGAGCTGTTCGACTACATCGTGGCACAGGGCCGGGTGAAGGAAAGAGAGGCCATGGAGCTTTTCAAGGTCCTGTAGGGGTTTGACCGCTTCCCTGTGCAGGCGTGTCGCTTCTTTCACCAGATCATGGCTGGCGTGGAGCAGATACATAGGACCAGCGGGGTATAGTGGCACGAGCTGAAAATTCAATACTGTGAAGTTCTGAATGCTGCCAGCGAGGCTGCGATCAAGAAGCTACCCTGCCTGATGGCTGTGGTTACAGAATGCTGTCAGCTCTGTTCAGCTGTGTACACAAGAAGCCTCTGAGCGAAAGCACACACAGAGCCTTCAACGATGTTCTGAGCCCACCAGGTTGCATTACGTTGCAACAGCTTGCACCGCATCAGCGGATCACAAATTCATCACATCGCTCTGACAAGGGTTTTGGGCATGAAGTTCACACCTTGCAGAGTGGCCAATCCCAACAAGCCAGCTTGCAATAGGTAGTAGCCAGCAAATGTAGCACGCAGTCGACAGTGTTGTTCTCGAGTGTTTTCCACCTTCCCAGCGACTCTTTGGCGAGGATGAACGTCGTCCATCGGGATTTGAAGCCCGAGAATCTGCTGTTGGACGAGCAGAGAAACATCAAGATCGTGGATTTCGGCCTGAGCAACACCTATCAGGCAGAGCCTACTGAAACCATCTAGAACCTAGGCAGTCTCCGTAATGTGTGGCATTGTGTAGTGGCATGAGTCCCAGCCAGGATGGGCAGCTGCTGAAGACCGCCTGCGGTTCTCCCTGCTACGCAGCTCCAGAAATGGTGGCAGGCCAACGCTACGCCGGGCCCTCGAAAGTGTACAGTACAATGCGTCGCACGGCCGGACGTGTCGTATTTAAGTTGCCATAGTCGGGTCAGCATAGTCGATCTGAGTCGTAAATAGTATCAACAAACCCGTAATCTGATAACCTGCTCAAAAAGCTTCATCCATGCTTCGTTAGGTCCCATCTCGCTGTGATGTCTGGAGTTGTGGCGTGATACTGTTTGCCTTGGTTTGCCCGAGCCTTGGTGTATCGTTGCTGCCAACGTCATCCGTGTGTTCACGGACAGCCCAGGTGGGTACCTGCCCTTTGAAGACCAGAACACGTCGGCACTGTATCGCAAGATTCTCAACGCAGACTACCAGGCGTGTCTGTTCGAAGCCAGACGCCGGCGACGATGCAAGTCTTGAAGAGCCATGACTCAACGCAGCTCCTGCTGGAAGGCCCCGAAATTCATTTCGGAAAGTGTGCGAGACCTCATTGCCAGGCCTGTGGCAGAGCAGCTTCATGATCACAGCTAGAAAGCGCTTTGATGAAAGCCCAGGATGTTGAACACAGACCCTGAGCAACGCTTCACCACGTCGAAGATCCGAGCGCATGCTTGGTCCGCTTGGGATTCCGACTAATCATTCACCCGGCAGCTAAACTTGCGGCAGTTGAGGTACCGGCAAATTGGTGAGGCTTCACTGTCCCTCAATGGAGGCTTGAGACATGTCTTTGCGCAAATTTCCCAACTGGAGCGGACTTGCATCAGCAAAGTGAATCGTGCATCATCTTGCATCAGCGTACTCGGTTTTGAGCTGGATTGCTGGACGTGTTTGTGCAGGTGCTGGGTCTTCCAAGATCCTCGAAGAGGATGTGTGCAATCCTTGGTTTTGCGTTTTTTTGGTGAGTTGAACTCAGTTTGTTTTTCCAGAAGTGCTTGATTTGGGCCCTCTCACAGGCTGGACCAATTAGACCGCTTCGGCTTTCCCAGAGACTACGCCATCAAGTGCTTGTCCCCTGGCTCGATTGTTTCTCAAGAGTACCACTACCATGTGCAGGTGCTAAAAGAAGAAGCACACTGTCCATGCTGCCAGCTGTTCGCTGTTCCAGAGCGACTCTCACGACTTCACTTGGCAGCATATGCCGCTTTGCCAGGCAGATGGGGAAGCACAATCACGTCACAACCACGTACCACTTGCTCGTCGAGAAGAAGAAGCGCTCGGGCGGAAGTTTGAAGGCCTATGGGCAGTGACTGTCGGGTGCAACCTATACCATCAAATAATCCATATATTCAATACTAATCTTCATATACCAATTGCGCGAGCAGTGTTCCAATCAGCTTGTGACTTGTGAGCGGGGCTGAAGCGGAGTGCCACAAAGCCACACTTATTCGGAGTGTTGGGTTCGTGAGGCCTTGGACCAGAATGCGCATGCCGGCTTCGAGGCCAGATGTCTGTTTTTTGTTTTGGGCATTTTCAAGATTGGCGCTACCACCGCGAGTCCCGTGCGATACCCGTGTGAGCAGGGCCCCATCACAGAACCCGGCGACTTCCGAGACATGGAGCTGCCTGCCGAGCGGTCACCATCACCATTCCAGGCGCGTGCAAGTCCATGCACGGTTCGAACGAACTATTACATTTCTAAGTTAGTTTTTTGCTGAGGGAAGATGGAGGACATGTGGAGGACATGTGGAGGACACGCCTTCCCACCTGCAGGCCGAGATTGAGAAGCCCAAGTTTCGGTCACCGTCGCCGATCCAGGCGCAGGCTTGCGACCGCCAGTGTAAGATATTGTAGGGGTGCAAGCCGCCTTGCAACAACGTTGCCCTACGTTGACAGGCTGAAACTGCGGAGAAGCCTAAATTGAGCCCACGCCCCAGACGCCTTGGAAATGCGCCCCTCAAGAAACTCTGCTCACCAAGATTCTGTTGAAAGCTTAATTAGCTCTGTGCCCCCAAGGCACTCCCACACCAAGAGGCCGCTGGCTGAGCATTTTTTTTTTTAAGCAAGTGTAGGCAAAATTTCTGATGAGTATCGAATGCCACCCAGGATACCGGACGAGCACGCCCAGCGGCCGCCCCAATGCAGGCCAGTGCATATGTGTTTCGAAGGGATCCCCAAACTCGTGGAGAAGGCCACTGCTTGGAATAATGCCGCTGCCATTTCGCCTGAGAAAATGAAATACTTCAGGCTTTGTGCCATTTGCAGAATCCGGTTATGCAGGCTAGGCATGTCACAATTCATTGCATCTCGATCCGGCTTGTTAGAGCGAGGCAAAACTAAACAAGCAGGAACACATCTGGCTTTCAGAAGTACTCGCGTCACTAGAGCTTACATCCTGCATTCGCACACTGTCACAGGGTTGTGAAGGGAGTTCGAAGTCTGCATGACGTTGTATCCTCCTGCTGGCATTTGCGGTGTGCTGCAGCTCGAGGTGTGCTGGGAGAGCGATTTAAAGATCAAAGTTGGTGATGACATAGTGCCGGTTCATCGAAGCGTTCTGGTGGGTGGACGGTCCCGCTTCCTCGCAGACTTGTTTGGTCCAGATCTAGCGTGCAATGACGGACCAGTTGCCATCCAGCCACCACATCCGGAGCTGTTCCTACGAGCCCTCCACTGCATCACAACCCGAGCACGACCAGAACTTACGGAGGCGGAGTTCGTAGGCTTCGTTAGAACTTCTGCTTTCCTTCAGAGTGATGAGCTTGATGAGCGCTTGTGTGAAGCCAGCCTTTGCTCATGGAAGTCGCTGACTCGCTTGCATGACTTCCGAAATCCCTGTGTCCCTGCGCAATTTCTCGAGCGCATGCTATTGATGGCCCGGGAACACAATGTCATGACCGTGCCGGACTGTTTGGAAGTTCTGGCCATGTGGTGCAAGGACGGCATTGATGGCGGAGATATGGTCCTCGAAAAGCTGATCAAGATTTCGGACATGGAGGCATCTGAGCTGAAGCGACTGCAGAGTATTAACCCACGTTTCGTGGAGCTGCTGTCCTCCACACAAGTGTACCAGATCATGGGGAAGGCGTGCTTCCTGTGACATGACAAGATTCAGCCGTAGATGTTTCAAGGCTCGCCATCATTGTTATAATCATGGTTGCAAGTTGTAAGTTGCAACTGTGCATGAAGGTGAGCATGCTGTGTTTGAGAAAGAGGGCGTGCTGGCGGCATAGTGAGCCAAAGTAGGTTGCACGAGCACGAGTGTGGGCAAGTGCTACTTTCCGCCACTTTACCCGCTGAAGGTGATGAAAGCGCCAAGTGAAAAAGGGAAGGGGGGGGGGGTGGAGCTTTAGCGTCAATCTTACCTATCAAAGGCTTAGTAGCAGTAGCAATACAAGCCAGAGCGAAGTGCAAGTGGCCGACCGAGATGCGCAAGTCTCGATAATTTCGCCGCGCATGGCTTAGCAGACAAAATGTCCCAGGTGAGCCTCACAGTGCACGCGAACCACAGCGGTCTGGCACCTCGGCGGCAGTGTGGCAGAGCGAGATGAACAAAGTCTCAGGTCATTTCTTGATCGGTGCTTGCAAGCAGTCGCCATTTCTCAGTGCTGTTCTAGCAGACAAAATGTCCCAGGTGAGCCTCACAGCGCACGCGAACCACAGCGACCTGGTACCTCGGCAGCAGTGGCAGAGCGAGATGAACAAGTCTGAAGAACATTTCTCGGTCGGCGCTTGCAAGCATTCGCCATGGTGTTGCACTCGCTTTAATATCTAGGCCACCCCACACCAAAAAACGAAGTTAAACAAAACACACAATTGGGGTTGTGCTCACGCTCTATAAGCGGGAACGGGGTCTGGCGGTAGGGCTGGTAGGGGTCGAGGGTTGAAGGGAGGCCTTGAAGCTTGAGGGTCTAAGCTCTCCAGGTTTTTTTGGCTCTCTGGCCAGGGGGGCTGCGGACTAATACGGGTGACCGAAACAATTGTTCGGGGGCCTGTTTCGGAATAAAATTAAATGTATTCAAATGTCAAAGGAATTTCGGGGTCCCAGACTGGGGCCGCTGATGCTCCTGATGCGCGCTTGGGGGTCCCTGACTGAACCCGCTGATGCTCATGATGCGCTCCCTTTGGGGCGCGTCCGTGCGTGTCCGTGGCTATGCCATTTTTACGCAGAAAAACACACGAAAATGGGTGGGGGAGCGGAAGGTCGGCCTATGCTACGCACAAGGCTAGTTCGACTAGCATGGGATAAACCCCGTGTTATACAGGTTCGCGCTGCGCCAGGACGCGATGGCCATGGCGCTACCCGATTTTAAGGGGCTGCGGCCATGGGCGGGCAGCGCAGGCAGAAGCTCGAGGAGAGTTGATCTGTTATTTTGTTTTTGAAGGCTGGCTGCAAACGTGGTGCGCCCAAGCGCGCCCCCAAACCAAGGCCGCTAATGCTTATGATGTGCCTCCCTGGGTCCCGGACTGAACCCGCTGATGCTCATGATGCGCGCAGGCAGTAATCTCGAGGAGACTTGTCTCTTTTTATGCTTTTAAATGCTGCCGCCAATGCCGCTGCAAGCAGGGCGCGCGCGCGCGTTGTCGCACGACCGGGTCAGCTGTAGGTCTCATAGCTGGAATGCACGGATTTGGCGCGGGGTCTATCCGGGAACGGCCAAAAACGCTAGGCTTGTAACAGGCCCCGGGCGGGCACGGCGCGACAAAGGGTTTGTAACAAAAACCGGTTCTTGCGACAAGCCTTGCGCGACAAGGCTTGCGACAAGGGGCGTTTTCTAGAATGCCACGCGACAAAGGTTTGAAACATAGCTGGCGCGACAAGGGGCGCGACAAGGGTTTGTAACAAGGTGGGGGCCGCCCCCCCGCGACAAGGGGGGTATTGGGCCAAGCCCATCTATGTTTATAACGTCAAAGCCATGACAGTGCCATGACCTTTCAACCCTACACAGGCCCTGCGCTCAAAGACATGGAAACCTGAATGCCTTAATACCCAAGCCGCAATTTTAAAATGGCGCAAACCTTGAATTAAACCCAGATGCACGCTGCGGGACCCCCGGCCACGCCGAGGGAATGGCTATCCGCCCATGGGCCATCATGTCAGGCTGGGGAGCCAGGGCTGGGGCCGCTGATGCTCATGATGCGGGTGCTTTGGGGGAAGCCAAGGCTGTTGATGCTCATGATGCGCTCCCTTTGGGGTAACCCTTGTCGATAGGGGTTCCCTTTATCATTTTTCTGGAACTTCGCAGAATAGCGGGTAGCGATACTTTAAAGCGGTGCTACATGATTCAATGCTGTTCTAGCAGACAAAATGTCCCAGGTGAGCCTCACAGTGCACGCGAACCACAGCGACCTGGCACCTCGGCAGCAGTGGCAGAGCGGAGCGAGAAGAACAAGTCTGAAGAACATTTCTCGATCCTCGGCGTTTGCCAGCGTTCGCCATTGTACTCGTAAGTGCTGTGCTTGCAGACAGGCATGTTCCAGGTAACCCTCACGCACGCGAACCATTTCGCAAACTCATTCCCATGCCTTGTTGAACAGAAAACTCGTTAGCTTGCAAAAGGAGAACAAGGAAAAGAACAAGCGATATGGTTTCGCAGGGTTTTGGCCGTATACGCCCAAACCTTTCTGATTCTATCGCTTGACCAGGGACTCGAACAGCAAGAAACGATGGCCAGAGTGAGAACTGTTGGTTCACAAAACGGGTGCATCATCTTCAGTCAGCTCAAGCGCAAGCACCAATCCCACAATCTACGAAAATGGCTAGCGCCAGATTCCTTTTGCGTGCAGATACTGTGGAACGAGAAGGAGCTTTCAAAAATCACGCAAACAAAAACCCTCAACCCGAAATCCCGAAACCCTCAACCCCTAAATTTAAGAGCCTCCGGCTCAAGCCGCCGACCCCGCAGAGAACAAGTTTAAGGTTTGGGGTTTGGTGATTTTGTTCGCGGTTGGAGGGGGGGGGGTGGGGCTGGGGGGGTGGGGGTGGGGGGGGGGGGTAAGGGGGCGGGGTAACGGGGGGGGGTAAGGGGGTGGGGGTAGGGGGCGTTGGGAGCCCAGTGTGCGAAAACGCCTATGGTCCATGAGTTACGCGGTGTGGGTGGCCTGTTCCTCCACGGAAAAGCTGGCGGGGTACCCCCCCCTACCCCCCCGCGTTTTGGGGGGGTAAGGAGGGAAAGAGGGAGGTTTTCACCTCCTTTTTCCATCCAACACGCCGCCAGGGTCGGCGGACCCCCAAACCCGCAAACCCGCAAACCCTACACAACTACACCCCGAAGCCCTACTACTGCGGTTCTTGCACAGCCTCAGGTGGCGAAGTACAGCGGCCGGGCACCTCACAGGCTTTGCGAAAAGAGTGTCCACCACTGCAAACCCTGTCGGTTTGATAGGGTTTGTAGGGTTTATGGGGTTTATGTGGGCTGATGCGTTTTCATGGGTTTGTAGGTTTTTAAGTAGTTTATTCATTTTCGTTATTTTCACATAGTTCAAGTTCGTTTAAGTTAATTCTAATCAATTTCATTCAACTTTGTTTATGTTAAAACATGTTTTGGTTTTAGCTACTTGTAACTGCTTCTCACGAATGAACGAATTTTAATTCATAAGCCCTAAGCCCTTTGCTGCCTTCTCCTGCCTGCGAGGGCATGAACGCCCCGAGCCCCATTCGGCCTCCCAGTCGGCCAGCTTCATCCTCATCCCGCAGCTTGGCTTCATCGCCGCTTCTCTATTTTTGTTCAAGGGTTCAGGGGTATGTGGGGACTTAAGTACTGAAGGCTGAAGGTTCAATGGTGGCTTGTACTCGTTTGCTTCATAAACATTGGGCTTAGGGTGTGGAAGCTCCCTCCATGCTTTCATTCTTGGAGAATTCGTGAACAAAAAACACATTGAACAATATTCCACCACTTCGGCGATGTTCTCAACCCTACAGGCTGGCCTAACTTTAGAAAGGCATGGCTTCGGGCATCATGTTTCTTCTGCGGCGCCCGTTTTCGCGCGGCTGTAACGTAAGCTGCGTGGTAGGTGAGGGCGGCGCTCGTGGCCCCTGGCACATCCTTGACGTGGCATCATCAACCTGACCTTGAAGCATAAATTCCCCAGCCCCCAAAGCTTGAACTTACCCCGGGCTTCCTGAGGTCTGCAGAGACAGAGACACGCAATGGCACGGAGTCCTCTTATTATAGGTATAGGTCATGGCAATGAATAGCGCATCATAGTATTCGAAATTAGAGCAATCCCCACTTGACTTCACATCCCAGGCGCCCAGTATGTTAACGAGGCGCGGAGGAGGCTCGAAGTGTTATCGGGACGTTGACCCTGTGGCGGAAATTGCAGTGGCCGCAGCCGTGTCGCGCCCTGGAGCAAGGCACTACGCTGCAGCAGCGGAGGTCTCGGTCTTGGCTCGGCTTCACGAAGCTTTCCAAACCTCGACTTGCTCGCAGGCTTTGAGCGTTCCCGTGCCGCAGAGAAGACCTGGCGACACCAGCAGCCCGGCACTCAAGAGGAACACCACAAGAACGCCACGAGACGCTTGAAAGAAAGCAGAGGGTGCCGACCCCTAGGCCGGCGGATCGGCGGACCTGCAGAGGGTGCTGCTGCGACAGCAGCTTCCGTAGCGGCGGACCTGTATAGCGGGAATCATGCAACAGCTGCCGGGCGTCTTAGAAACGAAGTCACACCAGCGTTATCTCTGAAGACATAGTAAGATAGTAGCGAAGCATTCTTCAGACGCATGTCGTAGGCTGATCTCGGCTGGGCTTGTGGATTCTGAGATATTCTGACAGTGGACCGAGGCCTGGACGAGCCGGACCTATGGGCCGCGTGCAGCTTCCACAACGTGCCCAACCAAGTACTGCATCCCACCGTGGCTTGTGGAGCCAGTGGAGCCTCTTATTTTATGCACTACATTGCACTACCATCTCCGCTTGAAGAGTGGGCTTGCAGGCCTGAAGGCGTTCATGGCTCATCGGGCGATGCAATTGGTGCGCCGCCACACACCTGAGCCCATTCAGAGATGCTGGGAGTATGGCTTCTTGCGATGCTCGTGGACACACATGCACATGTGGACAGGCCCCCATTCGGCCAGAGACCATAGAGATCAGTCCATGCGGACGTGCCCCTCACTCACCTTTTAGGTGTTCAACGTCGCACCGAAGCAAACACAAAAGTCTCATTGATGCGAATGATCCAGGTCGTGGCGCTTTCAATGTCTCCTGCACTTCTTCCAAAGCACCGAAGCAGATCATGCAGGAAGCAGCCCTACTTTTTTTGCAGTCGGCAGAATGTGAAAGTGCCTCTGAAGCTTTTTTTGATGATCGTTCTCCCATTGTCGGTGTAGAATCCTTTCAGCCACAAGGAGATACAAAAGGCGCTGACGATGCAGCGAGTTGCCTTTAAGCAGGCCAGGCAGTCACTTGGCCGTGCATCCAGAAAGCTTCGTCTCAGCTCTGCCATGGCGACATGCCAGGCGAATACTTTTCTCGTGCGTTGCCAAAAGCAAAGCCTGTTTCCCAGTCTGATACGTTCATCTGTGCACTTGTGGCTGCCAGCGAATGCTGCTGGTCGCAGGCCCCTTGCAAGCCCGCGGCCACCAATGGGTTCAAAAGAAAAAAGGAGTTGGCTTGCAGCACTGTTGTCTTCTCATTGCCCAGGTTTACGCTTTGAGATGGAGATTTCCCACTTGGACCACCTGGAATCGCCTCCGGCTTGGTTGTGTGCTAGAACCGTCTGCAGATTTCAGCAGCATATCTGGCGCTGCAAGGTGTTGCAGTGGTGTCGCGATAGGTTGAGACTTGCTGCATCTTCCATCGCCTGCCCAGACCAAGGATTTATGTTGTTCGTTTCAGACGCGCAGCCGGTGAGCCGGGTGCACAGCTGCAGGTCTGCTTCCGCGACTTGTGTAGAAGGCTGCATAAAGGCTTGTCCTGTACCTGACCTGGACCGAGGCTTGCGTCGTACAAGAAACTTTGCTCCCGTGTGCTTGCTGAAATGAAGATCTGACGATCTGATTCTGCAAGGTGCACCGTAGTGCACCATGCAAAGATGGTGCGCAGGAATCGTTGTCCCGTCCTGCGGCATTCCCCGTCAAATGCTCCCCATGTAAGCTTATTTTGAACGGCACCTGAAGAAGTGCTCCATGAAAATGCTCCGTCTCCCTAAATCACGGGGTCCCTACCATCATCGCACGGCCTCTAAAATTTAGGGTGCCACCAAGGCGGGACTACCAATTTAGGGGAGTTTTCTGGGGCGAGCACCGGGGTCGGGAGAGCGCTTAAATGCGTTTAATTCGACAAAAGCCTTTCCAAAGCCTTTCCTCCCGAGAAAGCAACTTCTCAAAAGTTGCATGTCGAGGTGGATTTTTCACCCTTGTAGCCATCGTAGCATGATAGCCAACATTTCCGGAAAGCTTCCGAGAAGAGTTTAGTGAGCCTTCGGCCCCCTGCTCACAGCGGCACGTGGACTCTGCAGACGGATCAGAGTCCATGCCTTCTCTGCGCTGAAAAGAGCTCGGCCGTAGAATATTCAACAAGGCCGAGCACAGGTCAAGGGATGCATGCCTCATTGCAGGTCTTTGGTTTCCTGCACCCGTCACTCGCAATCAGAGTGGAATTCTCACCGGAGAGGCGTTCTGTCATGAACGTCGAACGCTAATGCTATGCGCTTGCACTGTGCCAATACCGACACGGCCGAAAGTCAGGCATCAAGATCAGCACAGAGTAGATTGTCCTGGGGCAGTGCAACCGTTGCCACACGGCTGCTTAAATTTGGCAGCCGAGGGGCGTTAATCCTGCACAGTGCTGCAGGACAAGATGCGCGCGGTTCGACGGCAGGTCAGTCAGCTCGCAATAAAAATCCTAAGACCGGACTTTAGGCATCCGTCGCCTCGACTCCTCGACCCTCGCTCCAAAGTGGACACAGCGAACCTTGTGTCATTTGAGTCAGAAGCTCAGTCGACGCGGTGAACCAGAGGCATCAGTCACATGCGCTACCCGGCATTGTCCATTCTCAAAGCTGCGCCAAGAAGTGAGCCCTTGCGTAAGGCGCCGGCTCAAAGGATATTCTAGGACCGCTTTTGGAATTCTTGGGAGTGCTGGCCGGACGCCTTCATAAGCAGTATGTCTTTGATGTTTCTATGACGCTTCAAACCTCAAGTTTGCAAGGGTTCTACATTTCTCGTTGCTTGCAACTTGACTTGTGATGCTCGTGCCATCCTGCATGCGCCTGATGCGTATGGGCAATGCAGCAGAGTCCCAATGGCATCCACTTCACACAGCAGGAACTCGAGTACTACCAGCAGCTGTATTCCATCGCGAACCCTGCAGGAACGCAGACCATTGACAGTATATCTGGTGGACAGTTTCTTGTCCGGAGCGACCTTCCGCGCGAAAGTTTGCATGAAATTTGGAAGATCGCTTCTTCTAACGCTGCACAGGGATACTTGAACTTGGAGGGCTTCTTTGTGGCTTGCCGACTTGTGGCTTGGGCACAAACAGGCATCCAGCCAGACCCACAATGTGTATATCAAGAACCACCAGTTCTCCCTGATTTTCCAGGGCTACAGAGACGAAGCCCGTCCGAATCTGGGCAGGGCTCTAGGCCTCAGAGTGTCGGGGGCAGCGAGCAATCCGAACTGCAACCTGTCATTGGTGGAGGTCGAAGAATGCGTCAGGAGAACGGAGGCGCCACACGAAGAGCGCGTTCTTCGTCCCCTCGGACTTTCACAGCTGACAGGTGGGCGCCCTCACGCAGAGAAAAGCGGAAGTATGCTTCCCTTTTCAAGAGGACAGATTGGGACCAAGATGGTTTCGTGCAAGGAAACGAGGCCAGCGAGCTTCTGGAACGATCCGGGCTGGAAAGGCAGTCTTTGGGAAGAGCCTGGGAACTGGCGGACCAAGATTGCGATGGAAAGTTAGACTTTGCAGAGTTTGTGTGCCTCGTTCATCTCGTCACATGCGCGCTGCGCGGACAAAGAATTCCAGGCCCCGGCGAGGGGCTCCCGCATCAGCTGGCGCAGTCTCTTGCGAGCCTCGAGCCGCTGGAGATGCTGGCGGCCGAGCGCGAAGCCAGCCGGAGTCGAAGTGCATCCCCTCATCCATCTGTCACAGCCACACCAACTGAAAAGACTGGTCGGAGAGCTAGGTCATCGTCTCCTCGCTCCTTTACTGCTGACAGGTGCTGATCGGACTTCTCATAATTTTAACACTACGCGACCCGCCTCGGCCCGGCCCAGCGCATCCGCGTGAGCATGGTGATTCCGCAGCGCCCAAGTCGCTGGATTTCAAGCAATAAGGGTTGGGTTTAGGGTTTCGGGTTTATGGTTTGGGGTTTAGGGTTGAGGTTTAGTTTAGGATTAGGGTTGAGCCAGGCCCTTCAGGGGGGGGTAGGGGGGGTGGGGGGGGGAAGGGGGAAGGGGGGAAAGGGGGGGGGCAGGGAGGGTGGGGGGCAGACAAGGGGGGGTTTTGTTGAAGGTTTGAGGGTTGAGTGCTTCGGGCTTAAGGTTTAAGGTTTAAGGTTTAGGGTTTAGGTTCAAGCTTAGACTCTTCGGCTCGTGTAATGCATCCCGGCCGCTCACCAATATTTTCTGTGGCTTTGGTGGGGGGTGGGGGAGGGGGGGGGCAGTGGGGGGGTAGGGGGGGGGGCATGGGGGGGGGGGGGGGTGTAGGGGGGGGGGGTAATGGGGGGGGGGGGGGGTAGGGGGGGGGTAGGGTGGGTGGGCAGTTGGGAAGGGGCCGCTTGCGGACCCAAAAAGGTGCCCATTTGAGGCAAAAAAAAGGGGTCCGAAAAATGGTTTTGGGTGTGGGGGGAGGATTTGGAGGGGGGTGCCTGTTCTGACAACCTATACACCTCCGGCCCGAGGCCTCGGCGGATTGTATGTTTTCATGTACGTTTATCATTATGGTTCTTTGATGTTCCATAAAGATCTTGACACCCATCCTCTCAAGGATAACCTTGAGCTTCACACATGTCCTTACCCTTCCGTAGTATACATGAACCGCGGAGTGAGCAGACGGCTAAAGCAATGTTTAGACACAGGGCAATTGATAATGGCTTAAAGAGGGATACCGACGGGCTGGAATTAGAGCAGGCGATAGCTTGTGTGCTGGAACTGCAACAAAGAACGTTCAAAAGCACCTACCCAACCCTTCAGGTGGGCGCCCTCACGCAGAGAAAAGAGGAAGTATGCTTCCCTTTTCAAGAGGACAGATGGGGACCAAGACGGTTTCGTGCAAGGAAACGAGGCCAGCGAGCTTCTGGAACGATCCGGGCTGGAAAGGCAGTCTTTAGGAAGAGCCTGGGAACTGGCGGACCAAGATTGCGATGGAAAGTTAGACTTTGCAGAGTTTGTGTGCCTCGTTCATCTCGTCACATGCGCGCTGCGTGGACAAAGAATTCCAGGCCCCGGCGAGGGGCTCCCGCATCAGCTGGCGCAGTCTCTTGCGAGCCTCGAGCCGCTGGAGATGCTGGCGGCCGAGCGCGAAGCCAGCCGGAGTCGAAGCAGAAGCGCATCAACGCACCCGTCTGTAGCACCTGCAGAGGCTTTCGTCGAAGACCGGGGCAACACCTTTGGTGCTGAGGCATTCCCGAGTGCCGAAACGGACGCTGTCACTTGGCAAGGCGGAGGTTTCGAAGAAGGCGGGTTTGCACCAGGCTTTGACAGCGGAGGAGGCTTTCCGTCTGATGGCTTTCCAGCCTCTGCTGAGTTTGGATTTCCAGCATTTCCGGACTCGGTGCCTGATCAGGGTCAGGCTTTCGAGAATGCAACGTCCAGTAACTGGCCCCAGGAGCTTCCGGCATTCGAAGCAGCTGCCAGTTCCTTTGACGATGCCAAGGCCTTCAGTCCGGGAAAGGATCCTTTCGCAACAAATCACCTTGGCCTTGGCGTAAACTGTGCAGAACAACTGCACTCGGTTGCCAAGTTCGATGGGAAGCTGGCAAAGAAGTTGCGAGATGAAGTTGATCAGCTTGATAGCGAGCTCCGGCGCTTGCAAGACATGGGCGTGAAACTCGAGCAGCAAGTTGCTCTCGAATCCAGGGAGTGTGAGCAACTCCTCGCCCAAAAGCAGACCCTTGAGAGAGAACTTGTTGAAGACAAGCAGAAACTCCAGCAGCTGCAAGATGCACGCAGCAGCGCCAACCTTGAGAGCCTTGCCTTGCGTCGCGACCGCAATCATTTGAGCCATGAGTTGGTCTTTCTGAGACAGGTTGCCGAGAATGATGAGGAGATGCTGCTCATGCTCAGAGAGTCCAATCAATACTTGGAAGCTTCTTACCGCAGCCTCGAATCCAATTCAGAGATGCTCAAGGAGGTTCGAAAAGAGGTTCAAGTGGAAATTGCCAAGGAGAGGGAGCAGCTCCAGCTGGATCAGCGCCAATATGCTGAACTACAGGAGATGCTTCAGCAGCTGACTCACCCTGGCCAAACCTCAGGCCTAAGCGGGGGTAGCCCGGGAAAATCCCTGGCAGCCACGCTAACAGATCGTATCAAGCTGCCGGCAACTACACTCCCTGTGCAGACGTCCTTCCCGCATCGAGAAGGAGTTTAGGGTGGTAGTTCGATCATGTTTGCTTTGCTAATCCATTGATTTGCTAATGCGCTTTGTGCAGACCCGTTGCTCTGCCAGAAGCTCTACTTTGCCTGGCAGCAGGTAAATGGGCCTCATAGTCTGAGCTGCGGATGAAAGGACAAAAACTGACCATGTGCGCCGAGTTGCAATGCATGGCATAGGTCTTCATGTTGGCACCATGTTTCGGAAATCGGGGAACGCTACCTTGTCAGTCGTGCTCCCTTGAACTTATCATGGCTCAGATGCTGTGGCTGCAATGCCAGTTTGCATCAGCAAAAGCACTTGCCACGAGATGCTACATGTTGGCGCACACGCACTACGTAGTCCTGTGCAAGAAAGAGCGTCCAAGTCTAAGTAAGGAAGGCATGCAGGCTCGAGTCTACGAACAGGAGCCTGACAACTTTGGCGACATACGACCGCAATGCTGGTGAATTGTGGCAAAGCCTGTGCTGGACGCACGGTGTGGTGGTCAGCATTGCTGAGATATGGTCAGTAAAATGGGTCTGCAGCCCAGATGATGGGGGGTTTGCAACATATTGATTACGATGGCGGTAAAGCTCGGGCCTTCGTTCATAGTCTGCCGCCAATGCAGAAGGAGTACGTTTCTGTGCTTTTCTTTTCAGACAGGTGGATTTTTGCGATGGAGTCGCATGCAGTATACACTGTACACACAAGGAGGGCAGAAAGGGCAGCAATCAATTTGGCGAACTTTCAACTTCCAGAAACCGGCTTTGCAACCACTGCAAATAGGTCATTTAGCAATTCTACAGGAGATCCTGTCGGAATACCGGCCAAGAGATCGCACATCAAGTTTGTAGCTTTCAGTGTTCTGTTGTCAGCCGATGGTAGTCGGAACATCAACCCAGAATCTGCGTCCGCTGCTTACCAGCAGACGTGTGGCTTTATGCTTCCGAGGCTTCGCACACAACCCAGTGTCGGTTCAAGCAGTTGGCTGGGCAGAAGACCAAGGTGCGCAGGGAGAATGGGGAAAGGGCTTGTTTGGGGATGTTTGGGGTTTAGGGTTTAGGCAACGGCGCTCGCCAACATGAGGGCTGCTTGTCTGCGACTCCTCCGAGGACGGCGGGCGGAGATGGAGGATGGATTCGTGTTTGTGGATCAGGTGAGCACTCTTCAGTAACTTCGCCCTTCTCATTCTTGGCGGCCGCCAATTGACTCGTCTTTTGACTCCGAGTTTGGCGGCCGGGAGCGCAGCGCCTTCTTTGCTGTGTACGACGGCCACGGTGGGCGTCAGGTGGCTGAGCCCTTACAGAACAAAGTAGGTACAGGTAGCTAATGTTAATGACCTCCAGATCATGCCTCGATGCCCTCTTGCCGCGTGTAGTCAGAGTTGTTCAGGTCGACTTTGTCACCAGAGAATTGCATGAGAATCTTCTGCGGGACATCGCGGGCGTAGTTGCAGTTGCTGATGAGCAGCAATGTAGGAAAGACATTGTTCAGGAGCTCCGCAAAACAGATTCTCCAGCTGACGCGCTGCTGCAGGCCACATCAGTGCCCATGGAACGAGAAGCGTCCAACCATGATCTCACCAGGCTTTTCGACTCACCGACGAAGACATGCTCCGCAGGAGCCGTTTAATTAGCTACCTTGAACAACTTGTGCTTGCTTCTGTGCATCAAGCATGTTGTGCTTGATCTTGGTAGATCTGGGTGAGGAGCATCACCTCTTCCGGTTGTACTGCATGCTGCTGTCTTCTGCAGGCCCTGTGACAAAGAGCACAGTATCAAAGAGGCGGCGTGTGTAACTGAAAGGCTGTCAGACCTTTGTCGCCAGGAAGAAATGCAAGGGCGCGTGATCTACACTGCGCACTTGGGGGATAGGCCTGGCAGGGCCTGCCAGGGTCTTGGATCCACTCAAGCGGACTCGCCACATGATGCCTACAAGCCCAAAATAGCTGCTGGAAAGAATCCAAACATATCTAAAGTAGCCACTGAGAAGTATTAGCAGGCTGGCTAGCAGCCACGCTGTAGCAGTTCCCTGATCCCCAAGACGACCTTTACCTCAAACCCGGTGCCTGTGGAGGAATGGCTTTCAGTAGGTCAAGCATCGACTTGAGCACAGGCTTGACAAACTACAGCAGGCCCTCGGCACAAGCAAAAAAAAGGTGCAACAGTCCCTTCTTGGGCGCGTGCCACCATAGCTACCTGGCAGTCGCGCCGTGCTGGCGCGCAGCGGAACGGCGACACGGATGACCTCCATGACCGACCACAAGGCCAACCTTCCACATGACACCGTTGTCCCTACTGAAGTGGCACAGACCCTGAAAGAAGGTTGGAGCTCATTGTTTTTGACGCAGGCCACCGACCTGCTGGAAGCCAAGCGGGTCATTGAAGCAGGCTGGGTCTCTTTTCCTTTGAGAGGTATTGTGGAAGTACAATGGAAGTAGTGGTGGTGTTTGGTACATGCCTCAGAGTTTGCTCGAATTCGTTGAGTTTTGAAATGCTTGGAGCAAAAGGTAGGGATAACTTTGACTGTGGTCATAAGTCAGTACAGTGTTTTGTTCACGATGATACAAACAATACAAGGCAATACAAGGCAATCAGTGCACGGTTTCCAGAGCCATCTCTTGTCAACATTTTCCTAATACGCTTGAACTTGAAGCTATTTGCTTTTGGCCGCGCTGTCTCAGGTTTTAAAGAAGCCCCGATTTGAGCGGTGCTATTGCTGAAGTTGTTGGAAACACTCTCTTCAGATGACAGGCCAGATGCGAGCGTGCAAACCCCTTTCAATTGTTCTTCGGCTTGGTCGGCCCATGTCGGTCCGAGTGATGAAGTGGGTCCCACTTGTCGGGCCAGCTGCAGGCTTAATATCCTTGTCGTTAGCTTCGGCAAGCTCAACTGTATGCAATGTCGTTGCACATCAAGATCGAATAGCTCAGAGTTGAATGGCGCGGGGTAGTGAGAGGTAATGCGAAGGCTGGTAGTATCGACTGACTGAATTGATTCCAACATCGCCGCAGCGCGGCATTGTCCCTCAAGTCGGGCCAACAAAGCTTCGACTCTGACAAGGATCGTTGCTGATGAGCTTCCAGTCGGGTGTTTTGCATGGGCTCTAAGTTTCTTAGCATGGGCGTGGGGTCCAAAGGTGGTCGTGGCACGCCGCTAGCAACTGTATCTTTCGGTCGCCCTCGCCCAGCTCGTCCGTTCAATGTTCAATGATGTTCAATGGGTTTCCGGAGACGTCCAAAACTACCGTCTCGGTTCTTGCTGCCGGCAGTCTGGCGGCTTCAATAGCATGATAGCTGGCTTCATGCTGTGGCCTGGGTTCCTTTTATTCTGAGCATGAGTTGGGGACTGTGTTTGATGTAATGGTTCTGGATCTAGATATTTCACTTCAGCGTGGAATTGCATACAAAGCCTTGCGCGCTTCACAAGGCGGGCATATCATCAATGACCGTGTCAACGGAATGCACCTTGCCTGGAAGTGGAAATGTTGTGCTGGACTTTCTTGCCGCAGACCGCTACTTCACGGAGTCATTTCTGTTTGCTGGGATTAGGCGCAGTGCACAGCTTACACCAGCCTATTGCCATATACGTCTATGTGCCAAGAAGACCTCGAATCTTAGACATCCTCTTACGTCCCATTGAGCTGTCCCTGTCTCCCCCTTCAAATCCGAGGTTGGCCATGACACGTGCGCTGGGTGACCACGTGCTCAAGATGCCGGCTGCACCCTCAGGGCCAATCTGGTCGGGGCATGGTCAGCCGTCAGCCTTCCACTCGCACTGGGGTGTTCGAAACACATGTGCTGAGATGCTTCCGAACGATGTGGTGAGCAATGTGCCGGACATCACATCCACGGACCTGACGAAGCAGGATATGGGAGTTGTGGCTTCGGATCATTCGCATCATATCTAGACGTGGTAAAATCCTTGTGACACTGCGGCTTCTGCCTGATTTCATGCGCTGAACCACGTACCCGCCGTCTTGGCTCAGATGACCACAAAGAAATAGCGGACAGAGTAGTGATTGAAGTCAAGTTTTAGGACCAGGATGAATGTGGGTGCAGCCCAGAAATGACTGGGTAATGAACTCTGATTCAGAGAGAAGGCTTCTAATCACAAAACGCAGCTATGCGAAAGAGCAGTCCTCCCCTGCTTTAGCAGGCGCTGATGGGCTTCCGGCAAGACCTCTTAAGCTCTGAGTTTGGGCTTACCTGGTTTTGACATGTGTCGGAAGTTTCCGAGTAGTTGCAGACTGCCAGTTTGGGTGTCAAAATCAGACACTGCAAGGCATGGGGAGTCGACAGGTCCAGAGTTTTTGCACCTTCTTATACGAGGAAGGGATACGAAGCGTATAGTACAAGAAGTAATAAGACAACAAAGACAGCTGAGTGCCACTGATACTCCTTCTGAAGAGGTTCCATATCTGGCATGTGGCGTTTGTGCACTTCGTTGCTGCTCAGCACCTCGATTGCAACTTTTTCATAGTTCAGGATTCTTATGTACCAAGCACTTGCGCCTAGGCTGGCCTGCAGCTGTGGCTTCGTGGCCAGTATCCAGACCCGGAACAGCCAAGGCTCGGTAGAGGCCGTAATGAAGCCACGGTGCAGAGCGCTGTGGTGCAGGTGCGCAGGCAGATCGAGACCGAACCACCAACAGTACCTTTGGTCCGCAAAGCACCGACACTGGATCCTGGCCCGAGTCTGAGCTTGTCGGCCTTCACAGTGGCTTGCTGTCTCCGCACGCCTGACCACGAGGTTCACCGACTCTTCTCAGCACACACACCATTGAAGTTGAATCCAATGGCCACCAGCCAGCACTTCTCCAGTGCAGTCGCACAACGTGCTGATGCCTGCTGGTTTCTTCGGATCAGTCTGCTTTTGCCGAGGAGATTTGAATTTGCATGCAGCGGAGCCTGGCTTAATTCAGCAGGCCACGCAGAGATTTGCCGCTAACTGCCAGTGACTGGTCTTCAAAGCCAGTCGTTGACAGGCGCATCAAGCCGCACCAGCGAAGCTGCTTGCCTGCCTTTGTGATGTACACCATCCATGTTTTAACAGCCCTATGCGTTTGGCCTGCAGCTCGGTGCGTGGCAAGGAGCACGCCCGTGGGACCTGTCGGACCCAAAGGAGATTCGGGAGATCGCGGCGACGCAGGAGTGGCAGGGAAACAAGGCCGCCCCCTCAATCGGCCATTCGGCCCCCTTTTTTGCACTTGTACTTCTTGTCGCACGTCGTCGCCAGATCCTGCCCTTTTTGTTTCAGTCTCAGGGCCGGCGGGACCAAAAGGAGACAGAGGCGAAACACTGATCTTTGTTTACCGTTTGGCTGCACGCGAACAATCTCTCAATTTCTTTGAAGAGTTCTCAATATCCGACCAGGGGACCAAGGAGAAGCTGGTGATGCAGGCGCACAGCGTGATGTAGGCTCTTAGACGAAAGTCCTGCACAATCTGTCAGGACCAGCAGGTGATGCACCCGAAGCCCCAACGGCACCGCCAGGACATGTCAGGGTGCTCCGTAACTCGCCTCAACGCCTCGCAGCTCGTCATCAGCCAAACCGTGACGAGCGTCATTGGAATCCTTTTTGTGTGTCCGCTGCAACATCCCTCGACCATGAGGGCTGGGAGAGCCACGTGTACCTTCCATCACCAGACCAGTAGACCTGTAACATTGTTCAATGTGAAGTCGAATCGAACCAGCAATCATGGGCTTTGTCTGCGTGTGCAGAGTGGGATACCTCTTCGTACATACCTCCATGTGCCTCACCCTAAACCCTAAACTCCCGTTCAATGTCAGTGCACCTGTAGGATCAGCAGATCTCAACATGATCGGGGCGGCGATAGCCATCCACATCACAGTTCTCATCATCCTGTATGTGCAGGTGGACTGTTCTGCGGCTTGTGCAAAATAGGTGTCACCGGGTGACTGGCGGTGCATGTTAGCTAACAGATGCCACCATCGCGGAGACTCGACAGAGACGCCTGTGTCCTCAATCGCAAGTGAAATGAAGGTGAATTCTCACATCCAAGACAAAAAGGATTCCAAGGCTCGGGGCCCTTCAACATCGCAAGCTTCGGTTTTATATCTCTGCATCCAGGGTGGGACTGAAGAAGAGGAAGCCACGATGGACGTCATTGAGGACTGGGTACATCCCCCGGCATCTGCCTCTCCCAATCTCTCCCAGTTGCCTTCCGAAGGAGGAGGGCCAGGCTGAAGAGGCGGAACTGGGTGCAACTGGACATACTTGCATCGTAAGCGAGAGCGAGGGAGAGAGAGACTTCTTTGAGTTCTTTTGAGCGCTGTTGCAGAGGCACTGGAAGCCGAGGGCCAGCAATAGATGAGCCGAAACAGCCTTCGCTTCAATGAGGATCCAATGGATCCCTTAGACCTCCAGTATAGTCATCCATAAGTTGCAGGTTTGCTTTTTGGACTCCCTGCTGAGCAGATGCTGGTGCTCCATTGGCGACTGCAATGTGCATGCATGAAAAATGCACCTTGAATGTGGCGCACGTTGCGCATGTCGCTGGCCTAGGCCCATGCTAGAAGCATTGGCGAAAGCACTCTCTGTGACTTGCTAGCCGGAATTGATTCAACTGCGGCCTTGTACTTGTTGGAACTGAGCATGCTCTCGCTTGTGCTGACGAGGCGCAATCCCAAACATGTCAGCCTATTGACGGATGTTGGCAGCCATCCATCTTGGCTAGTGGGCCGACGCCGTTTACATAGCAAGGCATGGTGCGGCAAAAAGCACATCTCACGGCTTCGAACACGTTGTTGCCGCGAAGAAACGAATCTACACATTCTGAAGCGTTAGGCCAGCTTAGCTTGAGTAGGGCCCTCCCCATACAAATGGGTGGTCCTCTGTGAACCACCACCCTTCTGCCCTCCCCAATAAGAGGAAGGAAAAGCCTTTGCCTGGCTCTTTCATGCCTTTCTGGGTCTGAATCCGAGGGTGCTCCGGATGTAACTTCACAAGAACCTGGAACACTTCACATTACAGTGGGCAGGTTATCAAACGACAATATTCTCAGAGCTGCAGGATTCTTTCATCATCCTCGCTTGCGACGGGATCTGGGATGTGATGAATGACCAGCAGGCCACCAGCCTAGCAGAGCAGAATCAAGAAACAGTCGAAGATTTCGATCTTGAAATGTCTAAGGCCGTGCAACTGGTGGTTGAATGCATGAAAGAGCTGACCCCCGTTGCTCGACAGCTGGACTGCTTGCGTTGTGTAGTGCCATGAGAGGCCCTGAAGTTTGGCTGTGCAGTGAACTTGTGGCCAGGAGTCAGAGGGGCGATCATTGGCAGAGATTTTGGCACGCATGCTGGTTCACGACCAAGTTGGAACCTGGCAGCTTCTAAAAATCAAGACAGGAAAGTGGACCAGAACAGTGATGTCCGTGGGGTGCGTAAAATTTGGGGGCGAAGATGCGCATCTCCGCGCGAAGACGCCGGATTCTTGAAGATGTGTTCGACTTTTCGTGGCTTTTCAACTGTGACTTTTCGCAGGTTTCCAACCTCTAGTCGCATGAAACTTTTCTCCAAATCAACCTTCTGAGTTTCCGGTTTCACTGGGCATTCTTCGCCCGGCAACAACCTTTCGTAAGCACAGCAAGAAGACAAACTTTGTATTGCTGTGCTAGGTACTACTTAACAAAGACCCTTGGGTGGGCACCCTTTGACCCACCGCCCTACCAGATCTACCTTGCCCAGAACGCTTGACTTTTAACAAGAGCTTAAGGCGGCAGTTGGCTGTGAAGAGGGGCACGAAGCACTAAAGACAAAAGATACTGTAGTATGCTCGTATCCCAGCGCCTGCGACCTATGCCTGAAACACAGCTTCGCGTCGAAAATGCACCGAACGCCTCCAGTGCCAGTGCCGGTGTTGGATGCGGTGTCAAGCCTTTGAGGGAGGGGAGTGTCATAACGTGACCAAATTCTGCTGTGATGCAGAGCGCATTCGTCACCATGAAATTTGAAACCAGGTCGAGGAAGCCTTGGCGCGTGGGTCGAATGACAACATCAGCTGCCTTGTTATTTTCCTGTGACCACACGGTCGCAGACTAGGAAGAGCAGGTGCAAAGTTCACCGAAAGCCATGGCCGTGCTGAACAGGCATAGTCTGGACTCGAGCCCATGCAACGGTTCAACAAGAAGTTGCTTTGTTCACTCAGCTTGCGAGGTCATGCTCTTCACGCATGTATATACATACCTACACTGTATAGGAAAATGTGTGTGTATATGTATAATATATATACACACACACACACACGTGTGTATGATTACGATTCGCGGTTCGCCGGTCCCCTCCTCGGAGGATTTGGTTGGAGTGTGCGGGTTTGGGGTTGAGAGTTTGGGTGGGTGGGGAGGACCCGGGTGTCGTACTTGCTCTAAAATGTCCAAGTGCCCAAGGGCTACAGCATCCGACAGATGCCCTGTACGGTGCAGATTCAACGTGTTTTTTGTCAGACAGCCTGCGCAAGCCCGTTGCTTGGTCAATGTTCGGCCAAATCACATTCACTTCTCCTCAACGGAAGCACGGCCGAGAGCACCGGAGTCGTGACTCGTGCCGCGCGCGACGATGCAGGACTTTGTAGCAGGAAGTAATCGCTTTGTCTGGTGGCTCCTCCCAGGACAAGCTGCGCGAGTGGGTGGGTGGGTGGGCAGGCGGGCGGGCGGGTGTGTGTGTGTGTGCCTGCGTGCATGGCCTGCCGAGCCCTCAATCAGCTTTGCAGGGGTTTCAACTCTCCATTCGATCTTGAGCGTTCGGAGGGTCATGCCACACGCTCTGCAGGTGTTGGAGGCTGTTCAGCTCAAAGTGTAGCTCATAGCTTGTTGCCATGGCTTCCCTACAGGCGCTGTCACTGGCAGCCAGTTGTGGACAAGGGTTCTCAGTCATGTGATGCAGGTGTGCCTTCGCAATAGCATTCAGCGACGCGCCTTCAGCACCTTCAGAACAACTGAGGTGGCCATGATAGCTTGCTCTCGATGTGTGCATTGCTTCGCATTGCTTGATGCGCCCAGTTGCTGATTCTGCAGGCTGCCCTGGATCTTGTGCGGCAGACAGCTCCTCAGAAGACCCACGTTGTGAGCTGACAGGCAGCTTAGTGCTTGGGAATCTGCGGCGTTCTGCGACACTTCACTTGCACCATGAATCGCTTTTGGTGTTCCAGCACCTCGACTCTAAAACCTTACTACGCCATTGCGATGGGATTCTTTAAGCAGATCCGGCTGTCAAGCGTCAACGTGTTGTTGTGTTCTGGTCCACGGTCCCCAGTCGGAGTCACTCGCTTTCGCTGTTGATCCTTGTGGATGCGGTACTCCCGTACGCCATGCACCAGTCCATGCGCCCAAAGCCCACTTGAGCCGTTGAGGTTCTGGGCAGTTAGTCAGCTGTGTTCCCCCTTTTGCAACATCTGGTACTGGGGGAGCTTGTGGACTAGTGTCTGGCAGCATGAATGGATTCTGCCTTGTCTTTGTTCTTGGCTTTTGAATGATCGGTCATCTTCGATGCTCATGATTGCTCATCATAATCCAATACCTCTCATCTTTGCTCATTACATTACCACAATTATTCAATATGTACGGGTCACAAGCTGCGTCTTTGAGGTCAAAGCCGTGGCCACCATGGCTGCGAGCTGTCTTGCTCTCAAAACCGCTAGCAGCCTGAAAAGAACACTCAAGATTCAAGATGTACCAACATTGAGGAGATGCGCAGCAACTGGGCTGGGGAGACTGGAGCGGCTTGGGCCCCAGACCTTCGCAGGCGTACGCTTCTCAGAATCAACATCTTTGATGCAGGTGGCAATTTACCGTGGTTGTCAAGCCGCTCTACCGCATGTTTCGTGCCTGGTTCCTGGCAAGCCATGTGCAATGCTGTAAGCGCTGGCGCACGTCGCTCGGTGCAGCGCCACACACGTCATGAGTTCCAGAGTCCCGAGGAACGTCGCAGGAAAGTTCCTAAAAAACGGGGCCGGACGGGGGCAGGAAGGTGTTCGGCGTCTTTCTGTGGGAGGGGCCCATAGGATGGACCTCCCGCAGCATCGCGTTGTGCCGCCTCCAAGCGGTTCGGGCAGGCCCCACAGGGGGGGGGGGGGGGGGGGGGGTGGGGGAGTGGACCACGAATTTCAGGCTGGAGACCACCGTGGCGACGGCACATCGTGTCATTCACAGGATGATCCAAGAGGCCCTAAGATTCGATTCCTTGGACATCAACAGCTCGTTTTTTACGAAAGGCCCGACCCCCGGAACCCGCCGGCGATAACGGGACCACTTCTTGAATCTGATCAGAAGGCCATGCTGTTGACACACTGTTCTTCACTGCTTGGGAATCTATAACGGTTCTCAGCCATGCTGCTTCGCTTCGAGCCTGCCGCCCTCGAAGACGAAAATTCTGGAACTTGAATACTACATTAGTAAGGCGAGTCCACACGCGAGACCTTGCGCAAGTTCGTGGAGGAGCATGCGGCCGGCTACTTATGCAGTGCTGGCGATGCCTCCCAATCTAGAGCTCCGCCGTTTCACCCCTTCTTTTGCCCTGACTGATCCAACAAGGCCTCCGAGGAAGCTCATCTTGCTGCCATGGACGCGGTTGTCTGTCACTCCAGTCAGAAGCTCTGAGGGTTAGAGTCGGTTCGGCTGAAGGCTACTGGAGGCATGGATGCTGACAGATACTGAGGGCTTAGAGCCCTTCCCAGGGTCTCCACTCCAGCCATACCTCCTGCTTTGCCAGACTTCGTGCCATGTTTTTTGGATGTGCCGCCCGCGCCACTGTACTCCATCTCTGTATTTCAGTTCCTTCTCTTGCAAGATGTCTAGACTCTTCCATCTTGATCCCAATCTAGGAGGATAGTTTGACAGGTTTGGGGTGTTGTTGTAAGGGTAGGATGTTTAGGGCTTAGGGCTTAGGGTGCTCTGTATGGTTGAGAGTAGAATACAGTTTTGACGCTGTGTCGCCGCAAGGGATGCCCTGTTGGGGTTGGGGGACTTCCGCAAGGGGTTGGGATTGGGGCGTCGGGAGGAGTTGAATGATTCAATGAGCCTGGGAATGAGCCAAATCGTTCACTCATGGCCTGTTCCTCCAGTGTTCCTCCAGGCCAGAGCCCTTAGCGACCCACACAAGCACACTGAGTGTACACTGCATTTTGTCCTGATCCCAGAGCATGAAGCCAATGCATGATGCCACCTCACAGCACGGAGGCCATCTTAGCAAAAAGGTGGATGCTGAAATGGGGAGCATGATAGGTCTAGATAACTCTGCTTGCGTACTGAGAGCGTGATGAGTGTAGCTCTGCAAGGTGAGCAAAGCTGGATGCCCGCCATGTCCTTTGGATTCAGCCTCGGGTACATGTCCACAGCCGAGCTCGCCTCAGCGTTTCCAGAACCAAGACTTGATCGACGACGCGAGTAGAGAGTAAACATGCGTGAAGTGCTTCGTCTCCACATGTAGCAATCGAAGTACAGGCCAGAGGAGCGCGTGGCATGTATGCCTCGGGCTCAGTTGAAGAACTCTCATCGAGCAAGAGATGGCTAGGGCAGGTGCGGTAACACCAGAACGGCCTGCAAGACGGTGCTCAAACTTCAGAATCATCTGATGAGTCTGACCTGGTCCAGGTCACAACTCAAGCAGTCGAGTCCTTTGTTGAAGAACATTACGGTGTTGGCATCTCAAAGTCTGGGAACAATCGCAGTTGGCGACCCTGTGCAGATGTTACTTCAGTTTGAGGAGCAGATTGCCCGCCTGCAAGACGAGCTTTCAAAAGGAGAGCACGAACCGCAGAAGGAACCGAGGGAGGCCGCTGGCAAAGTTGCGGCACAGAACCATCTCGTAGCACAGGCATATGAAGCCTTGCTCAGTCTTCTGCGAGATGCATGCCGGTATCTCAGCTGTGTATACACATCATACACTGGACTGACACTTCTTGCCATGGCGATCAGACGAGGTGCAGATGAGGTCCATCACAAAGAGGCGTTCAAGCTCAATGCACATTCCATTGCCACACCTTTCCTGCTTGAAGTCTTCGCATCTGACTTCTTGGAGGATGCAGCTTCGAGACTTCAAGATGTACAGAGCAGCTCGTGACTGAGATCATCGAGATGCGTACATCTTTAGTAGTTAGACTGCCGGGTACCATGCTGCGAATGGACTCAAAGGGCTTAGGGTTTAGGGAGTTTAGGGCTTACGTTCCCATCAACGTGACAGGTTTTCGAATCAGGCTACTGGATTCAGTTCAATTTTCCGACGGCCTGGCTTGTTTTGTTTGCGTGCGGTTGTGATCATTTTGCGTCACAGTCGCCGCATCTGGTATGGCAGGCCGTGTATTGGGGCTCCCGAGTAGGTGCAGCATTTGCCAAGCGAATCTGATGCAACGACTTGCATGTTTCAGCCCCTTCCACGGCGTTCAGTGAAAAGACATGTCAAACAAGCACACCTGCTGTCGCAAGCCTTGCTTGATGAAAGCGATCCTATTGGCACTCAACCTACATGCAATTTGCAGGCTGCTCTTGTAATCGGACGCGGGTCAAATAGTGGAGATAAGTAGAGTGGCGCTCGGCAGACCTGTGTGGGTACAATTGGAGTGTGGCCCCGCAAAGCAAAGCCAGTCCCAGGCTTGTGTTACAACTTCAAATTCCTGCAGCAGCCACACGCACGACTTCACAGCAGATTTCAGATAAGACCCGTTTGGTAAAGCAAGGATCATGTCATGCACTTGATCCGGCAGGGTGGTCGAAACATTCTTGCGTTCATGGGACGGATCTGGATGACGAGCTGGGAGACTACCGCTATGGAGCAATGGCTGTCCCGCACGTCTTGCGGGTGTGGATGCACTTCTTGGCAATCGTGCGCTTGCACGGGGAAGCTTTGCAGCCGCTGTCAAGAGCCCCCTTCATGGCGTGTGCTGGCACAGAGGTTATCAAAAGGGGGACCTGGGAGCACACTCAAATCTTGGTTGACAAGTGGCCTGACATCGATTTGCCTCATTCCCGTGTGATACGCAAGGTTTTATGGGCCATTACGCACAACAACATGCTCGAGGAACATGCGGAGGATTGCGGGTTTGCGCTGGCTACCGTTCTACTCGTTTCCTTGCGCGCTATTGATTATGATGATGGGCCCGCGGAGGCTCAGAAAATCTTCCACTACTTGACGAGGTCCCTCATCCCAAAGTTAGAGCCGCACTTTGAAGAGGCAGCCGTGGATGAGTGGGCACCCGATCTGACCGACCTCAAAATCTATCCATTCCTGCTGGGACTGGAACCGCAGCATGATTGCCATGGTACCGAGCTGCGGCTCTTCGTGTATAAGCTTCCTCAGCTGACCAGGGGTGTATTGCACTGTCACCACGGCCAGTGGGGTTTGGAGGCCTTGATTCCACATTGGCTTCGACAGGGCTCGTGCTTAACGGAGGATCCTGACAAGGCCCATTTCTTTGTGGTGCCGTGGCATACATGGTGCGACCGTATCATTTACAAGATGAACCAGACACGGCGAGCATCTTGGGCGAATATGGCAATATAGTACAGTGTTGGTGGGGAGCCATGCTGCCATGAATGGGGACTTGCATGCCACTAGTTATATCTGGAAAATGCGATGATGCCTGTCCGTGCCTCACAGCTCAGGAGGTCTCGGCCGTCTACATCGACATGATCAAGCGCAAAGAGGAGGTCTTACCATACTGGACCAAGAATGACGGCTATGACCACGTGTTCTTCGGTCAACATGAGCTTGACAGATCGCAAGTAGCAAGCAGTTTAATCACAGCCAGCCCGCTTGGCAAGGTTCATTTTTTCTGACCAGGGCATGAACTTCTTTCCGGTGACTTGGAGTGCATAGCGAGAGTCGAGTCTCAAAAGCCAGCCGCGTGGTACCAGAGCATGAGACCCATTTGGAAGGAATGGCGGGATTACATCCCTCACTCCGTGTTCATCGTCACCGAAGCGCTGACTCCCAGATGTGGCCCGAGCTGCTTCAATGCATGGAAGGACCGCAAGCTCACTCAGACTCAACTCGTTCTCTCTCCTCTGTTTCTTTTTTGCTAGAAGAGCGCCCGACAGGACTTTGTGATCCCGGGTCACACAGCAGCCTGGCGGCCACGGTACTTGTGAAGTTCTTGCACAAGTGCCACAAAGAACACTCCAGTGTGTGTGTGTCGTCTACCATTCTGCCCAACCTCCGATCAAGGATTACTTCCGCTACAGACGGATGGCGCAATTCAATCTGCCTTCCGAGCAGCGAACTCTGCTGTTCAACTTCCATGGTCTCTGCCTGAGGCTGTGGGCTGTGGCTAGCTTCATGCAGGATTCAGGCAAGATTCATGTGCAGGTTCTGCTCTTTAGCGGCCCTGCATGACTCTAAGGCCGGCATCCGGGCCTCAACGATCTTTACAAGAAGAACTTTGTGCGAGGTAACATCATCAAGGCAACGCCCCAACCTCTCTTATTTCTCGCAGATTCTAGAAGGGGGGCCAGTCCTTCGTCTTGGGCATATTGTAACCGTAACCGGCGAAATGATGTCAGATCCATTTCTTGTGAGTTCGCTCAGCCCCACCCTACCGAAGGTTTTTGATGGGCTGGAAGGCGTGAGCGTTGGTGGATTCACAGACGATTACTTCGAGCGCCACCGACCCAGGGCAAAGTAGGTGGACATGAGTGCTGACTCGCCTCACGCCTGCTGAAGTTGATATTCTTCAGCTTGCAAGTACACAGCTGCTGCCGGCGAACTGCAGATTTAGAAGACTCTCTCAGGTATGGGCACATCACATTTTTGTCTGGTGCCTATGGGAACCTCGCCGGATTCCCAGAAGCAGCTAGGAGTCCCCATAGTATGATCGTATGGATTGTTGTCAGACATACGCTTGCTGCTAGGTCTTGGACGAATCACTTGTATGAGGCTTTCTTTGCAGGTTGTGCTGCCGGCATGTTTATGTTTTCAACAGAGAGTGCTGCAGATGTTCCGACAGATGTTCGTATCCTCCACGCCACATCTAACCTGAGGCATACCTGTGATTCTCAGTGATGGCTTCAAGGTACCCTTTGCTGGGGACTCAATGCAGCTCAGTCACACTGAATTTCAAAGCGAGAGACCCTAAATACAAACTGCAGGAGAGCTTCTTGGACTGGCCCAGCTTCTCTGTCAAGTGGCCAATGACTGACGTCAGCTGCCGTCCGAGTTGTCTCCGTGTTTGTCAGCCATGGCCGGGGATGTGTTTTCCAATTTGTTGCTCAACAAGTTGAAGCTTCCGCTGGCTTGTCACACGTGAGGCATGGACCTGTACAACTTCCTGCTGAACACACCTGTGTGGATGCTGCGCAGGATGAAGGCCGAAGCAAAAGACTCGCGTGCGCCAGCCAAAGCTTCGTCAAACCATACTACAGCAGAACATCGATAAACCCGGCTATGCCCGGTACAACCGACAAAGCCTGTGCTGCCACGCATTGTTGTTTTTGTGTTTCACTTCTTTTGGTCAGTTTTCAGTCAGCAGGCAGGAAGCAGGGAAGGAAGGAAGAAAGGAACATCATGACATGACGAGGAATGGTTAAATCTCCTTCCCAGCTCGGCATGCAGGCCATGGTCATGCAGACAGCGGAGCACCCCAACCCTCCCTGCCCCCTTGGTTTTTTATGCCCGCAAAGCTGATGCTGATGATGCTCCTGTGCCGCCCCTTTGTTTCCCCAAGTGACGCTGATGATGCTCCCGTCCTGGCCTCTTGAGGCCCAGCAAAAAGGATCAGCTGATGCTGATGCTCCTGTGTTGCCCCTTTGTTCCCCCAAGTGACGCTGATGATGCTCCCGTCCTGGCCTCTTGAGGCCCAGCAAAAAGGGTTAGCTGATGCTGATGATGCTCCTGTGCTGCCCCTTTGTTCCCCCAACTGACGCTGATGATGCTCCCGTCCTGGCCTCTTGAGGCCCAGCGAAAGGGCCAGCTGATGCTGATGATGCTCCTGTGCTGCCCCTTTGTTCCCCCAACTGACGCTGATGATGCTCCCGTCCTGGCCTCTTGAGGCCCAGCAAGAGGGCCAGCTGATGCCCGTCCTGGCCTCTTGAGGCCCAGCAAAAGGGCCAGCAGCTGATGCTGATGATGCTCCTGTGCTGCCCCTTTGTTCCCCAACTGACGCTGATGATGCTCCCGTCCTGGCCTCTTGAGGCCCAGCAAAAGGGCCAGCTGATGCTGATGATGCTCCTGTGCTGCCCCTTTGTTCCCCAACTGACGCTGATGATGCTCCCGTCCTGGCCTCTTGAGGCCCAGCAAAAGGGCCAGCTGATGCCCGTCCTGGCCTCTTGAGGCCCAGCAAAAGGGCCAGCAGCTGATGCTGATGATGCTCCTGTGCTGCCACTTTGTTCCCCAACTGACGCTGATGATGCTCCCGTCCTGGCCTCTTGAGGCCCAGCAAAAGGGCCAGCTGATGCTGATGATGCTCCTGTGCTGCCCCTTTGTTCCCCAACTGACGCTGATGATGCTCCCGTCCTGGCCTCTTGAGGCTCAGCAAAAGGGCCAGCTGATGCTGATGATGCTCCTTGTGCTGCCCCTTTGTTCCCCAACTGACGCTGATGATGCTCGCGTCCTGGCCTCTTGAGGCCCAGCAAAAGGGCCAGCTGATGCTGATGATGCTCCGGTGCTGCCCCTTTGTTCCCCAACTGACGCTGATGATGCTCCCGTCCTGGCCTCTTGAGGCCCAGCAAAAGGGCCAGCTGATGCTGATGATGCTCCTGTGCTCCCGTCCTGGCCTCGTGAGGCCCAGGAAAAGGGCCAGCTGATGCTGATGATGCTCCTGTGCTGCCCCTTTGTTCCCGCCACTGACGTTGATGATGCTCCCGTCCTGGCCTCTTGAGGCCCAGCAAAAGGGCCAGCTGATGCTGATGATGCTCCTGTGCTGCCCCTCTGTTCCCCAACTGGCGCTGATGATGCTCCCGTCCTGGCCTCGAGGCTCAGCAAAAGGGCCAGCTGATGCTGATGATGCTCCTTGTGCTGCCCCTTTGTTCCCCAACTGACGCTGATGATGCTCCCGTCCTGGCCTCTTGAGGCCCAGCAAAAGGGCCAGCTGATGCTGATGATGCTCCTGTGCTGCCCCTTTGTTCCCCAACTGACGCTGATGATGCTCCCGTCCTGGCCTCTTGAGGCCCAGCACAAGGGCTAGCTGATGCTGATGATGCTCCTGTGCTGCCCCTTGGTTCCCCAACTGACGCTGATGATGCTCCCGTCCTGGCCTCTTGAGGCCCAGCAAAAGGGCCAGCTGATGCTGATGATGCTCCTGTGCTGCCCCTTTGTTCCCCAACTGACGCTGATGATGCTCCCGTCCTGGCCTCTTGAGGCCCAGCAAAAGGGCCAGCTGATGCTGATGATGCTCCTGTGCTGCCCCTTTGTTCCCCAACTGACGCTGATGATGCTCCCGTCCTGGCCTCTTGAGGCCCAGCAAAAAGGGCCAGCTGATGCTGATGATGCTCCGGTGCTGCCCCTTTGTTCCCCAACTGACGCTGATGATGCTCCCGTCCTGGCCTCTTGAGGCCCAGCAAAAGGGCCAGCTGATGCTGATGATGCTCCGGTGCTGCCCCTTTGTTCCCTAACTGACGCTGATGATGCTCCCGTCCTGGCCTCTTGAGGCCCAGCAAAAGGGCCAGCTGATGCTGATGATGCTCCGGTGCTGCCCCTTTGTTCCCCAACTGACGCTGATGAGGCTCCCGTCCTGGCCTCTTGAGGCCCAGCAAAAGGGCCAGCTGAAGCTGATGATGCTCCGGTGCTGCCCCTTTGTTCCCCAACTGACGCTGATGATGCTCCCGTCCTGGCCTCTTGAGGCCCAGCAAAAGGGCCAGCTGATGCTGATGATGCTCCGGTGCTGCCCCTTTGTTCCCCAACTGACGCTGATGATGCTCACGTCCTGGCCTCTTGAGGCCCAGCAAAAGGGCCAGCTGATGCTGATGATGCTCCTGTGCTGCCCCTTTGTTCCCCAACTGAGGCCCAGCAAAAGAGCCAGCTGATGCTGATGATGCTCCGGTGCTGCCCCTTTGTTCCCCAACTGACGCTGATGATGCTCCCGTCCTGGCCTCTAGAGGCCCAGCAAAAGGGCCAGCTGATGCTGATGATGCTCCGGTGCTGCCCCTTTGTTCCCCAACTGACGCTGATGATGCTCCCGTCCTGGCCTCTTGAGGCCCAGCAAAAGGGCCAGCTGATGCTGATGATGCTCCGGTGCTGCCCCTTTGTTCCCCAACTGACGCTGATGATGCTCCCGTCCTGGCCTCTTGAGGCCCAGCAAAAGGGCCAGCTGATGCTGATGATGCTCCGGTGCTGCCCCTTTGTTCCCCAACTGACGCTGATGATGCTCCCGTCCTGGCCTCTTGAGGCCCAGCAAAAGGGCCAGCTGATGCTGATGATGCTCCGGTGCTGCCCCTTTGTTCCCCAACTGACGCTGATGATGCTCCCGTCCTGGCCTCTTGAGGCCCAGCAAAAGGGCCAGCTGATGCTGATGATGCTCCAGTGCTGCCCCTTTGTTCCCCAACTGACGCTGATGATGCTCCCGTCCTGGCCTCTTGAGGCCCAGCAAAAGGGCCAGCTGATGCTGATGATGCTCCGGTGCTGCCCCTTTGTTCCCCAACTGACGCTGATGATGCTCCCGTCCTGGCCTCTTGAGGCCCGGCCCTTTTGCTGGGCCAGCTGATGCTGATGATGCTCTGGTGCTGCCCCTTTGTTCCCCAACTGACGCTGATGATGCTCCCGTCCTGGCCTCTTGAGGCCCAGCAAAAGGGCCAGCTGATGCTGATGATGCTCCAGTGCTGCCCCTTTGTTCCCCAACTGACGCTGATAATGCTCCCGTCCTGGCCTCTTGAGGCCGAGCAAAAGGGCCAGCTGATGCTGATGATGCTCCGGTGCTGCCCCTTTGTTCCCCAACTGACACTGATGATGCTCCCGTCCTGGCCTCTTGAGGCCCAGCAAAAGGGCCAGCTGATGCTGATGATGCTCCGGTGCTGCCCCTTTGTTCCCCAACTGACGCTGATGATGCTCCCGTCCTGGCCTCTTGAGGCCCAGCAACAGGGCCAGCTGATGCTGATGATGCTCCGGTGCTGCCCCTTTGTTCCCCAACTGACGCTGATGATGCTCCCGTCCTGGCCTCTTGAGGCCCAGCAAAAGGGCCAGCTGATGCTGATGATGCTCCGGTGCTGCCCCTTTGTTCCCCAACTGACGCTGATGATGCTCCCGTCCTGGCCTCTTGAGGCCCAGCAAAAGGGCCAGCTGATGCTGATGATGCTCCTGTGCTGCCCCTTTGTTCCCCAACTGACGCTGATGATGCTCCCGTCCTGGCCTCTTGAGGCCCAGCAAAAGGGCCAGCTGATGCTGATGATGCTCCGGTGCTGCCCCTTTGTTCCCCAACTGACGCTGATGATGCTCCCGTCCTGGCCTCTTGAGGCCCGGCCCTTTTGCTGGGCCAGCTGATGCTGATGATGCTCTGGTGCTGCCCCTTTGTTCCCCAACTGACGCTGATGATGCTCCCGTCCTGGCCTCTTGAGGCCCAGCAAAAGGGCCAGCTGATGCTGATGATGCTCCGGTGCTGCCCCTTTGTTCCCCAACTGACGCTGATGATTCTCCCGTCCTGGCCTCTTGAGGCCCAGCAAAAGGGCCAGCTGATGCTGATGATGCTCCGGTGCTGCCCCTTTGTTCCCCAACTGACGCTGATGATGCTCCCGTCCTGGCCTCTTGAGGCCCAGCAAAAGGGCCAGCTGATGCTGATGATGCTCCTGTGCTGCCCCTTTGTTCCCCAACTGACGCTGATGATGCTCCCGTCCTGGCCTTTTGAGGCCCAGCTGAAGCTGATGATGCTCCGGTGCTGCCCCTTTGTTCCCCAACTGACGCTGATGATGCTCCCGTCCTGGCCTCTTGAGGCCCAGCAAAAGGGCCAGCTGATGCTGATGATGCTCCGGTGCTGCCCCTTTGTTCCCCAACTGACGCTGATGATGCTCACGTCCTGGCCTCTTGAGGCCCAGCAAAAGGGCCAGCTGATGCTGATGATGCTCCTGTGCTGCCCCTTTGTTCCCCAACTGAGGCCCAGCAAAAGGGCCAGCTGATGCTGATGATGCTCCTGTGCTGCCCCTTTGTTCCCCAACTGACGCTGATGATGCTCCCGTCCTGGCCTCTTGAGGCCCAGCAAAAGGGCCAGCTGATGCTAATGATGCTCCGGTGCTGCCCCTTTGTTCCCCAACTGACGCTGATGATGCTCCCGTCCTGGCCTCTTGAGGCCCAGCAAAAGGGCCAGCTGATGCTGATGATGCTCCTGCTGCCCCTTTGTTCCCCAACTGACGCTGATGATGCTCCCGTCCTGGCCTCTTGAGGCTGATGCTGATGATGCTCCGGTGCTGCCCCTTTGTTCCCCAACTGACGCTGATGATGCTCCCGTCCTGGCCTCTTGAGGCCCAGCAAAAGGGCCAGCTGATGCTGATGATGCTCCGGTGCTGCCCCTTTGTTCCCCAACTGACGCTGATGATGCTCCCGTCCTGGCCTCTTGAGGCCCAGCAAAAGGGCCAGCTGATGCTGATGATGCTCCGGTGCTGCCCCTTTGTTCCCCAACTGACGCTGATGATGCTCCCGTCCTGGCCTCTTGAGGCCCAGCAAAAGGGCCAGCTGATGCTGATGATGCTCCGGTGCTGCCCCTTTGTTCCCCAACTGACGCTGATGATGCTCCCGTCCTGGCCTCTTGAGGCCCAGCAAAAGGGCCAGCTGATGCTGATGATGCTCCAGTGCTGCCCCTTTGTTCCCCAACTGACGCTGATAATGCTCCCGTCCTGGCCTCTTGAGGCCGAGCAAAAGGGCCAGCTGATGCTGATGATGCTCCGGTGCTGCCCCTTTGTTCCCCAACTGACACTGATGATGCTCCCGTCCTGGCCTCTTGAGGCCCAGCAAAAGGGCCAGCTGATGCTGATGATGCTCCGGTGCTGCCCCTTTGTTCCCCAACTGACGCTGATGATGCTCACGTCCTGGCCTCTTGAGGCCCAGCAAAAGGGCCAGCTGATGCTGATGATGCTCCTGTGCTGCCCCTTTGTTCCCCAACTGAGGCCCAGCAAAAGAGCCAGCTGATGCTGATGATGCTCCGGTGCTGCCCCTTTGTTCCCCAACTGACGCTGATGATGCTCCCGTCCTGGCCTCTAGAGGCCCAGCAAAAGGGCCAGCTGATGCTGATGATGCTCCGGTGCTGCCCCTTTGTTCCCCAACTGACGCTGATGATGCTCCCGTCCTGGCCTCTTGAGGCCCAGCAAAAGGGCCAGCTGATGCTGATGATGCTCCGTGCTGCCCCTTTGTTCCCCAACTGACGCTGATGATGCTCCCGTCCTGGCCTCTTGAGGCCCAGCAAAAGGGCCAGCTGATGCTGATGATGCTCCGGTGCTGCCCCTTTGTTCCCCAACTGACGCTGATGATGCTCCCGTCCTGGCCTCTTGAGGCCCAGCAAAAGGGCCAGCTGATGCTGATGATGCTCCGGTGCTGCCCCTTTGTTCCCCAACTGACGCTGATGATGCTCCCGTCCTGGCCTCTTGAGGCCCAGCAAAAGGGCCAGCTGATGCTGATGATGCTCCGGTGCTGCCCCTTTGTTCCCCAACTGACGCTGATGATGCTCCCGTCCTGGCCTCTTGAGGCCCAGCAAAAGGGCCAGCTGATGCTGATGATGCTCCGGTGCTGCCCCTTTGTTCCCCAACTGACGCTGATGATGCTCCCGTCCTGGCCTCTTGAGGCCCAGCAAAAGGGCCAGCTGATGCTGATGATGCTCCGGTGCTGCCCCTTTGTTCCCCAACTGACGCTGATGATGCTCCCGTCCTGGCCTCTTGAGGCCCAGCAAAAGGGCCAGCTGATGCTGATGATGCTCCGGTGCTGCCCCTTTGTTCCCCAACTGACGCTGATGATGCTCCCGTCCTGGCCTCTTGAGGCCCAGCAAAAGAGCCAGCTGATGCTGATGATGCTCCGGTGCTGCCCCTTTGTTCCCCAACTGACGCTGATGATGCTCCTGTCCTGGCCTCTTGAGGCCCAGCAAAAGGGCCAGCTGATGCTGATGATGCTCCGGTGCTGCCCCTTTGTTCCCCAACTGACGCTGATGATGCTCCCGTCCTGGCCTTTTGAGGCCCAGCAAAAGGGCCAGCTGAAGCTGATGATGCTCCGGTGCTGCCCCTTTGTTCCCCAACTGACGCTGATGATGCTCCCGTCCTGGCCTCTTGAGGCCCAGCAAAAGGGCCAGCTGATGCTGATGATGCTCCGGTGCTGCCCCTTTGTTCCCCAACTGACGCTGATGATGCTCCCGTCCTGGCCGCTTGAGGCCCAGCAAAAGGGCCAGCTGATGCTGATGATGCTCCGGTGCTGCCCCTTTGTTCCCCAACTGACGCTGATGATGCTCCCGTCCTGGCCTCTTGAGGCCCAGCAAAAGGGCCAGCTGATGCTGATGATGCTCCGGTGCTGCCCCTTTGTTCCCCAACTGACGCTGATGATGCTCCCGTCCTGGTCCTTGAGGCCCTGGAAAAGGGCCCAGCTGATGCCGATGAGCCTGCCTCTTTGTGCACCCCAATCGATGCTGATTGCACCGGCCCTGAAGTGATGACCCTGTGTGACCCTAAACCGATGTTCATGATGCTGTTGTCGTGGCCCCTTGAGGCAAAGCAACAGGGCCTATGTTGCCCCTTTGTGCCCCCAACAGATGCTGATGATGCTCGAGAGATGTCCGAATTTGTTCTTGAGTATAGAGCAACAAACGACACTGTAAGAAACAAATGCTTTCGTGATCTTTGTTAAAAAGATCGTCGATGAATAGAAGTCTTTTTTGCCCAAATACCGAGGAACTTTCGGTGTAAAGTATAGAAGGTATAGAGATTTCAAAATAGCAAACATGGGAAATAGAGTTTTTCGCATGAAAAAACAGGAAGCGCTCGAATTTACAAGAAAAGGCAGCGCGGATTGCGGAAACACCGAGACGATCGCCGTTCGCGATTTGGAACGCGAAGGCGAGAGTGACACGGGCACAAGAACTCACCGAGAGGGTCGTCATTTTCCAGAGACACAAAACCTAACACACAACAGCCCATTTTAAAACAACCAAAGGGCAGCACCCACAGTGCATCTGTAGCTGAGCACCTGTAATTCGACACTTCGACAGAGGTTTATGCGAGACATACTGTTGCGAACCAGACATGTGAGGTAGATGTGCACAAGATACAGGCAGGTGAGGTTCCAGATAAGCAGGCAGCTGTCGATGCCCACGCCTGCTGGTTCGACTGGCACGGGATGCCTTACCCATAGCTTCGAAAGGAATCAGACTTGACAAGAAGCGGATTCGATTTCCACACGTCAGCAGTACGGTAGCAAGCGTGCGGATATACGGTGCGTCTTGAGGTATGAGGGTTCTGGTGCTCAGCGCGTCTCTCAGCACCACAGGACGCAGAACACGTATGCCTTAATGCCATGGTTTACCATGCTGACCGTCCGACACGTGGCAGCCCACGCTGCCTTACAGGTGTTCACCATACCTCGGAATCCTGCGCGAGCTGGAACTGAGCGGCTGACATGCTTGCAGCTCCAATGGCAGCTCCAAGTTTCTGCCACCGCATTGTTGCCGGCGCCTGCCAGGAAGAAGCCTGTTCTCCCTCGAAAGTTGCATCCTGATCGCTGCTGTGAAGTGCCGCATGTGCAAGCAACATTGTTTGGACTAGAGATGACCGAGGTGGGGCCCGTTCTGGCGGCACGGGCCAGCGCAGCATGCACCAGAATGAAAAGAAGTTGATTGGCTCAATTCCTATGTGTTTCTGACGAATGTGATCCTTTGAATGTCATCCTCGCACTACCTCTTCATCTTGTTCGCCTGGTGAACGTGTCCAATCATAGGCTTGGTGCATGTGGCTCCCCAGCTTCAAAATACCTGAACGGCTTAAATCACGACACAGCAGCTGTTGCAACATGCTTGTTGCAATTCTCTCCCGAATGCGAGCAACCAGCATCACGTGTCAAAACTTTCCATATTACACAGACTCAAAAGTGGCAATCCATTTGTGCATCGACAAACAAGAAAATCGCATGGAGCTTGCAAAGCTCATTGCGCCTAATGGAATCTGGGGAAAGGCTGGACACCACAAGTCCTTCCGAGCAGCTATATATGGCTTCGTGCTATCTCATCCCTGAGCATGGCTTTGGCCTTGAGTCCCTTGAGAGTGCTTGATGAGGTATGGCTTGCAGCGCACTGGGAGCGCAAGCTCAAGAAGCAGGACAGCTGCATGCATCCTAACTCAAGGAATGCCGGGTAGGTCTGCCAATCCCATGAGCTAGCAGCGTTGGCCTTGGATCTGCATGACAACGCGACAGCTGATTTCCATGGGCTTTGCGCCGCTTTCTTGGCTCCCCACAGGTTGAGGCAAGCAGCAACAGACACGGCAGTATAGATCCCGGTTACCAAACATGTCTGAGTTCACCATCCGAACGCGGAAGTTTTGGAGCTCAGCTGCTCGTGTGAATCAGCACGTGAGCATTCGTGATCTCTGACTTCGTTCCTACGTAGGATCAGCTTGCGTGAGAGGTTCCAGACCAACCCTCTGCTGGCTCGGCAAGTGCCTCAGCATCCTTCACCATTTTCTGTGCATTCCGGAAGAGACCCCCTTTTTCGGGAGGAAGCAGTTTGTGCTGGATGTCATTCACCCTGGCATGGCGAATGCTCGCTCCTTAGTCAACAACCTCCCATGCCTCCGACCGCCTCGTAACGCAATATTCCCAGTGCGCCATGGCTCCTAGGTGTCGAAGAAGGATCTTTCAGAGAAGCTTGCGAAAATGTGCGCGCTGCGGTCTCCGACGAACTCAGATGGATGGAGGACCCTGACTCCATATCGCTTCTGCGGCCAGGTACAAGGTGAAAGACACAGCGTGCATCCAGCTGTTCAGCTTTAAGACCGCATTTGGCGGCGGTCGCAGCACGGGCTTTGGCCGAGAGCTTGACCGGTGTCAGTGTCGGTGTTGTCAGTCAGTGTCAGTGTCAGTGTCTGTGTCTGTGTCTGTGTCTGTGTCTGTGTCTGTGTGTGTCTGTGTCTGTGTCTGTGTCTGTGTCTCTGTGTGTGTGTGTGTGCGTGTGGGTGTGTGTGTGTGTGTGTATTCCGGTCCGCAGACTTGTGAAGACTGCCGTAAGCAGGAGACATTGAAATTGTACTTGGGCTGCAGGTCTCATCTATGAGAGCCTGGACAAGATGAAGAAATTTGAGCCTAAGTACAGGCTCAAGCGCGTACAACCCCTAGAAAGTGTGTTGCTGCACAGGCCAAATGCAGGCGGGAAAGGCATAGCCCACATCTGAGGCTGGCGTCGGTGGTGAGAAGACCGGTGCAGGTACGTGCCAGTACCAGCGCTTTCCGGCAATGCATGGCAAAAGGATGAGCAACACAGAGTTGAGTCTCCCGTGCTGCGAGGCCGCCGTGGAAAGAAGGACACCAAGAACCGAATGAAGAAGGCCTTCCTTTAAGTGAGCTGTTGTTTGTTTCTGCTTGAACACGGGCACAGAAACAAGACAGTCCAATGATGATCAATGATGGCCAGTCTGATGTGGCCTGTCTTCAACGTCAGGCGCGCGGCAAGGACAAGAGCAAGGCAGGCTCCAAGAAGTGAGTCACACGGCTGGGGCTGGGTAGGCTTAACCCATCTCGGGACCCGCATACTTGCGCTGCGTCTCCAAACATCTCACAGCAAAGAACGGGCGCAGAAGGAGCAGAGTGCTTCGTGCTGCTATTGCCAGAAAAAACAAGCTGGCCGGTGTGCTCATCGGTTTGAGATGACTCGCAAACGCGCACAGTTTGTCCTTGTCAGCCTTGTTGCGCGGGTCGTTCATCTCGTTTTGCATCTTGCTCGCTGCCATCTGCCAGGACTACCTGGACATTGATCTCCGCAGCTTGCTTGCCACGCCAGAGCCCTGGAAGTTCTCGAAGTTGGAGTCTTTTGAAGTTCGTTTTGCTTCCATTTTCTAGATTTTCTGCGGCCTTCAGTCACCTCGCTTTGCCAGTATCTCGGCGAAGCGGTCGCTGGTGTCCCTACGCGCAACAGGACACCTGCTGGTGCGCCCAGCATAATTGCCTGTTTGCCCGGGTCATGTTGCTTTCCACTGTCTGGGAGTGTTGCTGACAGGTCGGCGCTTGCAAGATCTACTGCAAAAAGAGCGCCTTCCTAGAGGCCGTGCACACGAAACCAGTCGCAACCTTCGGCGGAACCCTCTATGAATGCCGGCAATGCGAATGCCCGGCCAGGAAGAAGCCGAGGAGGTCCGTGCTGGGTTGATGATGGCGTGGCTCCGGCACGTTCACTGCCACTGCCTAGATCGACCTACTCTCACGACACTCAGCAGAGCTGAGAAGAGTAGACGAAGACTCTTGTAAACAGGTTCAGCCGACCCATAGAGGAGCCCGAGGCCATTTGCCTTGCAGCCTGAACATGGGCGAGGGAAGGAACCCATGCGGACATGTGCAGAGGCCAACACTTCCAGGCGCATCCGTGAGGCGCAAGTTGAGCGATCTGAGATGGTATGCAAGTCAGGGGACGTCATTGGGCAAAGGTGAGGCCTGATGCCTTGGCACCGGTTGCAACTGACGACCAGGCACCGGGACTGAGTCTGGGCTCAGAGATGCTAAGGGACTCATAGTGACCACTGCACCAGGCTCTGCTGGGAGGCAAGAAGCATATAGCTCGCTTGGAGGACATGCGAGACTTCGAGATGCAGTGGTCAACTCACATTACTTAGAGCATCTTAGAGCCCTTCTCAGCAGCCACGGAACCAGACAGCAGGACATAACTCTGAAGAATCAAGGCAAGGAGGATGCGCTGCTTGGACTTCGAACTTGAGATCCATGAGAACTGTGTTTGTCGTTCTTTCTTTCCACACGCCTCTTTCCGAACCCCATCCTTCGCAGCACGACGCTCTAAGGTCGTTAGTGGAGAACGATGAGCTTTTTGGGGCCCTTTCCCAAACAGAGCTCCAGGCCGCGGCAACTGTTGCATTTGGAAGAAACGTCGAAGTCAGGCATCTTTACGGGGAGTTTTTGGAAGCCACTTCGTTGTAGCGCAAGATGTACAAAGTACAGTCTGCAGGACACGTTTGGGCCTCATGTGCCATCTGCGCCATGCTGACCGCATGGCAAGGAAGTCATGCGCGCTGTCCGTCGACGAGTTGTTCCAAAGGGCGCCTTCGAGGACAACAGCTGGACCAGTCAAGGTCACCAAGCAAAGCAAGCAAGTTCTTGGTGCGAGGAGCTCGAGTCCGCTGCGACCGGCGAGCGTGGAAACCCTCAGGTCATGTTTGGTCAGTGCTGACAGCAAGTAGCTTTGAGCTGCCAACTCAATTGCAGAGATTGACTGTTTAAGATCACGACTTCGACACCCTTCCTCTCGTGGCGCTGTCAGATCGACCGCAGGCCAGGCATGGTCTGACTGAAGATTCCGGAGGTCATGACATCCTGCTCTGGGTGGTTGAACACGACCCATTGCAGGCCCCTGAAGCTGATGAGCCGCATGCCGGAGGCACACCGATGCACTTGATGCACACTTTGACACTTTGGCGGCGACCATTTAGGTTCCCATCTAGTGCAGTGACTCGCTGGTGCTTGTGGCTCATAGCTCTCCAAATCTCTCCACGAAAGGCATTTTGCCGACATGGTGTCATCTGATAGGTCACATCCGAATGTGTACATGTTATGCATCTACGTTACGAATGCTAATGCAATTAAGTACTGGTCAACATCCAAAAAGTTGCACCCTTGAAGCACACACACTCGCAGAAAGTCGCTGCGCCATCTTGGTGAAGACCTTTGTCTTAGCTTGTTGAAACTTGTTTACAACATGCACACACAGCCGCGGAGCTTCCAACCTCAACCACCGGAGCAGTCATTGCAGCAAAAGCCGAGACTGATTCAAGTGCGGGTCCGAGCTCTCGGTGTCTCGGTTTGCCCATGACACTGCTCGAGCACGCTATGTGACTGCCGAATGGTTGGACTGTTAGGACATCACGCCGGCCAGCCGCAATGCTGGGTTCTCAGCACACTAAAAGAGAGGAAGCTGATCCCCCGTCTACTACAGAGTGAAAAAAGCTCCTTCAGGCGTCAACAGATGTTGCCAAGTATGAGCTGGACAATCTCAAGGCTGGCCGCAAGGCCTGGCCTGGTGCCGTTCACAAACGTTCACAGCACATCTTACCGGTAGAGCACCAGACTGACCGTCAGACTGTCGGCCAGGTGTATGTCAAGCGAGGAATGCTCTTCTTTCTGGCGTCGAAAGAAGTCGCGCTCGACAAGATTTCCAAGGACCGTTGCCCTGGGGGCTCTTCGATAAGGGAAGGAAACGTCACTTGACCCTGCGACATGCGACGATTCCAGCGCTGAAAGGACTCCATGAAACAGGAGAAGGCACATTCCGACCGACAAGGAAGCGCAGGTGACTGCGGCTCAGTGCTTTGCTTGCACGGGTCTCGAGACCTCAAATGTACGCCACAGTGCACCTCTTTGCATCATTCGTCTTGCGCGGCTAAGGTTGGGGACTTGGGCTTGGACACGCTCGAATGATCCGATTGAGCCGATCTCCACAACGGTTTGGATCATGTGCGAGCACGTCGACATTCGACAAGGGAACAAGAAGGAAGGGCACCGGTGGCTAGTCACTCTGTTTGAGATGCCGGAAAATCCGGGAGCCATCCCCATTATGCTTGGTGAATGCCGCTCTCCTGTCATAAAAGCGAATGTTGCCAGCGCGTCGCTCACGCTTGCAGAAATCCTCATGATCTGTGCTATCTGCTTCTTGAGTCGGTTGTCGCAGCACGTTGTCAGGGGACGACGTTCTGCCGTTGGACATGGAGTTGGCACTGGAAGACCAGGCTTATGGCACGTGTGTATACAGTGCGTGGTGTGTAGTGGTGCTACGTTGGGCCCCCCTCACCCCGTCATATTGGGGGGGGGGGCAGGGGGGGCACAAAATATGGAAACTAGGGCACGAGGGCATTGAGAACACTGCACGGAGCGGCTCTCGTCTTTTGCATCCGGAGGCACCCGCGGTGGCCGCCGAGACTTCACCGGTGCCTTACGTACAGGAAGAGCTTGGCCGACTCATTCAGAATTTGCGGCTTTGATGGCAAAACCCCACAGGAAGATGTCATCGATATCGAAGACCTCAACCAAGTGGCAGGGCAGGCGAGCAGAGCGACAGTAGACCAAGCATGACAAAGTACTCAGCCGGTTCACCGCTTGTCGTGACCATGACACGGAGTGCAGGCTGCTGTGCAGCTCGTGCCATTGTCGAACCTGGCTGTGGAGCGGATCTCAGCCAAAAAGGGGCACTATCCAATCGACATCACAGCCGCAGCTGCTCAGGCAAAGCAGCTCATCATGCTTGGGGACGAGGATCTCAAAAGCATTCAGAAATTCAGAAATTCGCAGAACACTGTGCATAATCAGGTCAGCTTTACTTCGAGTTAAAGCCTCGGATGGGAGGAGCAGCAAGCTGTGCTCGGCTTCTTTCAGCTTCAACGGCTGGGGTCTTTGATGGTGGTCTCATTGATCTGAATCTCAGGGCTCTCAAGACAAGCATGTGTCAGCCAGATTGTGATGGACGCACACTTGTGACGAGGCGAGAAGAAATTCAAACCTTGCTAGATCAGGCTCCTCCGGCGCTTGCTGTCAGATGCATGTTGAGCGTGCTTTAGAGATCGAGTCCGATAGACAGGCACCCGACTCACTCGCTGTGGCTGGTGATGCTGTGAGGGAGTTTGGCGGGGAAGCACCTTCGGCTCCAAAAGTGCCACAGATTCGTCTTCCATTTAGTCGTCAGTCACGCCCTTTTTCTCTCTCTCTCCCTCCCCGCCCTCCCTCCCTCCCCCCTCCCTCCCCCCTCCCTCCCCCCCCCTCCCCCTCCCTCCCTCCCCCTCCCTCCCCCTCCCTCCCCCTCCCTCCCCCCCCTCCCCCCCCCCCCCTCCCCCCTCCCTTCCTGGTGGCAACCTGCACTTCCCGTTAAGGCAATCCCGCTGGGGCACGCTTGGATCGAAGGGACCGTGGCGCCATTCGAGAGGCTCTCCACTCAAGTCACAGGGCTTGGAAAAATCGTGTGCGTGAGAAAGCCTTGCTGTAGCAGCTTCCCCTTTTTGCAGCGCAGGCCCACGGATGAGGATGGCTCAGACGCTTCGTCGCGATTAGAGCGCCTTTGCCCTGTTAGTTGCGCTTAGCTGCGCTAGAACACCAGGCCAGGAAGAAGCGGCGCACGCAATTCGTGGCGGATGCTACTTGGACAATGTGTTGCGCGGGGTAGTGCCATTGACATGCTGACCGCACGAGAATTCGGACTGGGTCACGTCATGTCTTAGGACATGCCGGAGATCCCTAAAGAAATCTACAGGGGGTTCGAATCTCAGCCGAGCGGGCGCCGATTACATTTTTGAAATCGTCATTGGGCATCCTGTCCATTTGCAGTTTTGGAGACATGAGGTACATGAACGATCGGGAACGAATCACAAGGAAAGGAGATCTGCCCTACGATCTGATTCTGCCACATTACTCACCTCACATGTGCCTGCCCCAGTCTTCAAGAAGAGCACCCAAGTGAACAGTGATTTGGCTGCCCTTAGGCCAAACTTTACCACGACCTTCACAGACATGTGCAAGACATTGTCGCTGGCTTACTTGGTTCCAACATCTCCTTCGATTCGTAAAGTCGCAAAGTTAACACAACAAAGTAAGCTGGTGAGCCATGCTGCACTCTGTGCAGCAAGTGGACAGCATACCCTTGGCTTGGCATTGCATCCCTGAATGCTCTCTGAGGTGTGAAGGCATTCTATGGGGCTCTGAGGCCGGCTGCCACAGTGAAATGCTTCAGAAAAGAGTCTCGCATCCCAAGGTTGCAGAAAAGAGAAGGCGACTGGCGAAGGATGTCGAGCCAGAGCGAGGGTTTGAGGTGAGCCAAGCAGACCATCTTCTTGCTACAACAAGCAAATGTAGCAATCCTTTTTTTTTCTACATTGCTCAGGCTCCGGGTATGGCTCCAGGTATGGCTTCAGCTCCCTCTCAGCCTGGTGCCGGGGTGGCCGAGGCTCAGATGCGCGACGCGAACATCGCATGCGATGTCCGTGAGTTTTCCATGTTCGGACTGAGTCTGCGTAACTAATGCGTAGCTACTCTTGGCTGCGACCTACCCAGGAGCCCAGCATCCTGACCGAAGAGCAGCGCAACAGTCTCAGCATGTACGTGAAGCAGAAGGCGGAGCTTCAGCTTTGTGATGGTGTGTCGAGCCGCCTGCTTTGCACATGCGTTGCGCACACATCACTTAACGCTGCCAGGCTGCCGACAAGCCCGGCTCACTGGCACCTCTGCCGCTGCCCCAGACAAGAACTCGAGACGTCTCGAGACGAAAAGGAGCTCCGTTTGCATCAAGATGCATCGAGTAGCTGTTGTTGTGGCACTGTACGGTGCTACAAGACACTTCTCGGACCAGATCTTCGAAGTCCGTTGAGGTAGTCGGAGGGGGGTTCAACTGGCGGGGTTTTCTGACCTCCAAGGCTTGGGCCGGTCCTCAGCCCGGATAAGGCAGGCCTCAGGAGCGCCGGAGCACGGTTTTTAGGCCTGTTAGGCTTGAGAGGGCGTTTCGTGCCATGGATTTCCATGGAGGGCACTGAAACCCGTTCATCTTGTCTGAATGTGGTGCCCTTTCGCGCAGCTTTCAGCAGCTCAAATCCATGCCACCTGCGAACCCCGGGTCTAGGGGCCTGGCCTGCGGTTGGAATCTTACTTCGGCTGCCTTCCACTCCTCAGCTTCATTTTTGGGTGCTCAGGGCCCTGCCACGGGGGCAGGCAAGAAGCTTGCTTGTCGCGGCTTTAGGTAGAGAAGGCCTGGGCCTGGGCACCGCGGAATTGTGCACCACGCAGGTGATAGGCATGGACCTCCTCGCACAGTACAGCGACAGCGAGGGGGAGGACCCGCGCCTTATGCCAGCTCCATTGCTTTGCTGTATTAGCTGTTTGCTCAGAACTCAGCAAAACCAAGAAACATGCAGGAGGCCAAAGCAAAGGCCAAGGCCACTAGCACGTTGCACCATGCTCAGGCAGTCCCAAGCAAAGTACGGGCACAGACCATGAACATTTGTGAGCCCAAGGCCAACCGGAGCTGCCCCGAAGGCAGTCTCACGAAAGCCAATAGCGGGAGCTTGGTGCCCAGGTAGTGGAAGTTGCGAAATGCATCAAGCGATAGAGTGCTGAGGGATGTATGAGCTTGAGAGATCTTGACAGGTCGATCTGGCGCTGCTGCCACTGCCCCATGTTGCAGCCTGCTTCCTGACAGCAAATCTTGATGGCAACCTTTGCTAGGCCATCTGTGGATGCAGCACCACATGTCGACACCATTGGCCTGGGCGCCGTGACAGCCTAAGCACTGCCAAATAACTTGAGTGTCTTTTGCGATGCCTCTGCTAATCCGCTCATGAAGCTGTTGCATTTGTTTCTTTTGCTTACGGCTTTTCCGGTCATTTCACGGCGTTTCTTCACTACTGCACTTTGTCCTGAGTTCTCACACAAGCATGCACGCCATATCAAGCCATACAGGTGACGCAGTGGGCTTACAACACCGCCGACAAGCGGATCCTGACAAACCCAACAATAGCAGCGAGATCCCAAGCATTCTCGCTGCGCATCCCAGAGTTGTGTTGTGAAGTGCATGACGAAGAAAGTGGAATCTGAAGGCACTCAGCAAGCCTCTACAAGGGCCCCTCGAGGAGGGAAAGCTGCTCAGCTCCAGTGGTCGGTGTTGTTTGCTGCGAGCGCGAAAACAGCCGAGCCCAGGTGTAGCCTAGAGCAGAACTACAACAATCACAAGATGGGGCGAGTAGAGAAAGCAGCCATGAGCCTCTTGCCTGCAAGAACGGTTGGAATGAGCTCAGACAAAGCTTCCAAGCCTTGCAGACACTGGCTGCATTTTCTTAAGGCAAATTTGCCTTCGATCAGCAGCCGGGGAGCTCGGACAGCTCGGCATGGCTGCGAGTGGCTGCGAATGCTCAGAGATCTGTCGTTGCGGCATCCCTGAGGTATCTCACCTTCCACAACTACGGGTATGCTGCGAATCCTTGCAAGAACATTCCCGAGGGAGAAGAGATGATAGCTCCGCGGATTATATCTTGAGTCATGTTTGTTCTTGTTTCGTGTTTAGGAGCTGCGGGTTCAGATCGTTGTGCTGCGAAGTCTCACGAAATCGCGACTTCTGAGGTCAGCACGGAAGCCGAGTTTCAAGAGGGCCGTGGTATTTGGGACAAACCCCGCAAAAGGCCCCAGGGTTGCAAAAGGATACCTGCAATGGTTGCACATGTGGCAGTACAAGCTGACCGTTCGCCTGCGAAAAAGCTGCTAAGATACGTGAGCCGAGTTTGCAGGCAACGATTGGAAGGCCCTGACATGCCAGCACTGAGCTCAGTGAAGTTCTCTCCAAGACAGAAGGCTTCCTTTTTTTGTTAATAGGCATCTAGGCGTCTATCTGAGTCTATCTGTCTATCTTTTCTTGTCCGAAAATAAGAAATGAGGACGCAGATCGGCCTGGCAAGGCCTGGGCTTCGGAGCAGCTTGGTGTCATGGGCGTGTTTGTGGACCAGCGACCCTGCCAGGGGCACGCTGAATCTGCCAAGCCACGGCCTCAGCGTAGCTATGCGTCGCTCTCAGACTCTTGGAGTGCAGGTGGGGCGGCTTCATCGATGGCGACGTTGTGAGGAAGCAGCTTGAAGTGGAAGTGAAGGAAACGCTCTGAAAGTTTAGGGGCCCTGCTTGTGATCGCTTGTGGTGTGGCTGTTTGTGACCAACACGCAGGCAAGAGAAGAGGAGGTAGCCAGAAGAGCCGAAGAGGAGAGAGCAGTCGAAGGCTATGTGACATCCTCGTTCATTCCAGCATCGCTGTCACTGCAGTGGGTCGACAGGCGAAGAGAGGGAAACGAAGGAGCGTGTCACCTCCATCTTCCACGGCAACAAGGCGCGCCATATTGCGCGCGTTGGCCAAACGCAGAGAAGATTGCAGCAAAGTTCCGAAGTGCATCTTAACTGTTCTCAGAAATTTGCACTCCTTGCATGTCCGTGCAAATATTGAGTTACCTTCACCAATTTCACACACTGCCTCGTGCACAACGTGGTCAACAAATTTGGTAGGCATATACTCATTGTCGAATCAATCGCTTGATTCAGGAGACCGACTATGCTGGCCGGTCTTGGATTGAGAACAAGGCACGTGGCCCGCACCGACATGCTCACGGCTAAATATGTCATGACGTAGCTGCTGCTGTTTCTGCGAGACCAACATCACCAAAGACGTTGATGACAAGCAGCGGGGGCCCTACGCGTAGCCGTTGGAAGGGGTCTGCACGTAACTCGATAGAATGTGAATCATTCGTACATGCCAGAATAATCGTAGTCGTAGAGTCTGTATTAGCGCTGAAGTACATGTGTTGCAGGTGCTTCTTGCCCAAAAAGTGGGTGCACACGTGGCGCCGACCTTGGATGGTTCGGAGTGATCAATGAAATAAACAGGGCTGTTAGATGAAAACGAGTTCGTTGACATCGCATCGACACGTAAGACAGCCCAAAGATGTCGGATGTCGCTCGCCGTGTGTGTGCAACCGCTTTGGGCAGTTCAACACCATGGGCCCCATGGATCTAGATAGATCGAGTTGCAGAACACGTTAGAACATTGAATTTTCTAGAGCAACTCCCAAGGTCGGGGCACACGATGGGCGTGCAGAAAATTAAGTGGCAGGTGACTCAGGGATCCATTGCTGCGACCCACGTATGGACTCAACATTGACGTGTAAATTGTACCCCAATTTTCTACCCTCAGGTCAATTGGGGGCCATTGACTAGACTTGAGCCCAGGTTCCCGAAGACCGCCCATCTCCTCCTGTCAGCTGGCATGGATGGTAAGATCATGATCTGGGACTACCACAACCAGCGGAAGTTCTGTGCTTAGTGGTGCGGTTCGGCTAATTTAGCCTGAGACCAAGGCCACGCGAGGCATTCTGACACGATTGCCCCCGACTCCGAGGTGTCTCAGAAGTTATATGGGACACGACCAAGCCGTTCGGGATATCGCCTTCACAGCAGCATCGGCCCTGGGGCAAAAATTTCAGAAGAAGCTTAAGCCCTGCTACACGCAGCGCCCTTGCTTCACGAGGATGGCCGCCGGTTTTATAGTGTCTCCTATGACAAAAACGTCCAGCCCTGGCCTCTGAGCTCTGAGCGGAAGTGGACGAGTCAAGCTCTCGCCTTTGCTGTGAGGTACTGGGACACAGAAACAGGCCAAATCATCTCAACATTCACAAACAAGAAAACGCCATTCTGTGTTCTGGCCCCAGAGACCGTCGGAAGGCGTTACGGGGTGTCATGTTCCACTCGTCTCACTCGTCTTCGTCGAGTTGTGCACCAGGTGTCGGTTCACCCGGATCCGTCTCAGCAGAACGTTATTGTTACTGGATGCTCGAACAAGAAGGCGGGGGTGTGGGCAGGGCGCTCCTTTAGTTCATGCAGAGCGCATTGCCCAGTGCAACTGATCAAGCTGTCTATGCCACACAGTTTCTAGAGGGATTGGCCACATTACCCGGCAGTCGGGCTGGCCCCAGCACAGGAAAGGAGGAAAGAGGGTTTCTGGCCCACGGGTCGAAGAAGGCCCCATGTCAGAAAAAGGTCCAGGGGTGGGGTGGTGTCAGGGTAGGTTCCAGGGGGTTTCCAGGCAAAGTTCCGGGAGCCGCCGACAGGCGGGACCCGCCACAGCATCGGTTTGGGGTCCCACAGGGCGGGGGGGGGGGGGGGGGGGGGGGGGGGGGGGGTCGGTCAATTTGGTATGGGGAAGGAGACCTGATCGGGGTCTGCTTGTTCCAAACGCTTCTCGGCAGGAAGCCGAGGCGAATGTGTTCTTTTTGCCCACAGCAAGAGCAAGGGCAGCTTGGAATGAAAAGGCTGCAGCTCAGTGAAAAACGGCTGCAGGCAGTGCAGTGGGACTCCAACACTTGCACCATTGTGCAGGACCTTGATATTCTTGTTCAGAAGGATCAGAAGGGCAGAAGTATGCAGCCGCAGCTTCTTCACTGCTCTGCTGCACACGTGGCAGGAGTATGATGAACACATGGGCGCTGTCAACACAGTGACAATTTGTGAGGATGGAAAGCGCCAATGCCTCAGCTAGCCTTGTGCTCCTCAGCAGTGCAGCAGCATGATCGTCGTGAGCATCATCCGAGGATTGCTCACCTCTTCAGATGATAAGAAGCCACTGTCCCAGCTTAACGGAGTTGAAATTCTGGCACCTGCAGCCTCGCAATGCGGAATGCTGGCCTGGTCACTGTAGGATGTTCCTGTGGGAGTTTGGCATTCCGGTCGTCATCAAGCACATCGTCAGCGGCTTGAAGTGCCTGCTCTGGCGACTGCAGCGCCAGCCGCGTGGTCGTGGCTCCATGTTCCAAGCTCTGCTTCGAGGCTGAGCCGACCATGCACTCAATCCCCCAGGCCTTCGTTCTGAAAGCGTCGTACTGCTGCTGAATCCATCACATCTTGGACCCAGATCGTCGTCAGCCCTGACGAGAAGTACCTTATAGGGCAATCCATGGACAACAAGATTATAGCTTATGAGGCCGGGACTGAGGCTCCTCGAGCATCAACAGGAAGTCAGGCGGGTTGACGTGTCTGGCGAGGCGTTTGGACGCTTCAAGTTCATAGCGCGAAAAACGTTCAAGGCACCGATCGTGGGGCTTGCTTGTCTCGAAGCTTCTCACGGAGAGACAGAATGTGCTGCCACGCGAAATCACGTGAACCTGTCCAGGGCCACCTCAATTCAGGCTATGCCATCACGCAGCGATCTCAAGAGATGAGAGGGGGGGCATGACGAGCGATGCGAGCGATGCGAGCGATGTTGTGTTTCGACGGTTCCAAGGCCTGGTTGGTCAGCCGATGGCCGGTGGGTCATGTCCGGCGATGCCGATGGCAAGCTGTGGCTGCCAAGCTGCGAGAAGCGGTGCTGGTATTCTTCCGTCAGAAAGGCATGACGAGCCTCTGAAAAGACCTGCCTTTCTTGCATCAGGTTCTGGGACTGGGCCAAATGCAAGAACTATCGCGTCCTCAAAGCTCATGACGGAGTCTGTACTGGCTGCCTGTGGCGTGTGACTCAGCCATCTCAGCCGACTAGTCTTCGCGCTTCACAATACAGCCTGAAGCTTGCGGATGGATAGCAGTTGAGGCACCCAATACAGCCGGAAGCCCAGCTGGTCGATTTTGAAGGGCTTGCAGTGCGCTTCCACTTCGATCGGCTGGCAGGGCCTACAATAGTACTACTGTAAAACTGCAGCAGTACTCGAGGACTTCGCGCGTCGTTTCCTGCGGCTGGGACGGTGCCATCAAGCTTTGGGACTGAGCCAAAGAGCGTCTGCCAAAAGCTAATATTCTCCGTTCCATGGAAGCTTTTGACAATGCGCCCTGGTGAAAAGGAAAGAGCGCACTGCATCCCAGCAAAGCGCAGAAAAAATGTTTGCACCGGACTGCAGCAGTCTGCGCCACGAAGCATCGGCAACATGTACAAATCAACAGTCTCTCTTTCAGCCAGCGCTGCATTGCATGCAAAGTTGTGCCATATTGTACCATTTTGTACCATTTTGTACCAGAGCAGTACCAGAGCCATCCAGAGTCCCAGGAGTCCCGGCTTTTCGCCAGAGACGCCTCTGATCGCGCGCTCCCCATGGGATCCTACTCTGGTTTCTGTACCTCTGGATATCCTATGTATCCTAATGGGACACCAGTGTTGCGAATGTGGTTTGGTGGTCTCGTGCTGGCCCTGTTAGAGCAGAGTCTAACAGAGTTGCCTTCACGGTGCTCAGACGGAGACTCTGCTCCTGGAGAATGCCCCCGGGTCAATGAACGCCGTTGTGTTGGGCCCCCGACTGACTGCGGCTTCACGCCCCTTACTTCATTTCAATAGATATTTGAAGACACTCCGAGATTGGGCGAAGCGGCTTACTTGGCCTAAGGACGGGCAATCAAGACGACGAGGATCAATCTGGCAATCCTACAGCGCGGATTGGGTGCGCTCAAGCATGCTGAAGCATGTTGAAGCGCACGGCAATGTGTGTCTCTGGCAGCAAGGTACAGTGGCCGCACTGAGAAGATGCACAGATTCCTTGCCCGGGAGCTTGCGAGGGTTAGTTTAGCGTCCCGCTGTACTTTATGAAGTCCAAGAACATCGGTCACCAAAATAGGCTCTAAATCTTCGGCGAATGCATACACAGCTTCCAAAGTGTAGATGCAGAAGAGCTACCAGGAGTTCCGGGACACCGGAAGGCCAGATCTTTCTTACGAGGACCTTTGCAGGCCGGCGACAGTGGCTGACATCGTTTGCATGAAGATGTCCTGGCACAAGCTTCTTGCACATTGAAACCCCTCTTGCTGACAGGTCTCAAACTCAAGGGCGAAGAGAACTGATTGCGGGATGCTTCTTCGAACTGTTGGCCAGGGGCTCGGACAAGTCAACAGAAAGCATTCCTAATAGCAGCCGCAGAACGCTAAAGGAGGATGCAGGAGGATGCAGGCTCGCAACTGGCAGCAACAGCTGGAAGAACCAAACGGCATTCGAAACGCTGACTTGAAGATGATTTAGGGCCCAGATGACCAGCCCAGCGTGCCTTGCCAAGCTCCATCAAACACCATCAACCACCCAACCCAAGCCGTCAAGCCTTCTTTGCAGTCAACTTCTGTGGTTCCTACGGAGCAGTTCTCGTGCCCCGCGTAGCTGGCTAAGGTGCTCAAAACCAATGGTGTGATCAGCGTGCAGCAGGACCTCCCATCATGAACTCGCCATGTCGCTGTTGCACACCTCGGAAACTACAGCCAAATGCGCCCCATGCAGGATGACCCGCTGTCTGACATCAAGATTGGAAAGGCCAGCGCTGTGCTTGTCTCCTGGTTGTCTCGGTATCTTACATTACGAACCACAGGCAGCGCAGTGGGCAAAGTGAGTAGCATGGATGTTTTGACATCTGCGCGAAGTCCCTCCTACGTGTCACCGTATCGTGTACATTACACCCATTACACATGTGCATATCTGCGCAGCCTTGCGCATCCAAGGTCCGACGCGTGTCAGCTGCATGATGTCATTAGGGTAATATAGCCATGATCAAAGTCCGGAATTCTTTTTTATGCCAAGAACCGAGTCCACAACTGTGCCCAGCATGGAACGTCTTAATCCGCGCGCGTAGAGCCTTGTTCCTTGGCCGGCATCGTTGAAGAGGACCAGGTCTGCGCATCAGCGAAGCTGGTGGGGAGCCCGCTCTTATGGCGCCAGGGTTTCCTTAGAGGGATACCAAAGCTAAGGACGTGCGAAATTAAAAGCAGCTCGCTTGCCCTCAAGAGATGAGCTTCAATATGGCTCTGACAGCTTTTTGCAGAAGCATCCCTTTTGGGCCGACACGGGCTGCATCGATGTGCCGCGCTGTTGGCCCCACTTTCGGCCCCACTTTCCAAAGCGAAGTTTTGTTGCTATGTCTGCAGCGGCTCGGCCGTGCCAGGAGCTTTGACCACGTTCTGTGCATATGCATCCAGCAGAGTGCCATCACAAACCTGAACAAAGCGGTTCGTGGGTTTCTTTCAGGCCTAAGTGGGCGACCACTGCCCTCATGGCCGCTTGGCAAGCAGCGTGCTGTGGCCTTTCGCTTTGAACGCTTTGAAGTTGAGAGTTGGAGAAACGCGCGAAGTGGAAGAGCCAAGGACTGGAGAGGCGATGAGGCCGCATGTGACCGCGTTTGCCCGTTGCAGTCAGTGAACTCTAGCCATGCTGCGTGCTGCCACTCTCTCACTCTCTCTGCAAAGGTAGGCTGCACATGCAGCACAGGGGTTCCGAAAGAAGTAGCTTGCTTTGCTACTTCACCGACTCTACAGGCTAGACTGGGCCAGCTATGTCAGCTCTTCCAGCCTCTTGGCCTTGTGAAGCCTTGGTAAGCCTTGGTAGGGACAGATGTGCGCTCCACAGGGGCTCAGTCCGCGGCTCCACATGTTCGCGTAAGTTTGCATATGCCCTTTCCCTCTTCTGTCAACTCTCCTCGTCTGTAAGGCTGGCATCCTCCCCAGACAACAGCATCCAGCAGCAGGTGCTGCGTTTGGTGTCCAATGGGCATTTGCAAAGTGCTGATTAGTTGCGAAGGTGATGCAGATGCTGTCTCAGTTTAGCCAGCTTCCAGATTTCGACATGTGCTGTTCTCAGAGGGGGACTGGAGACTCCACGTTGACGGTTCCCCGAGTCGTGTCTTTGCAGTGTCCACACAACGAGGCGCCGTGCAGATCAGGTTTTGCATGCTAAATGATGCTAACATATCTAACATGCTTTAGAAGTGCCTGTCAGGGTATGGCATGCCCTGCGATCGTTCTTGTGTTTTCGTCAAGCACAGAGGTACCTGGCAACAGTTTTTGCCAAGATGACGACTCAAGAAGAGGCCATGAAGGGATTCTGCTTTAGGGTGAGCGTGAGATTGTGGTTTGCACATGTTACACCTGTTACACCCGTCATTTTCTTTCACAGATCTTCCATTTTCCAGGTCGTTCGGCAACGAGCCGGGCTACTGCTAAAAACGAACCTCGGGAGAGTTCAGCCTGGAACGTCCGCGCCTTTGAATGCTCAATCGCTATGCTCTCGTTTCAAGGGGTGCTGTACTGGCTGCACCGTACCATTTATGGCTGGCTGGCTTGGTTTAGGGCCTGTGCCCGTCTGCAGCTTGCCACTTATTACACTTCCATGCTCACACGATCTTACACATCAATCGACTCAGGCTGCAGCCAGCCGTCGCGGAGTATATGCAGGCTCAGCGGCGCGGCATCTGCCAGTTGAGCTGTGGCTCAAGTCTGCAACCAGGGACAGGAGTGACGACGCAAAAATATGCCACAAATGCAAAGTTCCGTCATTCACCCATTGGCCACATAAGCCTTTCGCAGGCTCATGCCCTGTCTGCTGTGAGCGACAGCAGCAAGGTTCTCGCAATTGGGTTCATGCCAATTTGAACAACTTTGAACATTACCCTGCAAGGAAAAAAGTCGTTGCCTGCTCCCTTGCAGGTTATCAGACATACGGCCGGCACTGTGTCCGCCTTGGGGGTTCAGCACGAGCTTGTATGGCCTGACGATGTCGGCGCATACACTTGCCCATGCATCCGCTCGAAGGTCATCTCCATTCTTGTCTTGAAGGTCGGCTTCATAGGCAGCCGACAGGCACGAATGTTCTCAAGCTGGTTGTCAATACCATTGTTGGCATAAAAAGGATTTGTTGCGTGCAGACTTTGGACAAGCTCGCGACCTGCCTCGGTGATCAGAACCCTCACGTCGTGGAGGCAGCAGTCAGCCTCAACTTGCAGCGGATGACACGGATGATGCGTAATGACAATAAGACACTGTAGGATCTGTCAAGGCTGCTGCAGTTGTGTCGTATTGCCTCCCATTGTGGTGAGGGCAGCTTCAACGCGCTGAACAAGATCTGCGAGGACCAAACCCAGGTTGATACATTGAGACTTCCATCGATCAAGATATTTGCAAGATAACTGTATCAAGGCAAAACATGTGATACACCAGGACGGCATGATGATGATTAAGCAGTCCGGCAGCCAAGCGTGACGTTCGATGTACGAAGGGGGGTTGGGAGTGCTTCGAGCCAGTGTGCTGAATGTGTGCTGATCCAGGTGAATATACGGGTTAGTATCGGCTTGCATAGACGACCATCGAGTACACGTGGCTTGTTCTTGAGGATGTGGGATTTTCCCGACGAGCAAACACAGCACTTTGTTCGCAGCGCTCATAGACCGGTGCTCTTGCATGCTCTTACACGACCTGGCCATGAACAGTAGCAAATGTAGTCACGGTAGTGCTTATGCTCTTGGCCTCGAGGTTGGTCTGCCGAGAACCTTCTGCCCAAAGTGATGCAGTGCCCTGCTTCGACTTCGCGGCTTTCATGTTCGGGGCACCGTAGAACCAAGTAGGGCCCCCTAGAGTCTTAGAGCGTGCTCAGGGCACCTCGCTCTGGGCCCTTGCCCGTCTTACACCGCCCGATCTTTGGCTCACAAGTACATGTTTCACAGGCTGCGGCACACTGAAATTGCATAGCGCATCACATAGTCACATGGGGATGTTCATTGAGTCTGAGTCTAGTCCAGCCCCATGGGACAAAGTTGTGGTCATTTCGCTTGTCCAATTCGCACAGCAGAATGCGGATTGGCAGACCCCCCTCCGAGGATGAGCCTGCAGGCACGTAGCACACCTAGAACGACTGCTGCAGAGTCAGCCAATATGGCAAATTTGCTTCACATTTTGCGGAGGAGGGTATGCCATGAGCACCCCACGGAAAGCAGATGAATTGGCAGGATGAGCACCGCCTCGCCTACGCGG